TGAACATTGTGTAAACATCCGGTGTCATAAAAGTTTACAGTCCTAGCAACGAGGCCATTGACCATTTGCATCCTGGCATCGATTTCTAACCTCTCCTCATCAATCTTGCTCAGTAAGCTCGCGAAGGTACTCACGTTTTTAATTATGATTAAGCCATATATATTTTTTTTAGGGTTGTTTTTTAAGAAGTTCTCCAAGATCGCCATTTTAGTCATCCTCAGCTCCGCCATGTACTGGCCCCGAAGTCTGTATGTATTATAAGTACGTTAACATCATCCCCAGCCGTTCCCTGCTCTTGTCTCTTGGGGTACCTCTTATTCTTGGGCGTCTGCTTCACTGCTTCCACTCTATTTAAACCTACCTTGACAATCTAGTACCGTGTATTATTACTTTTACCGTAATTATTATTTTCGTAAATTTTTGGGGGCTTCCGATGGGTTCCCATTATAAATGTTTTGTATTATTTTATCACCGTAGAACGATTGATTCCGAAATTTCAATGATTTTCGCTAAATTTTGAGGCTCCTCCGATGGATTCGCGACATAAATGTTTTGTACCTTTTTATCACTATAGAATGATTAAAGGCCCACTCTGAGGACTCCGAAAATCATTGTTTTGTATTTATATAGTACTTTGTACGTTTGGCTTCCCTAAATAATTGTTTTCTATTCGTTTATTTCCCCAACTTTTGGGGGACCCTCCGATGGGCTCCCATCATAAATGTTTTGTATTTTTTCATCCCCGTATAATCATTGGGAAGCCCCCCAGAGGGCCCCGATCATTATTATGTATTTATACAATACTATTATACGTTTTGCCCCCAATATAATTATTTTGTAGATAATTGCGCTCTTAATACAAATGTTTTGTATTATTTTATCACCGTAGAATGGTTGGAGGTTCCCTCTCAGGGTCCTAATGATCAGAGTTTTGTATTTATCTAGTACTGTTGTTCATTTTTCCACTAAAATAATTGTTTTGTATATTTTTATTTCCACAAATTTATGAGGTCCCTCCGATGGGCTCCCATCAGAAATGTTTTGTACTTTTTTATCCCTGAAGAATGATGTGAGGCCACCTTCTAAGGGTCTCGAAGATCATTGGTTTCTATTTATCCAGTACTGTTGTACGTATGGCAACCAAAATAATTGTTTTTTATTCGTTTATTTCCACAAAATTTTGGGACCCCTTCAATGGACCCCGATCATCAATTTTTTTTTGTTACGGCAACATGATCGAAGCACCCTAAGAGAACCCCCGAAGATCGTTTATTTCCGCAATTTTTTGGTGTTTTGTAATATATTTATTTTTCAGATATTAAGGCGAATAGGTTCTGATTTTTTTATATAACTTAATACCGATCTAATTATGAACTTATGAAAGCGTCTGAACCGAAACATAAAAAATAATGTTCATTAATTACTATTTAAATAAATAATTCGTTTAATACCGCAAATTTTAGGGCCTCTCCATAGAATAATTGCGAGACCCTTTGTAAATTTGTGTCAATTTATTATATATTTTTATATTTCTGGAAACCACTTATATATACATTTAGATAGATAGATAAAAGATAACTTTATTCTAGAACCGAGTCCCATAAGAATAACAGAGTGTTACAGAAAAAAAAGAATAACAACTGGCCAGAAAAACTGTTACATTAAAAAATAATTAGATTAAAAGCATTAAGTAAACAAACTACTTATATAAAATCAAACTAATGAGACTATTTATAAAACATTACAATTATATAAAATATAAATAAGAAATGAAACAAAATAATCGCTGCTTAGCTAAAAAGATATAAGAACAAAATAAACAAAAGAAAACGATTAAAAAGAAATACAGTAGAATACAATATAAGGTCCTTTAATAAATGAGCAACAAGTATCCAATGAATAAAAGAAAAATTTCAACTCTTATTTATATATACATACTCTCACACACACACACACACACACACACACACACACACACACACACACCCACACACGCACGCACGCACGCACGCACGCACGCACGCACGCACGCACGCACGCACGCACGCACGCACGCAAGCACGCACGCACGCACGCACGCACGCACGCACGCACGCACGCAGGCACGCACGCACGCACGCACGCACGCACGCACGCACGCACGCACGCACGCACGCACGCACGCACGCACGCACGCACGCACACACCACACACACACACACACACACACACACACACACACACACACACATATACAAGTAATTACTATATATATATATATATATATTGTAATTACTCGCATATATATTGTAGACTCACACTGCTGAATACTACCAAGGCCGGTACACGAAGCGGTGCAGGTGTTGGCTGGAGCGATGCCCCTGTAATTCTAAATATTGTAATATTTCTCAATAAAAAGTTTTAAAAAAAAACTTATGATCTTAAATATGTATTTTTCGCTCCATCTTTCTTTTGACTACACAGTTTTATGTATATATTATATAATATATATATATATATATATATATATATAAGATGAAGTGAAAAATACATACTTATAATAGAGTTCAGACAGTATATTCACACCATATATACAGAAACATAAATAAATAAAGTAATATCAAAATAATACATAGAAATAAAAACAGAATGAAATATTATAAGGAGAGGGAAAAAAAATATATATATACATATATACATAAGTAAAAATAAAAATAAAAGTAAAATAAACATCTTTGATACAAGCATACCTATGTATATACACTTTTTACACTCCCCCAGAAAAACTCCTAACCAATCTTGTCCCCCCACATGTGGAGGGAAAAGCGAGGTGTAGAAGATCCCTGCGCTTCTCCCTCAACCACTTCACTGGTACTTAAAACCAGCAGAGGGTGAGTAAGAGCGCTACTGCCGCAGATACTCATGACTTCAGTGGAGAATCTGACCACTGCTAGAACTCCATAATATACATATTTGCAAAAGGTCTCGGGGCCACTGCAGCTTTAACCTACGAGGGGGATTGTAGGAATGGGTAGTGCTTGATACAACTAGATTTTTGATGAGTAAGATTATGGTGAAATTTGGAAAATTAACTAGGACAAGATAAAAAATAAATGGAATATTAAGGTCATTATGCAGGGTTTTATTGATGACATAGAAGGGAGCATCGACTTTTGTACGGAGGTCTTTAGACTGAAAAGATTGAATGCGTTTGATGTTAGAAAATTTAGCTGTTTCTCAGTTCTAGTCCGTAGGTCCAGATGGGTTTCGGTCCAGATGGAAACCGAAATTGAATAGTATTGTCATGAAAATGTTGCATTGTTTGGGAGAGTTTGGTAGAGGAGTGATAGAGATTGAATGCCAGTGAATTGTGCTCTCCGGCCTTGGCCTCGCAAATAAAAGGGCATTCTCCTCGCTCTCTTATCTCGCTTTTTTATTTATTTTTCTTTTAGCATCTATATCCTTTTATTACATATTTTTTTAGTTGTTTTTCGTTCTTACTCGAAATTGGTTTATATATAAAGAAATTCAAAATAAAAATAAAGAAGTTAGAGGAAATAAAGAAAGAAAAGAAAAGAAGAAGTATTGTCTTGTAGATCAGTAATTTATTTTCACTAGAAAGTTTTGATTTTCTATTCAGTAGTCTATATAGCTGGCCATATCGTCCTGGCCATAAGTTCCTGTCATTTAAGTCTAGTATGTGGATTCCATGTTTGGTAGTTTGTCTAAGAGAAAGCCAAGATTCCGGGCTGTGTTTGAGAAAGGATGCTGAATGGAGTTAAAATAAACTCGTGAAGGTAATGTGTTTACATTTAGATTCGTTTACCTTGATGCGCCATTTCTTACACCAGTGTTCAATCGGAGAGAGGTGCCTTCGTTGGTATGCGGACGCTGTTTCAGGATCTGAGTTGGAAGATAGGATAGCAGTCTCTTCAGCGAAAGTTTCCAGAAGGGTATCGGGTTGGACAGGTATATCAGCGGTAAAGAGAATGTAAAGGATGGAACTCAAGACGCTGCCTTGAGGAACACCAGCCTCAATTGAGTAACAGTCGGAGAATTCGGTACCAAAGCGAACTCGAAAGGAACGGTCAGAGAGATAGGATCGGAGTAATAGGTATAAGAACTATGATAGGTGGATTTTAAGCCTTAAGAGCAATCCGGCGTGCCATACTCGGTCAAAAGCTTGCGCTATGTCCAGAAATGCACTCAAGCAAAACTGCTTGTTTTCTAATGCTGAGGATATGTGGTCAACAACTCGGAGTCCTTGTTGGACGGTAGAATGTTGGGAACGGAATCCGAATTGATGGGTAGGGATTTTACGGGAGTCTATTATGGGTAGGATTCTTTTCAGGAGGATCTTTTCAAAAATTTTTGAAAGAATTGGGAGTACACTAATTTGTCTATAGGATGATGTATTATTGGGAGGCTTGCCTGGTTTCAGGAAAAGGATGATGGTGAAATGTTTCCATAAGAGAGGGAAGTGGGTAGTTCGGAGGATACAATTGTATATATATGAGAAATTTGATGGCTTTGGTAGTTGTCGAAGGACCTGTGGGTTCAGAAGGTCATATCCTGGAGATTTACGAAGAGTGATTTTCCGGAGAAGATATTTGACCTCAGAGAGATCAACTCAATTGTATATATACAACAGCTTTAGGTGGTAAGGAGATTGGGATTGGTGCAGAGAGGAATTCTTTTATTTTTACGGTGTAGGTGGTATGGGATTCTGGATGAGGAGTGAAAGTATAGGAAAAGTGTTTGGCAAACTTCTCGGCTTTATCTATGAGTAATTTTTACGATGTTTTCATACTCATGTAAAGTTAAGTAGATTTAATTTAAATACTTCGTAGAGAAAAATCGATACGAAAACACATTGGATTTGAGTAACAATGGGAAGGTAACATGTTTACAAACACCAACAGGTTTCCTTAGTAATTCCTCAAGTGTTTTCTAAGTTATGCTGTATTTTGAGTAACTACAAAAAAAAAAAATTATCCAGTTCTTATGTAACTGATATAATAATGCAGGAAGAAAGATTATCAGTAACTTCATTGGAGGTTAATTATACTTCACATAATGATTATTTGTATTTTATATATTTTAAACTTCTCTGACATCATTTAAAATTATTAGGGTATTCACGTCATTTTGAAGGAACTGAGAACAAAGTGGAAACAAGGAATAGGAATAAACAGAGTAAGTATTGATGTACTACTGGTTTAAAAATTGTAATTAACAACCAAAATATTTCTTAAGCACTATTGAGTATTGTCAAGTGAGGGGAAATTATCCTAAATTTGAATTTCCTGTTGTAGTACTGTTCGACAAAAAATATATTTTTTGGCTGTTTTACAGATCATAATTTCAGATTTTTTAAACGTATGTATGTGAGCGAGAACATATATCTGTGGCAATAATGACCTCGTGTTTGGAATGAGAATTACCATAGCTTGTTTTCATACAAAGTGACACATTTAAAGGAATGAGTAAATATACATAGCTAGAAAGATTCACTTTTAAAGGTACTACTTAACTAGCTGGGTGTGCAGAAAATCTCACTACAAATGGAATTCCAAGAGTGCTCAAATGTAGACAGGTAACCGAACCATCTGGAAGGCCCCAACCTTAGCTGGAAAAGAATCAGGGGATTAGTTTATTCCTTTTGAGTGATCGAATGTTAAAAATAGCAATGATATTGAAGCTAATTAAGACCTCAATTTTAATTAGGTATTTTTTTTATATATCCCCACCAGTTACTTTTAGTATTATCAGGAAATTTAAAATAATACATGACAATATTTATATTATTATTCATGTGATCAAGATAACCTTAAAACATTTTTCATTTGTTGTGTATTTATTTCATTTATATGAGCATTTTGAAGGTGGTAAAAAAAAAAAAGATTTGATTTTCACTAGAAAAATGACTAATTCATCAAGAGTGTGTTTTCATGGCCATCCTCTGAAAATTTACCAAAGAAACAACGGTTTCATGTATAAATATTAAGGTTGAAGCTGGTACCAGATGAATAATGTTGGTATCTTATCTGTACGGATTTATGTAGCGTCGAGGACACATGAAAAAGAGTCTTTTTAAAGTATTTTATCAGATATTATTAATTTCTGGACATAATAATAGGTTAATAAATAAATATTAATATTTTAAATTATTTTATTTTACAAAATTTAATTCACTGATATTACTAAAAGTAACGCGGAGATATTTCGAAAAAATTTCAGTTAAAATTGTGACCTTAATTAGCTTTAATTATATTGCTGCTTTTGACTTCTGCTAGCTCAATAAAGGCCTTGTTGGCTAGGGGCCTTACCAGAAAGTTCGATTTCTTGTCTACATTTGGTCATTCTCATAATTCCATTTAAAGTGTGATCATGACATTTTTTGACCATCTAACATTGAGGAGCAACTCTTGTTAAGTAGTACTTTTTTTAATTATAATTTATAACGGCATCAACCACTAGGGTCATTATTTTTTCACATCACTGGTTATATTTTAAATTTTGTAGTATATCTTTGTCTGTATTATGAAATCAGGAAGTTTGTCATTCATCCGTACATTATAGAGTAAAACTGAATAAATATTGTTTGGAATATAGAAAAGTGCTGTTTCGGTTTCAATTGCTCTACATTCTGTCAGAAAATGCTTCACAGCCAGCGGATACCCTCTGGTGTGACATTCAGTAGGAGAATCGTGTGCTATCAGGTAACCGTGGGTCAGGAGTGTGTGTCCTATGCGTATTCGCGTCAGTATCACCTCCTCTCTTCGGCTATTTTGGAAAGATTTCTATAGAGGTAACTTGGTTCCCACTTTAATTTTATGCTTTGTTTAATGATGGAGATAACGTCTTCGGCAGGGACCCACTGATATGGAATGCCATCAGTTATTTCTTTTTTGGCTACCTGATCAGCTAGTTCATTTCCGGTTTTACCGCACTGACTAAGGACCCTGGCAATGATCACTGAAATATTGTTTCTGTTGGCTGGCATTAATGAAAAATCTCCATGAGTGTCCATGGGTACTTGCACTAGACCTGTCGTTGGAGGGTGAGGTGAGGTTTAGGGTCAGTTAAGACCTTCTGGTTAGGTATGGCCCTCTTCCGATACTCACCCTTCACATAGCAACCTGCGCTCTGTCATTAATGAAAAAAAAAAAATTTTGTATAATATGTTTAGTCGAGAATGAATTTTTGAAGTTAAGTAGGACAGACAGTGAATCTGTACTGATAAATAATGTTTCGTTTGTTAGAAGAATAATGTTTAAAGTTTTGTAAGTTGTGATCCTTTCAGCGGTATAATTGTTACCGATGGATGATAAAGAAAAATTATGTTGTTGACCATTACACACAACCGAGGCTTCCACACCCATAGGCACCGATTTCTAGGGGCTCCCGGGGCTTGAGCTCTCCAATGCTGCGGTATTGGTGGCTCACCACCCGTCCCCCAATAAATTGCTATAGTATGGACTTTATGAACTTATCAATCATGTACATTACAAAGGACTGTATCTGTCTCGTAGCAGGTTTATCAAATTATGGATTTCAGAAGTGGTTTAATGTATGCATCAAGTACCTTGAAGGCAAGTCAGGTTCAAAATTAATTGATAATAGATCCCTACCAAGTTGAATAATTTTTCTTTTATTTTCAGAGATTAACAATATTAATAGGACTAAAAAAAATCAGTGTCTTCTTTTCCTGTTACAGCAGTAATTATTAACTTTGTTAATAATATAAAATTAATTTTTGTCATACTTTTTGAATTCTTATTTTTAAATTTCTAATAAGTGGCAGACACTTCCAACCCAGCGCCTCTGGGCAAATGCTCAGGTTCTCCTGCCCTGAGGCTGCTTACCATGGAATTTGATAAAACAAAAAAGATATTGGTATGTAGGATTATAATATTGGCCTTCAAAACAATCAATCCTTCTGGCAACTGTAAAATGAGCTTGACTAGAAAAAACCTACTATGCCGCTGAATATCAGATAGTGAGGGACAGTGAATTGATTTAATTAATTTTAAAATGTAACACGAGACAAAAAAAGAATTCTAGTTTCATTGTTGGTAGATCTTTTCAAACCAATGAATCTTTGAAATTACAAGAAGCTCAGAAACGAAGTGATCTCCACAGCAGCAGATTACCTAGAGCTTATCATGAATTTGTGAATCAAACTATATCCATATGAAGTTGAGTACGTTGACAATGAAACTTTCATCGACTACTCCAAAACATGGGCATGTGCTCACCATCCAAGCTGCCTATATAGTGAGGGATAAAAAAGTGGATAAACCCTGTGATCAAATATTCTCTTTTCAGTCAAAGTTTTATAAATTTTCATTTGAAGTATTGTTGCTCTACATTTTAGAAACTGACTTTGTTCCTTTCATGATTTAATCAATATTAACAAAGTTATAGGTGTTACTTTAATAAATTTGATTGCTTTTACCTAAATAATATCTTTTTTTTTCTTTCAAAGTAAGTAAAAAGCTCTAAACTAGAAGTAAATTCCTGTAAGTTATGAAAATGGTTTTAAAAGATTATTTGGCAGAAATACAATCAAAAAAGGTACATAGAACATTTCATCTTTGTCTTGGGCCTGCAATAAAAATTGAACCGAAAATATAATGTTCCTGAACATTTTTAGTATTTGTTTGTACAGGCTTTTGCAGTGCGGCTGTCGATATATTGCACACAAATTAACAAATAATAATATTTTTATTTATAAATTTAGGAAATATTTAGATATGTCTTTGTTAAATCTAGGCTATTCTCTTCTCTCTATTTGCAATGATTTACTATTTTCCAAGGACAATTGAAAAACAAAAATAATCACAAATAATATTAGGGGGACCGGAAAGTAATTTCATTCCTTAGCATGTCAGTTTGTTTTTCATTTGGCAGCTCATTGTGTACATCTATGTGGTGGTAAAGACATTCTAAGGTTATAATGTCTTCTTTAGTAGACTCAATTCCTCTTGGAAAATAAGCTTCGGTATTTCAATCCAAGATACTAGCAATTTGCCATTGCACTCAAAACCTACAATGAAGCAAAGTGACTGGAAAAAAGATTATAATCTATACTGATAGTCAGGCAGCAATAGGTGCTCTAAATAATTATTATGTATACTCAAAGGTTGATAAAGAATGCAGCATAGCACTTAATAGTCTGACTGAGCTTAATAGAGTTGGTGCCTGGTCACTCGGGCATTCTAGGCAACGAAGGGGCAGACAAACTAGCCAGGTTAGGCTCAGATACTATTCCGATAACTCTTGAACCTGTCTGTGGAATCAGTCTTAGTACTGCGAAAAGTAGGATTAGGAAGATATATGGTAACAAATTTAAACAGCACTGGAGTAAGAAGAAACAACGACATTCGAAGCTGTTCCTTAAAGGTCCATGTGATGGAAGAAGTAAACTGCTACTAAGTTTGGACAGAGGAGCTCTAGCTTACAGCGATCTACACTGGCCAAGTTAAATTATCACATGTTCAATCTTCGAGTGACGAGTGATGCTCTGCAGATTCTGTCAGGAGGAGAATGAAACAGCCTTTCGCATCGTTTGTCGATGTGATAGATTTGCAAGGCTTAGCTTGGAGCTATTTGGGGAAGAACGGATGGATCGCCCCAGTAGCTATGAGACTGTCAATCCAACAAGCCTATTAAGATACGCAGAAACGACCAAACTTACCTTTTAATAATAAAACAGACTTGATAATGGCACACAATAGATCCATTAAGGATCGCGGTTCATTAAGCCAAAAAAAAAATACCAACAACGTTAGACAATGACATGTGAAGGGCGGAAGTTGAAGCAAATCCGTGTTAGACAATCGAGGAATTGTCAAATAGTCTTAATAACCTTGGTCAATCATCCAAAATATTTGCAGCAGATTGGGAAAACACCGTATGCAACTTATTGCTTCAACGGTACTATATAGAAGTGTTTTTTGATCGCTTGATTACCGAAGATGAAACATGGGTCCTGTTTGATAATCCAAAACGCAAAAGCAGTGGCTCTCCCAAAGCCAGGTTTAAGTGTGTAACTGATAGATTTCAAAATATCGAAGGATAAATTATTATACTCAAGGGATAAATGTTGCTCACACTCATAAACAGTCCAAGATTTATTTGACACCCATAAAATCCAAAATGTTTGGGATGTATGAATGAAATTTGGTGTGACAGCTGTATCGCTTGAAACTTCTTTTGAGCTCATATTCATCTCCCTTAATGTCTCCAGCTCCAGCAGCAGGAATACAGTTCATTTGATAACTTTTATTCTTATAAGACATGTTTAGATTCTTATTAGAAATAAAACATTTATTATTTAGGTGTTTTTGATACAAGGCTTTCTTTTGGAAGTAAATGAAAATTTATCTGAAAAAAATTATCATTTTTTGCCTTTCAGGAGCATGGAATCCTTATTTTCACCTTCATAACATTGCTTTTAATCATTTTTTTCGTATCAGAATCTGTTACAAAATAACATCCATTTCATTGACTTAAAGTTACATGCTCTGGTGAAGTAATAGAGAAAATTAGGGAATTAATAGAGATTTTAATGTTTTGAAATTTTTAGACAATATTTTTCATAATAAATGGAAAATTATAGATTTTAGGACATAATATTGACAGGAAAAAAGTAAATAAAAATATTGTATCTCTAAGAGATAAGGACACTATTTACAAAAGGAATGAGCATTCAGTGAGATTATAACTTTTCAGATATTTATGTATTATGAATATTATCCCTTGACTATAATCTTCAATAAATGTGATAATTCTAAAGAAAGGGATCAGGTCACTAATAAGGATATAATAATGATATTCTATAGGTTTTCCTCTTGCATTTTTCTTTTAGACCAACCTTTTTCCTTGGAATAAGTGTTAGCAGTATTTAAATAATCATCTTGTATATGTATATAGTTCACATTATTCTTAGTATGTCTGTCTCCCTAATCCCGTTCTATTTACTGCATGTATTTAACATTCAATATTAAAACAAAATTTTATAACAGAATAAAATAATTCTGCATTAATACATTAATAATCCTTAGAAATAATGCTGAAATAAATACAAATAAAAAATATAATGCATTTATTTTACTTTTTCAGACTCAAGAATACACAAGCCTTGTTAAATTATGCTTTGTTAGTGATACTTCTCTCAATTTGGCTGCGTCTAGAAGTATTCTTTATCTTTTAAAATGGGAAATGATAGATGCTCAGACACTCCTTGGATCATTAGCTTCAGTTTCAGGAGAGGCTAAGTGAGATTTGATGCTTTCTTATTTTATTTATTTGTATACATAGCTTAAACATATAATCAACTGTTAAAATTCCTTAACCATATATATATATATATATATAATATATATATATATATATATATATATATATATATATATATATATATATATATAATATCAATTGATATAATGTTCTCATCCCCTCCCCAATTACTATCTGTAAATATGCTTATGTGGTTAATGTTTATTTTTTTATGAAATGAAGCCAGGATTTGATTCTTTGTTGTTTGTTATATATCTGTTAGTAGCATTTCTATCCACTTGATTTATCTAAAAATACAGTTGATGCTGCAGATAATGACAGAAAAAAATTTGGGGTGCTTGAGTATTGATGGATTAATCTTGAGGGATAGTACATGTTTGGAACCGAAATTTTAAACAATTAAGAATATAATGTACTTGACATAGAAGGTTTAGCTTCTTAGGAGTCATTCGAAACAATCTTGCACAGTACATAACTAAAAATGCTACCTTAAGTTAGCTTAAATCTGCTTTTGAAAAAAATCACTGACTTATTAAAGCTACTATAAGGAAATACAAAATTAACTAGAGACTCAAAACTGAAATGTATCCCACAATGCACCCAACCTTGATAAAAACATACCACAGTTAACATCAAAATCATTTTATATATATTCTCAATATTATTTTATTTTATTTCGGTGTCATATATTTTTTCAGTTTCTAATTTGGTATATAAACCAACATTAAAGCGATGTTTTCACTTCCTCAATTCTACTAGGACGTTTTGGCTCATCGCTCTGTAACTATGAAACTGACAACATGTGGGCTGACAAATAATATGTTAAAAATAGATGTGATGAGTATGATACTGGCTATTACGAGAAGACCCATGTATTTTACATAAGACATGTAATGGACAAGTATATGGTAGACTTAAAAATGGCTCGACGAGCTGAAACGTCGTTGTAGGATTGTGGAAGTGAAAACATCCGTGTAATATTGGTTTATATAAAAAATTAGAAACTGAAAAAAATGTATATGTAAATGCCCTGAACATTGACTGACTTTAATACCGCTGGTACTTAAACAGATCTAAGTATAGGTGTATCAATCAAATTTATCCAGCTTAGTAATTGAACGCTGTCGTGTGAACCCAACCAGTTGTCAATGTAACAGATCTGAATTAATAAAGGAAATAATTAGAAAATAAGAGAACTGGTTAGAGGTAGAAAGTTATGTTACAAACAAATCTGATTTTATTGACCTCATGAATAGCACAAAAGAAATACTGAACCTCTTTAGGTCAAGCTTGTGATGAAGTTTCCCCCATCATTTCTTCTTTTTTTTCCTACATTAATCTTTTTGCAAATTCTAATTGAATATTCATCTTTAAATTATTTGTTTTAGAAACAAATGTTTGTCCATGGATTTTAATGAAAACTGTAATATCCCCTGCAATTTATCCAAGATAATTTACGGGTATATAGGTGTGCTAAAAAGGATCAAATAAACAAAATCTGGCTTAACTTTTATATTTGACCAAAGATACTTGAGCGTTGTAGTACAAATAGTTTTCCTATCCCTCAACACTATAATATTGTATTTATTTCGGATTTTACAATATAATATTGTATTTATTTAGGATTTCGCTTTTTAAAACTTATTTTCACTAACATAAAACCATTTGATGAGAATGTGAATTCACAATAAATTAGGTAATGTGCTCATAATTATTACTTGATAATCAGGATTTGACTGTATGATTTAAAAACTATTTCAGCTGAATAGTAGTTGTTAAGAAAATTGTTTCTTGAATGTTGAATGATTTTTTCTTATTTTTTTAGGAATGTTTCAGCTGTTGTTAACTTTTTGGCCAGAGTTATTCTAGATTCGAATAAAAATGAACTACATAATTATATTAGGTTTATTAGTCATATTATTTCGGTTAATAAACCTGCTGTACACTATGTACTCTCGGTATTTGATGAATTGGAAGTTAAAGAAGTGTAAGTACCCTTATTGATAAGTTACTGTCATTTATACTCTTTACATAAGATATATTGCTTAACTTAAAAAAATCACTTTTAAATTTTTAATTGAAATTGATGTTACTAAATTAGAAGTTTTTATTTTTTTGAAAAAATTATCAGAACTAAATTTTGATTTTAATCATTATCATTTCTTATCTCACTAACCCATTATTATTCCTTTTAAATCAATGGGAATTTATGAAATATTTATATTTGGATATAAATGCATGACGACTGTCACTAGAGTCTGGGCAACAGCTATTTAATTTCTGGTACCAAGAAGATCTCGCACGTCCTCCATGACTGAATCCATGTAGCTCACATTAGGCTGACCAACTCTCCAGGGTTTTGATTGATTGATCTGAAGCAGTTTGTAAATAATCCCAAATTGCTTTATGATTAATCTTTTCAGGAAATAATGTTCTACTGATGACCAGACCATATACTGCAGACAATTTTATGAGCCTTTGTCCATTATCATTTGTATTTTCATTCGAGCTGAAGGCTCCTATTGTTGGACAATATGAAGTTTTCTAACCAACTTGGCCACTAAAATATAGGCAATCTTCATATCAATTACAGGACAGCGCCCTAAGGCACGTCCTAATTCTTTGGAAAAATATCCTTACATCTAACATCTATTGGGGTGTGACAATTGACAAGAGAGGAATTAATGAACTTTTCCTTGATACGTAGATAACACAAGCGGGGGAGATAGTCATGAACTTCAGGACAAGCTGGCTTGCCCTGTCTCAGAACACAAATCCTGCGTCAAATATGTGATGCTTCTGAAGACATCTATAGTACAGAGTATAGATGGGGACCGTGCATCCTCCATAAGTTGTATGGATTTTATTAAAGCTTTCCCTGGTATTAATCAATGTTTAATTAGATAAATATATATTATTAATAAAATCAAACCGCCAAAATAGGAAATCAGTAATATTCTTTATTGCTGTTAATTTAAATATGGCCACTAATGAAAATTAGGTTGTTCCCCACCTAGGGTCTAGAGTGTAATATCTCTTTTCAAATGAGCCACCACTAACCCAGTGGACTTTCTGGATTACTATCGTGTCAGTTTAAAACTAGGTTGTTATAAAAGTTCTTGTGCATGAACCCAACACTTAATTCCAACTCTCATAATAAACCCTATAACAATGTCTTTGTTCCTACTATTTGTGACAATGTTTACTTTAACTAATCCTTTAATTCATTGTGACTTGAATTGTCTTTATGAGGTCATTTACGTTTTTAAAAGCATATCAGATGAAAAATCATGATTCATGGCAGCCACTTCGGCTGCCATAGGAATTTGTGCCATAGATAGAGAGTCAATTTTCCATTTAAATACTGCCATACTTTGGTTAGGTATTTCATTAAACAATGTGAATATAAGCCTTGCAGATGAACCCAGATCAGGTCTCCCATCGGTCGTTGATGAAGACGTTCTTTTTGAATGTGTGTTATATATTGCAATTTTATTTTATTGTATTTTTAAAGTTATTATTTATATTTTTAGTGTTGGAAAATTTAAACCAGTCATCAACGATCTTCTTTTCAATCCAAATAGTGATCGGCTGCTTTCATGGCTAAAAATAACAAATAGAGTAGATGTTCATCTGCATCACACTTTCTTACATTGGCTTAAGGTTTAGTATTAATATTATTTGTGACATTGATATATGATTATGATTGAATATAATATTTGTATTTTAATACATTTATAATGACAATTTTTTAGTTTGGAATCTGTCAGGGATAGTCAACATAAAACCAAACTTAATAGTTTAATAAAATCGTAATAAAACCAACATAAATTAGATTTTGTTTTATTAATTCTGTCTGCTTTTCAGTCCAACTATTAAGAAATCAAACATAAAGCTGAATTTTGTATTACGGCCGATTCATATACATTGTATGACTATTAAATTTACTTTAGTTTTATGTTACAAAAATTTTATTTTCTAACCTCTTCAAGTCCTTAATTTATTCAATTATGTGTTCCTAACAATTTTTATGCTAGTATAGAGGCTATCTATAACCGTCTTAAAATTTACCAATAAATACATCATCAGTATCTATTTGTTAACTTGTTATTTATTAGTTTGAATAGCAGACAATGTCCCTGAATTAATTAATTAAAGTATCTATGACATATCCAGCACTTTCATTGTGGAATATTTTGGTATACAATTTACCAAAAATTTTTTTATTTTGTACGAAACATAAATAATAATAATAATACTTTATTTATTCTGTGACGAGTTCCTTTAGAATAATACAGCAAGACAGACATATGGGCTAAGGAGCCTCAGAGATACATAAATAAAAATACAGACTAATTAAATTGGTGAAAAAAAATATATATATATATATATATAAGTTACTTTCTAATTTTGATCAGTTAATAATAAAAAATAAAAAAATTGATAAAAATAATGAAGAACGAACTAATAATTTATATAAATATTTACAGTAGTATCTATTTACAATTTTATGGGGACTGGATGGATAAGAAATGATTGGACAGGCGGAATTTAAAAGTAGGAAGGGTATTGGATTGATGGATGTGGTAAGGAATGAGGATCGGATAATGAACGATCTATTGAAAGCAGTGGTTCGGTGAGCTCTTATGTATAAATCAGAAGACCGGGAACGAACAGAGAATTTGAATTGAAGGAGCTCTGAGATGTGTGAGGGACGGTGGGATTGGATGACTTGAAAGATGAAGGATGCCAGGAAATACTTATGACGGTAGGAAGGATAAATCCACTTCAACTCCGCATGAAAATGGGAAACAGAAGCTTCCCTTGGGAACCCGAAAATGAATCGTACAAAGCAATTTATCAAATGTTTTAGTTTTGCCTCGAGATCCCTAGAGACGCCCCCACATACCTATCGTATAGCAATAGTCAAAGTGAGGAAAAATTAAGGAAATGACTAGGAGCCTACAGGTTTCAAAAGGAAATAGGTGACGGGAATAATTTAGACGTTTTAGGATGGAAATGGTACGGCGGGAAATATTGGATATGTGATTTTTCCACAAAAGCGTTTGATCAATGGTTATTCCAAGGATTTTGATGGTGGGATAAAATTTGATGGGATTATTATGTAGGAACAGAGTTGGAATATTAGGAACAGTTTTAAGGAGGTGATTAGAGTCTATTAAGATTGCCTTTGTCTTTTCCGCATTCAACTTCAACCTGTTTGCTCTCGCCCAGTCACAAATCCTATCCAAGTCTTCTTGAAGTTTTTCTATGGCTGATAATAAGTCGGAGGGCGGGAAGGACAGGTATATTTGGAAATCATCTGCATAGATATGCTATTGGGAGTGATGGATCAGGAGGAGAAGTTCATTAATGTAAATAGCAAACAGAGTAGGAGATAGAGAGGAACCTTGAGGGAAACCACAGGAGAGGGGAAGGGTCTTAGATGGAGGTTGACCTGGGACGACTACATACTGGGATCGATTTGAAAGGAAGGACTTAAGATCTCCGAGCCAAGCCTATCCCCACACTCGTGGAGGGAAAGGCAGAACTCTAGGAGATCCCAGCGTCTTTCACTCAGCCGCATCACTGGTATTACCAATGGAGGCTGAGCAAAGACACTATGACCAGACATAAATGACTTGAGTGGAGAACCTGGCCATTACCAGAACTCCAATATATTCTTTAGTTAACTTTAAAAATTCAAACAAACTAGTGATTCTTTCTTCAGTATCTTGAAGACTTTCTCTTAATGTGTTGGCTAAGCCTGTTTCCAAATTGATGGTACTTTAAAAATTAAATATTAATTAATTCTAGTACTAGATTAATAAATATTGCACAAAATGTTTGGAGGCCGCATGTGGCCTCCAAGGCCTATTTTATATAGCGATGGTATGTGACTTAATTGATGAAAACTTGCAAAATTTCGTTACCAGACTTGAGGTAACTTCTTACTTCCACATCGGGTCCACCGTCAAAGCTCTTGATTAATTAGACTGTTTGTGGACGAATAATTGTGTTATCAAAAGAGGGGGGGCGAAGGGACGACGGTTAGGGGTGAAGTATGGCCCGCACTCGAGGTGAAGTGGCCATCCCATTCCAAAGCAGATGGCAAACAAATTGCTCTCTTAATTTACTCCAGCCCTTTTAGTTCTGTTAATTAATTCCTTTTCTACTAAGCGCAGTCGGAATTGTATACCGCCCCCCTCTAGCGGTTGTTCCAATAATCAATAGTCATTAGAAAAATAAACTTATCATTAGTATTACTACATCTCATTATGGATTGCTGAAAAATTACAGGACAGCTAAACAGCCTCAACATAGATGTTAAACTCCACGCGATGGTTTTTTTTTATGACAGAATGAAATCATTAAGAAGAGAAAAATTACACATCGTTGATGTTAAAATATATTCATTTTTTTTTTACTTTAAATATTTACTTGCACCTGACAACTTGTGTCAAAAATCAGCAAATGTGCGTAATACAACAAATAATGACTTCTCAGATATAGGAAAGGACAATACTCTGAAGCATCTCATCTCTGACTTCTTTTCAATTACTTAAGTTGTAAGTTAGAGTAATAATGGAGTTAAACAAATATGAGCAGTCTCTTCATTTTATTTTATTTTTAAATTTTCTGGTTTTATTTTCGTGTGAGCGTATACTGTAACTTTATTCTGTAATACTGTAACACAGTTCAATTTATAATTATCATGTGAGACACCATACATTTATAGACATAGACTATATGTTTGAGCAAGTCTAGTTCTCTAGTTATCTAGTTCTTTATGTTTTAGTGTGAGCGTATACTGTAACTTTATTCTGTAACACCAACACAGGCTTGTTCCACCCAGAACGGTCTTTCTTGTTCTGAGGGGCTTTGGAATTTCATTCCATCGGAACGGGAACGCTTTTACGTTCGATTACATTGCAATTTCATTCCAATCTAAGATTTCATGTAGCATCCGTTTGGAATGATTATGATACGGATTAAAGTGTCTACGTGTTGTTACTTTTAGTTTAAATTAGTAAGTATTAAATTAATTAAATTGTGTGTTTAATAAAAAAAGCAAATCAGAAAACAGAAATGGATTTTTATTCATTAATATTTTTCTCTAACTTGGGGTAAGAGAATATTTAAGGAAAATTAAGATGATATGAATTTTACCTACCAAAAAAATAGTTTTGTTAAAAAAAAAAAAGAAGATAAAAACTAACAAATCTATAATATAAAATTTAGAATGAACTTAAAAAACCAAACAGTAAAAACTTTATATAAATTAATTCAAAAATTTGAATTTAAAAATAGCAATTTTTACTTTACCAGCTGATAGTCGAAGTTCGTTATTCAACATGCCACTTTTGAAAAGTTTCATTGACGTGGAACCGAGATGGCCACTATACGCAACATTTCTTTGGCAATGATGTACAAATTTGGGTAGTTGTTCTGTAGACCAAACCACCACTTAGTAGGCTCCTCATTGTTGTATAAAATATCCTTTTCAAAGTACCTGTTTAATTCAATCATTGCCTTTGATTCAGATGTACTATTTGGAGAATGTTGCTATTGCTCTCATCAATGTTCCTAAAACTTCCAGTTGGTTTTTTTGTTTTGTTTTTTCTTTATTTTTCTGTACTTCTCTCCATTTATCTTCATTTTCCTCAGCCTCAATGATTTTCAGTCATTTTAAATAGTTTTAGTATTATGGATATTTGCTTCATTATTCTCTATCACGGTTCATATGTTGTTTGGAACAAAGATGGAACGAAATGAGAACTGGAATGAATTCCAGTGGTGAGAAAATTCCGTTCCGACCTGTAGTCGGATTTGCCAATTAGAATTGCACATCCCTCAATCACAATTATGTGAACATCAATGGGTGATTTGTGTGGACTTAAAAATAATAAACTTTCGCCTCAGACAGCAAAGTGACTACATAAAATATACTTGTTTTTTGTGCCTCTGGGATAGCAGAGACAAAACACATCACTGGGTTTGGCAAAAGTGGCCTAAGAGAAAAGATATGGTCGTTGGAGAAAATAACATTATGAGGATGGGTACAAGTGCAGAAATAAAACTAAAAATAGCCAGAAATTTTTAAAAAATGTGACAAATAATTTTTGACAAATGGTGCCACATCAACAAAAAAAGAATGGTAAATAATTGTAAAATAGATAAATTGGAATGATATTGTTAAATAGAAATTAATATAGAAAATGTTCATAATTTCAGTAAAAAGAAAAATATTACTCTGATGATGGGAAAATTGTCCCGAAACGTAAGAGACAAAAAGCATAAATAAAAAAATATGAAGAAGATTGGAAGTTTTATTGCTTAAAATATGAAAAAATTATTAATCCTTAACTTTTAGAGATGGGTAATTAGCCGACTGATCAAATTTACATTCAAGAATATCAAGAAGTAAATCAGAGTTACAGTCAAGAATTTTTATTAGGTTAGCTGACATTTCGACCCAAACATGTGGGTCATCCTCAGGGCTATCTTATAGTCGAGAGAAGAACACGCAGCCTCGTTGGATTGATCTTATTATCCCTTACATTGATCTTATTATCCCTTATTGATCTTTCCTGGCAGCTTAAAAAAGATGGAGCACTGTATCAAAAATGACTATATTAACCTTTATATATTTTTGGGGAAATTTAATTTTTTTAGTTCTTCCATTATCGTAGGCTGCCACATATTGTCAAATGCACCAGCAACATCATAAAAAATTACTACAATGTACTTCGTTGGCGAGTCCTTAACTGAAGCTATGAGGTGATTGATAACGTCTGTTGTTGGATGTCCTTTACGACCTCCAAACTGATCACAGGAGAGCAAGCTGATCACACTTTTTAGGCTTTGCAGCATTAAACTTTCTAGAACTTTCCCCATTACATTTGAGGAGGCATATTGGTCGATATGCTTTCACAGTGACTTCCATTATGTCTGGCTTCAGGACAGCTATCAGTTCAGCTTTTTTCAAAATACGAGGGTATATACCTTCACTCAGATATCTATTGTAGAATGCAGATAAAGGACCACTTAGCACCTTCTTAGTATTCCTCAGATATCACCTCCTATAATGTTTGGCCGTGGTGCTTTCCCCAGTCGAAGTTCTCCCAAAGCCAACTCTACTTCCTCTTCTTCCTATGAGAGAATATTCTCATGGGCGCATCTTCAATTTGCAGAATTTCCCGATGGCAGTTCTCTTCTGCATGTGGTCTACACTGTCTGAAGTCAGATCATCGTCAGGGAAGGATTCTTCTATTATCGCCTCTATAGCCCCATCGCCCATTCTAGTTACATCGCTGTAGTACTTGAATGATATAAATATGTTTTTATTCAAATTTTTACCCAGAGCTCTTCGATATGCAGGGCCCCATCGGCTTTTACATTCCTCGAGGTATCGGTGCCATGATTCCTTCTTCTCTTTTCCAATTGTCACCTGAAAACGTCTCACCTGGAAGCTGCGTCTTACTCTGTGCATTTCCCTCTTCTGGCATTTGAGCTCAATGTTCCAGCATAATTGTCCCTCTCTTGTGATGGGCAACACCTCCTTAACTGCTGTGAAAATTTCTGTTGAGGTTTTCACTGCCTCTTCTTATAGTTTCATATTGGGCTCCAGCTCTGTTATGTACCATTGAATATTGTCAGCAACGAGTTTCCACTCAACTTCTTCCATCACAAAATGTTTCTTATTGCTTGATTTGACTATTCCTGTTTATTTCAAAGGTAACCACCCGGTGATCACTGCAGGTCCAATCCTCAACTTTCCAGGAGCCAATAAGTTGACCAATGCTAGGTGATGATCTCTCTCCCTCCCTCTCCCACGCCCTCTCACTCTCTCTCCCTTCCTCCCTTCCCCTCTCTCCCTCCCACACCCTCTCTCTCTCTCCCTCCCTCTCAAATCCTTCTATCAAGTGAACAAACTTTCTATCCCCAATACTGTTCAGTTATTGAAGTTTCACTGTATTCTCAATATCTGTTTTATATGACATTATTTTCCTATAAGAAATTATTTTTTATAATTCATTTTAAAAAATTTATTTTTAAATCTGTAGATTTTAAGTTTTATTTAAATATTTTAATTTATTTTTTGTGTATTTTATTATCTATTACTTTGTAAAAAAAAAAAAATAATAAGTTATGGAATGGCAATGAAATGATGATTCATTAAAATCAATGGTTGTTATTTTATTGCAGTACACGAATCCTGAAGACTGTTCATTTGCTCTTATTTCTCTCAACAAAATTTCACTTGGAAATATTCAAAAATGTTTCATTCTTTCAAGTGTTATACATCATCAAATGTTTTTGGCTTGCAATCCTGTTGAAGCATTAGCATTACTTAAGTCTTTGTTTCCACATGTTGGGGTTCAGACACATTCAATCATTATACTCACTATATTACATGGAATGGAGGGTTATTCAAAAATGCATTTATCTGTGATAATAGATTTTTGTAAGTCATACTAATTTCATTAATTTTTAATAAAATTTTATTTAACTTACTTTTATAGATTTTAGTACATTACTGTATTTAACATACTTTTTTATCTTTTTAGGTAATTGGTTTCTAGAGAACTTTACTGCATGGAATGAAATTCTATGGTTCATGTTGGTTACACTAATACCATTAACAGAAAAAAATGTTTTTTCTCCTACATGCCATTTGAAAGTTAATACACTGATAGATAGAATAAATGAAAATATAATTCACAATAAAACAATTGAGATGATCAATATTAAGTCAATTGTTTTGAGATATACTGTTCATAGACATAATTGCATTCATGAGTCAGTGCTTTTGTTAAGGTACTGTAAATTTACTTAAATGGGTTTACTCAATGGTTTTTGATTATGTATTGTTTCCTTATGAGTCTGTCTTCATAGCATTAAAAAAAAAATATATATATATATACATATATATATATATATATATATATATATATATATATATATATATATATATATTTATATTATATATATACACATATAAAACATCACATAACTATAATCTATTTGTCATAACTACTTTGTTCTGTCCATAGATCCATTGCTTTAATAGTTGGATTTTATTTTTCTACTTGGAGAAATGTACTAAAATTTGTGTCAAGAATAATAATTTTCAAATGTATATTTTATTTTATTTACTAGTGGCACAATTAAAAATTTATCTAGTTCTTGTTCATATTCACTTGTATATTTAGATTTTTTATACTTCTAGTTAATAAATATGGAACCTTAGGTTCTTTGATACGGAGATGACCTAGACCTAACTGGAAGATCTCTTGGTGCAGTAAAAATAGCTTTTGAGGCAACACGATTGGACTTATCATAAATGAGGAAAAAACAAAATATATATGCACTCTACCTTAACGAGAAAGTGATGAAAGATACGTCTTTTCAGAAAGTATAGATTCGAAAGAGCTCAATTATTTGTCTATCTAGGAACCCAAGTAAACTGTCAAAATAATATAGAGAAAGAGATACTACAGCAAATACTTCTAGCGTTTTACAGTCCAAAAGTTGTTAAGAAGTAATGCATTATGTATGGATCCAATAACAAGAATTTATAACACTTATCTGACTGGTCCTTAGAATTAGTTTTCAGAATGTGACTTAATTCTAAAAACAAGTCCTCAGATTCAAGAGGAAGGTGTTGAGAACATATGATGACATTTCAGAACAAGGCACATGGAGAAGGAGGAATTATGCTCAGTTACGGGTCATTTATGGAGATCTTGATTTATGCACCTTAATTAAATTATCAAGGCTTTGTTGGGCAGGCTATGTTGCTAGGATGGAACCAAATAAAATTCCACATAAAATCTTTTCGGAGTATGTATATGGCACAAGAAGAGTTGGACTTCTTAAGCTTCACTGGGAGGGGTAGCTACTGACGCAAGGTCTCTGCTTGGCAGAGATGGGCAAATGCTGCTCTGAGTACTGAGTACCAAGTATTTTACTCAAATACTGACCTTTTTTGTGTTCCCAAGAATTTAACTACTACTTCAGTTGATGTGATACGATTAACTGAAGTAGTGATTGATTCCCAATAGTGATTCAATTTGAATAAAATACTTGGTACTCGGTACTTTGAGTAGCATTTGCCCATCTCTGCTGCTTGGTGTCCGGAACTGGAAGGTAGCAGCAAGAAATAGAGAGGAATGAATATTTGTAATAGGCCAGAGTTTGACTCAGCAAGTGGGACGTAACACCACATAATAATAATACTTCCAGTAGTTTTAACTTCAATATATTAGTTATCTAACATATTATATGTCTATAAAGTTTAATGGTTTCCGATGTGTTTCCTTTGTAACTGTAATAATTCCATTCTTTTTCGTGTTGGCATTCTCACTGTAGTCAAAAAATGGAAACCTCTAAATAGGTGCATATTTAAGGTTGGAGTGCTTACTTATAGTTATAACAGTTTGGTCAGGGGTCTGTTAAATCTTGTGCCAAACACAAGGAAAGGGTTTAGGGTAAGATTTTCATTGATAATTAAGAAAGATGGCTAATCTATACTATTGTAATAGTGTATTACATATAAAAAAAAAATATTATTATTAAAAAGATCATTGTTTGACTTTTTTCAGACTAATGAAATCATTCTCCAAGGATGAAAAATTGTTAAATTTTTGGTTAAAAAAAATATTGGACTATGAACCTACAAGATCAATTAAGGTACTTATCATGATGTATTTCATATCTGGTGATGTTGATACTAGAAAAAATTGTTTATCTGTGATGTCAAAATGGGGCTTTGGTAATGTCAACATTTTCTTATATCAATTGAAAAAAGAAAACAATCCAGTATTACAATATGACATTTTGATAATCTTAGCAGCTATGGGTAAAGAAAAGGTAAATTTACTTCATCATTCTCTGCATCTGTAAAATAGCTTTTTTTTATGTATTAATTTGTAAAATTAAGGCATTTTATATTGTCAGATTCTTCTTTCTATTTTCTTATAAGAAACACAGAGCTTATTTTAAAGAAGAACTTAATGTACTTTTTTTTCTTAAAAGTACTGCACTATTTAATATTTTAAGTTTCTTATTGTAGTTTTAAGTGTTTTGTACATAGCTTTATTTGTTTTTTATATAGCATGTTTAATAAATGTTTTCTTTACTTTTTCTTTTTTGTTACTGTTCTTATTGAGTCCAGATGTAATCTTTTAATTTTGTACTATTTTGTTATTCTAAAGAGATTTTATCCCTGAATAAAGTTATTTTCTATCTATCTATCTAAAATTCTATCTTTAACCAATTAAAATATATTTGTATGTTAATTAGAACTGCCAGATTTAAATCTATTATTGGACATACATTTTTAATTAGATTTTATTAATTTTAATTAGGTATTTAAATATATATAAGGGTAAGAGGAAATATGTTGTAAATTGTTGAAATGTTGATGATTTCAGTATTATAGATATAACTAATAATATTATTCAAGAATAACTAATAGAAAAGCAATTCATGAGGGTATAAATGCCAGGTTAAAGATTGAAATCCTTGCTATTTCACAGCTGCAAAATTAATTCATGCCAACTTGTAGAAACTTGAAAGTTAGAATTACAAAATTTTGTAATTCCTTATTAGGATCTTTCCTACTATTTTTTATGAGTCCAAAACGTGTCTTGTTTATTTTCAGAAATGTTTATACTCATGCAATGTTTATACCATTATTGTTACTAATTAGCTGGCATCATCAATTAACTGTCTTATTTTTTAAAAAATCTATTGAAATCAACAACTTTATTCAAATTAAATATTGATAGCCACAGTATAACCTGTAAGGACAATTTTATTAGAAAGTGCGCTTTTGAGAGTTTTTGAAGTAGTTGAAAATATCAAGCTTATTAAACCAGATATACATATATTAGAAAGTGCAATTTTGAGGCAGTTGAAAACATCAAGCTTGTTAAACCAGATATATATATATATACATATATATGTCATTTTTATTTTAAACTTGTTTACATCTATTAAATAAAGGTTATTGTTTTTTTGTTTTTTTTAGTCTGGGTGTGTCATTTTTAAAAAACTGCAAAAATCTATTGAGGGCGAAAAACATGAAAATAGTTATACAATGTGTGCAGAATTATATCATCATGCATGGATTAGAGATGTCACATATGATGCAAGTTTAGTAGATATTTTATTAAAACCCGAGTCAGAACATATAACAGAAATTGTACAAGCAGCAGCTATGAAAAATATTGCATTAAGGTTGTTTTTTCTTTTAGAAAGATTTTATTTTAGAATTAACTTTATAACAGTAGTTAATAATTCTTCTATTTTATTTGTTAAGTTCCATTTTAACAGTTTCTATGAAACTTTTTAGGAAAAACGGTCTATTTTAACAGTTTCTGTGAAACTTTTTAAGTAAAAAGTTTTAAAATAAAAGTTGTAAGGAACTTTTTTGTAATAAAGTTCCAGGTTTGTGGTAAAAGTTTAACTTATATTTATTAAAGTTCTATGAAGTTAAATGAAAAATAACCAGCAATTGGGCTTAAATTAGAGTTATTATTTGTCATAAATGAATTACACATGATTCTAATGTGTGAATTATTTGAGAAACTATGGATAAAATTTATTTTTTAGATCGACTTTTTAGTGAAATCAACAGAATTTTTAATAGAGTTGCTAGGGAAAAACTTTTGGTTCTAGAAGAACTGAAAAACTATTAACAATAAAAGTTAGTTCCGGTGATACAAAAACTTTTTGAAAATAAAAGTTTTTTTTCTGTTTCAAGCCTTGGTTAAAACTATGAATATTGTCATAAATTTATTGAGAGTTTCGTAAGAGGAGTGACTTTAAATAAGGCGTACAGTAGGCCTACATGGCCGCAGTGCACTCGTGCTGCTTTAAAAAAAAAATATGTAAGAGTTTAAAACTTTGTTAATATTATATGTTATATTTTGTAAAATTAAATTGATAAATATTGTTACAATCTGTTTACAGTGAAGTCCTATTAATCTTAAGGGTAAAAAATAACTACATTTGTCTAATATCAGTTTTCGAAGAAAGCAAAATATGTTTTTAGCTGATTTATTTCATCATATTTTATACCATTTATTTTATCATAATTTTTTCAACAATCATGAGGATTGTTAATAGCTCCTAGAATTGTAAAAACCAATATACAGGGTGTTTCAGAGTTAAGTGGTCAAACTGCAAAAATAAACTAAGGACCTCAAAATAAAAATAAAAATTCCTCTGAAAGTATGTCCACAAACGATGATTACCTTGAGCATAAAGAAAGGCTCGGGATCTTTCTTCAACAGCAGCAGTGGCAGAACAGCACTGGATATGTGTTATTTTTTCACAAGATTCAACTATCTTTCTTCGTAAGAAATTAAGGTCATTGACCAGACTTGCATAGACTTTTGGTTTAATGTCACCCCAAACAAAAAAATCCAGTGGTGTCAGGTATGGAAATCGTGTAGGCCAAGTCACTGATTAAAATATGGGATATGATTGAGCAAGTCCGGTCAATGACCCTAATTCCTTACGAAGAAAAATAATTGAATCTTGTGAAACAATAACACATATCCAGTGCTGTTCTGTCACTGCTTCTATTGAAGAAAAAAGCCTGTCTTAATGCTCAATGTAATTTTTGAATAACATTTAATATGAATGTTAGTGTTTACATTTAATTAATAAAGTAGTTAGAACAAATAAATAGGTTTTATTTATCTCACATAATGTAAATAATTCATAACAACGAAAATCTTTAGTTGTGAATATCTCCTAAACAAAGCATTTGTGGACATACCTTTAGCGGTCCTTAGTTCATTTTTACAGTTTGGTCACTTAACCCTGAAACACCCTGTATATCATAATATGTTTAATGTTTAAAGAGTAGGGATGTAAGTATTGAAATATCAATAAAAAAAATACCAATATTTTTCCTCTCAATATTTTTAATCTGTAATGAAAGGGAAAGAGGGTCAACATTGTTGTAATAGATTGTAAAATAGTGTTAAAAAGTATTAGATTTGTAATAGCTTTAAGAACAATTAAATATTACTATGATATGGAGATAGGTGACCGTGGATTCAATTTCACAAGAAATTAGTCAGGGGTGAAGTAAAAAAAAAATACTATATTTTATAACATTATATTGTATTGTATTGTATTGTCCAATGTTTCAACCTATGTTGTAGGTCTTCCTCAGAGCTTTATAAGATACAAACAATACATATTTGGATGACAAGGAGTATACTAAGGGTAATAGGTAGTAGGTATATAAATAATAATAATAAGAGTCAAAAAACATACCATTCAGTCAGACATTGTTGAAGGCTATGTGTTGACTGTTTGTCTGGTATTCGGGTCAGGTGAGAGAAAACCAACAGGTAGAAGGGAACTAAAGGATTGTAAAAGTTATGTTTGTCTGTTGCCAAAAAATTGTAAATGGGCGAGATAAGAGAAGGCAATAATACCTAATGTTATTAAAGTGGTAGTTTCCTGTGTTAATCTTTGTAATGGGTTAAGTAATTAAATTCATCTAAAGAAGGTGGCTATGAAAAAGCTATTGATAAATTATTGTTGTTTTAATAGATTAAGGATTTGAGAGTAGGCAAGGGACAGGTTTTGTTTGTCAGTTTTTTTATTGAAATGAAAAAATGTTTTATTATTCTGGGACTGTTGTCCCTTTAGAACAAAATATAAATACAGATTGTATGTCTGTGTGGTTACAATTAGATTATATATTTACAATAAGAGTTGACTAAAGATAAAAATACTGAAAAGAACAAGAAAATTGTACATATATATGAGAAACTAAAATAACCTAAATAAATTGAGGTAGTCTCAGGCGGTGCTTAGGTATTTCTCTTAAGTATTTTTCACAATCAGTCGGATTGAGAAAGGAGTAGGTGCTTAAAGAGGAGAGGTTTGAAAAGGAAACTGATTGAGCATGTCGAATATCAGCAGGGATGGAATTCCAGAGGGAGGCGGCTTGTATTGCAAAGGATGAGTCAAACGCAGCAGTTCGGTGAGGAGGAGGATTGAGGTCGGAAGTATGAGATCTAGTGGGACGGGATTGGATGGAGTATTTGAATTGTAAGCTGTGAAAAATATAGAAGGGTCGATGAGTTTTAATGATTTGGTACAGAAAGGTGGCTAGGAAGAACTGACGGCGATAGGATGGGTAGAGCCACCTCAACTCTGTGTAATACTGGGTAATATGCGTATCCCTTGAGATTCCGAAAACAAATCGTAGTGCGCAATTCATTAGGCGATTAAGTTTGGTCTCGGGATCTCCCGAGAATCCACCGTACACCATACAGCCATAGTCGAAGTGGGGGAAAACAAGGGAGGAAACTAGGAGTTGACTCGACTTACATGGAAGGAGATATCGTAGACGATTGAACTGTTTTAGGGTGGAGATGGTGCGACGGGAAATTTGGGAGATGTGTGGTTTCCAGGATAGGATTAGATCAAAAGTAACACCTAGGTTTTTAACGGTGGTGTGGAATAAGATAGGTGAGTTGTTCAGGAGGAGATCGGGAGATACCGGGGAGGATTTGAGGAGTGAGGGTGATCCGATCAAGATGGCTTTTGTCTTCTCCGTGTTCAGAGTGAGCTTATTGAGGTTTGCTCAAGCACTTATTCTGTCAATGTCTTCCTGAAGTTTTAGAGTGGCATCTGAGATATCTGTCGGATTAAAGGAGAGGTAAATTTGAATGTCGTCGGCATACAGGTGGTATTGACAGTGCAGGATAGAGGATGGGAGGTCATTTATATAGATGGAGAAAAGGGTGGGGGATAAGGAAGAGCCTTGTGGGGCGCCTCTGGTCAGAGGTAGAGATTCTGATGGCAGGTTATTAGGAATTAAAACATAATAGGAGGGACGGGTAAGGAAGGATTGGAACTAATTAAGGAAACTAGAAGAAAAAGAGATATTTTTAAGTTTGGTTAGGAGGATGTTGTGGTCTACTAAATCAAAAGCTTTGGAAAAGTCTAGGAGAATAAGGATAGTTAGTTTCTGCTGATATATGGCTGTGTGAAGGTCTTGGCAAATTTTGATTAGGGCAGACTGAGTAGAATAACCAGGCCTGAAACCGGACTGGTAGGGATTTAGGAGATTATTGTCCTCTAAAAAATGGCTGGGATTGGACTAATTGCTCTAAAGGTTTTGAGAGGTTTGAAAGGAGGGAAATCGGTAGGAAATCATTAGGAGCTGATGGGTTTGAGGTCTTCTTCAAGAAACATCCAGCAAATACTACTTTCTAATAATCCCCCCAGCACCATAAAAAAAACTTATTAATGACTACAAAACTCGCTCCTCCAATCCCCTTCCAAGTTCTCAAAATCCACCTTTAATCCTTCTATATAGATCTCTACCTTATATCCCTTCTCTCTCTGACCAAATAAAAAAATCTTTATGTTCTTTTATAAGGTATAATCAGGATTGTTATTTTGGGTAAGTAGCCTTGAAAGATAATTAACAGCCAGTTTTTTCCTTAGAAATAAAAGAGGGGGTTTCCCAGCCTGAGAACAGAGACTAAGGATGGGGCTTGTTCGAGCGCCGGTCTCAATCCTAATGCCTGTATGGTGGACTGCATCAAGTTTATTTAGAGTCCGATAGCAGGCAGAACCATATATAAAGCACCCACAGTCTAATTTAGAGCATACTAATGTTCCATACAGTCTTAGTAATGTGAGTCTGTATGAATCCCAGGAAGTACTGCTCAGATATCTTAGTGAAGCTAATTTTTTTGTGGTGGTTGTTTTTAGTGTTGAGATATGTGGTTTCCAGAGCCCCAAGTAGTTTATCTTCAGACCGAACAGAGCTGGGCTTAGAACACAACCCTGGGAGACACCATTGAGCTGTTCGTGGCCATCGGACAATTTGGATCCTATTTGAACTCTAAAGTGACAATGTGTGAGAAATTGTTTTATCTAATGATACATTTGGTCTCTTATTCCAACAGATGATAGTTTATTCAGTATTATGGAGTGGTATATGTTTTCAAAAGCCTTCTTCATATCGAAAAATATTACTAATTGGTAATTGGTTGACTGTCGTGGATAATGAAGAGAAGAATAGTTGGGGTGCTCAGTCAAAAAAGGAAGGCAAAAAATAAATTATAATATTTATTTTTTACATATGCCGACGTTTCGACCTGAAGTTCAGGCCTTCATCAGGGCTTTCTCCTTAAGTGTCAAGGGGAGAATGAAAAATATTACTATTGTTTGTTGTTTGTTGATAAATGTTTATTGTGTTTCGGCTTCCAATGTAACTAAATGATATAAAGTGAATCGGCCCTTGAGGAATCTAAACTGAAAAGTTTGAATCAAATTGTTTTCTATTATCAACATCAGTCTTCCGTTAATCATCTGCTCCATTATTTTACTTAAGCAACTAGTGAGAAATATAGGGTTTTTCGAAATTGGAACTACCAGCGAATTACACCAATTATATAGGAAATGTCCAGTAGACCAGATATTATAATACCCAAATAACCATTCCAGTTTACGGGAAGGTTTTTTATCATGTCTATTTACATGGTCAGGGCCAGGAGTAGAACCTTTAATGGTTAAAACATTTTTGAATTCCCACGTTGAAAATTGGAGGTTGTAACATTGAGAATCTTCCGTTTTCCTGTCAAGATCTATTTCTTCAGGATTAAGACTATTTCTTTCGGAGTTATAAACTTCCGGGAAAAAATTGGCAAATGTGTTTGAAACTGTTAATGGGTTGTCCATTGATTAAAATAGTGTAATGAGAGGAAGCAGAATTTTTAGTGATTTTACAGATTTTGGTCTAGACGTCAGTCGATGTTGCAGAGGAATTTATGGAGTTCACAAATTTTTTTCCATGATTCCGTCTTATATTGATTATTTTCCTACATATACTACACGCTGTCTCTTGTATTCTATTAAATTTTCAGAATTCATATATTTTTGAAACTTTTGATAGGTTTTACGGCGATCTTTAATGGCTTTTTTGCAGGCATCATTAAATCAAGGAACAAGTTGCCTTCTTGGTAAGCCTGAGGTCATTGGGATTGATGCTTTAGCTGCTTCTGGGATTGTACTCATGATGCTTTCACAGCACTGTCGATTAATTTGTTTTAAATTATTAACAGCACATGATTTTTTTGTGTTATAGTTAATTCTTATACTGATATCAAATATATATTTGTAAATAAATAATATCTGTGAAAGAAGAAACTGCATGCTTAATAAATGATTCAATTATTACTTACATTTCAAATGATAACCAAGATACTTAATGATGTAAGAATAATTAAACAAAAAAGTAATCTTCTGCAAACCAATTAATATTAAAATGGGGCAGAGATAATGAAACCAAGAATATGTATGTCTCTGCTGTTTTTCAGACACTTAATACAGTGCAAAATCTTGATGAAAAGAATCTCTAGTCAGTATGAATGCTTGCTAAAATAAATATCCACTTATGAGAACATTACATTCAACCAATGTTTCTAAATTCTGAACTCATGTATCATTATTTAAACAAAATAATAAATTTGTGTAATTTAGATGAATATCAATACATATTTACTTCAATACAGATTCCATCTACTGAAATGCAATTATTTGTAACTAGTAGGCCCGTGCGAAAAATTCGCACAGCATATTGTTACCAAATGCCAAATTAATAAGAAAATAAAATAATGCAAAGTATCAAAAGATAAAGAAATCAAATGTTACTTTATCGATGAATATAATTGACAAAGAAAACAAAAATTAATTTAAATCTTCATTTTTGTTTGGAATCAACATGTTCACAAATTTTAGTAAGCTGTATCTTTGTTAAAAATAGTCCGATTTCGATAATTTTTTTTTCTTTTTGTAGGGGATTTAGTAATCTTTTATATAATCATGGGCATAACCAAGGGAAAAGTGTAATTTTTTAGTTATTCGCAAATAAAGTTTGTTTTCTTTCATAACCTTCGAAATTGGTGGCTCAATCTTGAGATTTGGTGAAAAATTAACAATGATATGGCATGCCGATCAAAAACACCATCGATAAATAATATAAACTCCTCTTCTCTCGATCATAGAGACCTCAAGTCGACGAAATGAGATTTGTATTCAATGACAGCACCACAATTAATGTAAGGCTGTGTGGATACAAACCCTATGCCTTGCGTTATCTCAAAAATAGTACGTTTTTGGGCTTAAAAACGCAGGATCCAATAGTTCCTTCGGAACTATCTGGGTCTTGTTGTATGCATCAAAATCTTCAAGATCCAATTTGTCCCACATCGATCTACAGACCTCACCGTTCCAGTATTGAAGCCTAGCAAAATGTTTGTATCTACTTTATTTATTTTAGAAAGAAAAACAAAAGTGGAGAATAAGATTTGCTAATCCCCGTGAAATTCTGAATCCAACGGTACCCCATTCATGGTATTTGAGCAGAAGCTTATATTTGGTACAAAACCGATTTCGAGCCTTACTGTAATAATATATGTGGGGATAGCATTCAGATAGTATGGTATCTTAAATAATAACATTTATCCTATGTAATATAATATAAGTTTATAAAGAAATTATTTTTGAAATTACAGAGGTAACTGTTTTGAAGAATTGATCCCTTTGGCTAACAGAATCATTAACAACTCAAGAAATAATAATGGTACATTAGCAACAGCTTTTGCTATTGATACTATTTCAATACTATGTGAAAGGGGATACCTAGATGTTACCATTTTATGGGAACAATTCATGCGACTTGTTGGTGGTGATAAACATCCTGCCGTTCAGAAAAGGTAATTTAAATATCAACATTTATGTGTGAATATATGTATATAATAGCTGTCCTGTGAGTAGAGTGAAATTTTTATAGGAGTTTATATGATATAAACAATGGGATATAAATAGTGGGCCAAGTTTCAGCAGAAAAGTATTGTATTGTATTCAAAAATAAAATACAAGTTTTGTGTTTTTTTAAAGTGTCATGTTTTTGTTGAATAGAAAGCAATAACTAAAGAAATATGCAATTTAAATAATTAACAATTGCTTCACTGTAAACTAGAGAAAATTTTCTTCAAATGAAGATTGAGATTGTCATTGCTAAAATCATTTAAAGATGATTTTTGAGCAGCAAAATTCTGTTTTAAAAAAAATCAAATTATTTACAATTTTTTTATCATTATATAAACTATACTACAGATACCCCACTTTTAGAAAAATGTCCTTGTTTAATTAGCTTTAAGATCATGTTAATTAAGTGGAGGTTTATTAGGAAAAAATTGAGAATCATCTTAAGTTATGTAAAAAAAAATGATATAATTGTTTATCCTGTCTCCTAAAAGTATCCATGTTTTCAGTGAAAATAATTGAACATTTTATTGAAAATAATTGAAACAATCAACAGGTTTATTTATTGTAAATGTAAATTTTAGGACTAGAAACATTTAATTTGTTACTCATAAATGCAGATCAGTTCATGTAGTAGGAATATAGGTAAAAAACACATTTCCATAACCAATTCACCTGAAAAATCATTATTGTAATTTTTATTCCTAATAAATAAAAAGTGTATTTAGGCAATTAGGTTTATTATAATGCATCCAAAACCATGGAAAAACATGAAATAAAAGCTTTGCAACTATTAATTGTGGTAATTTTTACTATGATAATATGAACTTAAAGCTAATTAAATGAGGAAGTTATTCTAAAAATGGGTTATCTATAGTATAGTTGGATAATGATAAAAAAAATCTTCAATAATTTATATTTTTTTAAAACAGGATTTGGCTTAGTTTAGCTTCTCAAAAGTCATCTTTAAATGGTTTTGACAATGACAAATTCTATCTTCATTTAAAGTAAATTTTCTCTAGTTTACAGTGAAGCAATCGTTAATTACTTGAATTAAATATTTCTTTAGTTATTGCTTCCTATTCAACAAAAAACATGAAGCTTAAAAAAACACAAAACTTGTATTTTCTACTCTTCTGCTGAAAATTGGCCCATTGTTTAGATGAACTTTTTTGTAGGACTTGAAGTCTGCTATCAAAATTTCCCTCTACTTACAGGACAACCTGTGTATATATATTTAAATATATTATCAGATCTAAGTTATTAAAATTCAGTAAATATATTTGAGGTTATAAACATATGTTTAACCCATCCTTGAAATATTTTTATATACCATTTCTTCCTTAAGATAAGACAAGTTCAGTAAAATAGTTTTTTAAACTTTAAAATAATTTTTAAAGTTTATGCTTAGTTAGTAAATTTCATTTCATTTCCTTTGAAACATGTGGTTTCTGTTAAATTATATAAATTTTAAGAATTTATTATTTATATTTTTTTTCACCATTTCCTTCTACGACTTTATATGTTATATATTGTTGAATTTCTAAAATTCTTAGCTTTCTAACGACATATTATACGTATACTATCTGATTATTATTTTCAGAAATTCATTTTTGACCTAAAAAAACATTTTTCCTTTTTTCTCTTTTAGTCAATTATGAAATTCTTTCATAGTTAATATTGAGCCTTTTTTATTATTACTAACAATTAGAGACAGTTAATTATTTAAAATAAACCAAATTAAAGGTATTTAAGCCCTGTTAAGCGACATCGGTGAGGATAAGACCTAAATGATATTAAAGACCATTTAATTGTACAATGATATACCAAGTTTAATTAAAATCATAAGAGCCGTTTTTGAGAAAATAGTAAAAACGTGTAAAATCTCTTATATAAAATGACACTTCCTGTTAGTCGATTTTGACATGAAAGTTGCTGTAACATCCTAGTATATGTACTCACCTTATATTCTCACCTTAAATATATAATTTCAATTTTGTATGACTTTTCGTTTTTAGCTAAACTGATCACACACACACAGACCATTTTTTGGGACTTAATTATTTGGACTCAGGGGGCCTCAAAACTTGTATTTCAGTTGAAAACTCAGTTTTGAAAATTTTCAGGATTGCAATATTTTCCCTTACTATATATTAAATATATAGGTAAATGAAAGTAAAAATTGTAAAAACAATATTACGATATATTATTATAATCATTGACTCCTGGTGGAGCATAGGGCATCTACAAATGCGTTCCATCCCGCTCTTTTTGCAGCAATCTTTTTTTCTTCTGCCCAAGTCTTGCCAGCCCAGCTCAGGTAATTTTTCACAGATCACTGCCATGTTTCTCTTGGTCTTACTCTTATTCTTGTTCCTTGAAGATAGCATTGAAGAACTTCTTTTTCTATCGCACTATCAGCTTTCCTTAATGTGTGTCCAATCCATTTCTATTTCTTTTTCCATATTTTTAAATCGATAGGAAGCTGTTCAGTAGTACTCCAGAGCTCTTCGTTGGAGATCCTCTCAGGCCACCAAAGCCCCAGGATTCTTTGCAAGCAGCGGTTGATGAAGGCCTCAACAGATTGGGTAACGGTTTCAGTCACCTTCCATAGAGCAGGATTGATTTTATGTTGGTATTAAACAATCTTATTGTTGTTTTATTGGACGGTTTCTTGTTTTTCTATATTAAATAGAGTTGAAAAAATGCCAAATTAGCTTTTTTGATTCAGTTTTTAACATCTTCCAAGTGTTAACTAGTTTCTTTTGTAGCGCAATCTGTTAGTTGCTCAATGACCTATGTATTTAACTTAAAATGTATTCATTATTTCTTGTTATAATTATTCTTTTTGTCAACAACTGATGTTTGTAATACTTATAGTGTAAACATTAATGGATTGAAATTAAATAAAAATATAAGGAGATTAGACTAAGATATATCAGTGCCTAATTAAAGAAATGTTTACTCGTGTCGCCTCTCACTAACCTGTTTAGACCAACAGAGTTTAAATGTCCCTAGGGAAGGCATTTTTTGGAGTCCACAGGTTCTTTCCCCACAAAGGCTCCTGGAATCTCTGTCTGACAGATTGATACCAAACCATAGTGTTATTTATTGACCTTGCTTATTCTCTCATCTGGGTCAATCCCTGATAGAGAATTATCCTTAACCTCTACTCTCTCTCACCATACTTCCTTTCTCCTTCCATAGGATTTAAATGGTTAGGCCTATGTTTCCTACAAGTCCCCCTTGCACCTTTCAGGTTGTCCCTGGGAGTGTCATCCTCTTTGCAACGTCTGTGGATTGTCTCCACAGGTTGCTGAGCCCTGGTTGTTATAGGGATTGTCCCCCTATCATTCTTGGCGATCATGCCATCTCATCCTATCTAAGCTCATCCGTCCCATTCTCTTCTTTAAAAAGGGTAAATAGATTTAGACAGATCAAGATATTTAAAAGTCAGACAGGAAAGTAAAGTTAGAACAGAGAGAATAAAGTTAGATAGATATAGATTACATATTTGGAACTATATAAGAGTGTTAAAGAGATTACAATGTATATATGTGTGTGTGTGTGTGTGTATGTATATATACACTATAAAAGATATAGTGGAAGTATACAATTATTTCATTGATCATTGAACAGTAAATACATAATACTTCCACTATATCTTTTATAATGTGTATATATATATATATGTATATATATATATACATATACATATATACATATACATATACACTTTAAAAGATATAATGGAAGTATACAATTAGTTTATTGATCATTGAACTGTGCCAATTTTTTGGAGGATCAATTTCAATAATACATATACAGTAGAAAATCACTAATCTGACCTTGATGAGACCAGGAGTAAGGATATGAAAGTAAAATTGAGATAAATTTAAAAAAATAGAAAGTTATTCTTTTTGATCGATTTTTCAAATAAAATTAGCTGACTATAATAAGATTGTTTTTTAATTAAAATTTTTAACCTTTTTTTTAATTGAAGGTTTTTTTTTTGTCAGCTATTGAGGACAACGAATAGAAATAAGTGACAATTGAATCTCTCATTTACCTTTATATCTCAAACATTGAGCTCCTTAATTGAAAGAAGTCATTTGTCATATAAACTCCTGGTATATACCCCTACTCTCAAAACAATGTACCCTTGTACCCAAACATAATAATTATAAGGGATGACAAAAACAGTAGGTTTTACATTAGCATTGTTTTTAGTATATTTGAACTAAAGATTATATTTCATTATTAATTATAGAAATTGTAAACAACATTGATATTTTTCTGTAACAAAGAATTCAGATTTTTATACCTGAATTTTTTATTAAATATTTATAATAATAATAATAATAAAAACCAGAAGGTTCGATGCCGACACCACCAATCATTTATTACACACCTACCTCCACTGTTCACTGTCTAAACTCATTCCCTTCAGATCGGCTCTAATGCAATCTTCCCACCTTCACTTTGGTCTACCCCTCAGACGTTTACCATTCGGTAGAGCAAATATTAACCTTTTAGGAATTCTCTCGTTACTAAGCCCAACAATTTTACAAGCCCATTTGATTCGCCTAGATGAAATTACCTCAATTATATTACCCAGATATAGTTCACGTGATTCGGCGTTGTGTAACCGTCTGAACTCTCCGGTTAATCCATCCTTCTTCGGTCCGAATATTCTATGCAATACTTTATTTTCAAAAACCTTAAGACGTTGCTCATCCCTTAATGTAAACGGCCACGTTTCGCAACCATAAAGAACTGTAGGTAAGACAATGGTTTTATAGATTCTAATTTTTAAGTTGCGGGACAAGAAGTGTGAGCTAAGTAGTTTTGTCACAGAAAACACAGAAAAATAACAAGCATTTCCTGCCTTCAGTCTAACCTTAATCTCTTCTTCAATTTCGTTTTTTCTAGTTATCGTAGACCCTAGATACCTATAATTCTCTACCTGTTCAAACATATTACCAGTAATATCGCCATTTTCAGCTAACCAGATATTTTGTCTTATCCGTGTTTATTTCAAGCCCTAGTTCTTTGCTGGCATTCATTAACGTTGTCGTATTTAGTTTTATAGTTCCACGTCTTCGCTTAACAGTACCAGATCATCTGCAATAGCCCAGCACGGGTGTTGTCCCACCGAGATCCAACCCTTTTTCGATACGCATTACCTTCCTAATGCCAAATTGAACAGGACAGGTGAAAGGGAATCCCCCTGTTTTAAATCCGAACGAACCTCAAACTTTTTTGACAGATTATTACCGATTCTTACTTTATGGAGTATTTCCGTCAAGCACATCCCGACTAGATTTACTAGTTTTTTTGGAATCCCCTGCTCGATTAGAATATTATACAGTTTCTGGTGGTCAATAGAATCGTAAGGCTTTTTGAAATTGATATACAGCTGGTGAACAATACCGTTGTACTCTAATTTTTTCTCTAATATTTGCCATAAAGAAAATATTTGATCAATAGTCAAACGATTCCGTCGAAATCCACATTGGTAGTCTCCGATAATTTCCTCGTCATATTCGGTGATTCTACTAGTTAAGATTAAAGTGAATATTTTATAATGTACCAGAAGGAGTGAAATTCTTCGAGAGTTATTACAATCCCTCTTCGGGCCCTTTTTGTGAATCGGAATAAGAATAGATTCTTTCTATTCTTCAGGTAACTTCTCATTCTCCCAGATTTTTTTAACTAACTGGTGTATTTTAGAAACTCCATTTTCCCCGCATGCCTTAATTAGTTCAGTAGGAACATTATCGGTTCCCACTGCTTTATAAGATTTTAATTTTCCGATAGCTACTTCAACTTCCTCTTTACTCGGTTCTTCTATCAACGGTTCAACACTTCAACATTTTTCCAAATTAAAATTCTCAAAATCGAAACGATTTTCTTTTCTCTTTTTTATATTAAGTTTTTGTTAAAATTCGCAATTACTAATTCATGATCTGACCTACATTCTGCTCCGCGATAAGACCGTACATTAATAATTATACTGCTTTGCCAGCTATGTTGTATCAAGATATGATTGATTTGATTTCGTGTTTGTGAATCCGGTGATGTCCAAGTATATTTATGAATATCCTTATGTTTGAACGTAGTACTTTTAATTATCAAGTTTTTCGAGATGGTAAAGTTTATCAGACGGATCCCATTATCCTTACTATATTCGTGCAAACTTTCTTTACCAATCATCGGAACATAAACTTCTTCCCTTCCTTCCTTTGCATTTGTGTCACCTACAATTATTTTCATGGAGTTTCGCAGTAATTCATCATAAACCCATTCGAGTTTGTCTTAAAATTCACATTTGACTTCATTATCACTGTCTTCGGTCGGACAATGTATGTTTATTAATGCAATTTTAAACCAACCTCCCTGAAATATAACTATTGAAATTCTATCACTAAAGAATTGTACGTCCCTCAAAGCGGATAGCAATCTATTCCTTATTAGAAACCCGGTACCTAACCAATGATTCCCGCATCCTCCATACCAAATAATGTACTTTCCTCCCCTCATGATGTCCTCCCCTGGCCAGCTAATCTCTTGCAGAGCCACGACATCCAAATTGTACCCATTAACCTCATTTGGCATGGTAAAATAGTAATAGTATCTTACTTGTTTCTGATCATTGAAAATCAATAATTATTGTGCTAAATTCATGAAATAAACTTTGACCTATTCACTCTGGCTAGAATAAATTATTAATCTATCAATAACTCAAACTTTTTGCCTTATTTGGATATTTTAGAATTCTAAACTTGATAAATACTATTATTTAATTAATTTCATATTTACTTTAATTTATTTGAATGTTTAGTTATTTTTACACATTTTTACTCTATAAACTTTTTTTTTGTGTTTCAGTGTTTGTGATTTCCTCTCAAAAATTCCTTTAATTGTTACCAAATCTGATGACACTAATAATATTATATATAGATCTGCTAGAATACTTTGGCATTTTATGACCAATCTCTCTTTTGACCAGGATTCTGCTGCTAGGTATATTTTTAATTTTAAATGATTAAATTTTTTAATATTGTCATTTAAATAAAGTATTTTGTTTAAATGTTATAGGAAATACTAATTAAAATTAAAAATTAATTCTTTATTTTATTTCTGAAATGTTATCTTATTTTATTTATCCAATGTTATTAAATACATTTGTTTAGGTGACTTTCCAAATTTAATTTAATTAAAGCAAATAACTCTTATGAGTTCAAAATAGGCAGCATTCAAATTATTAGCAACATTCTACTTATTTATGCAGTGGACTGTATTTTGATGAATTGGTAGGTTATATGAATTGTACAAATCGTCTTACCATTTTTATGCTGACATAGACATCATACTATCCGAGCGCCCTCAAGTCTGCTGGTTCTTGCCTCCGTGGATATCTGGGATGGAATGGGTTGAGTGCTTCTCATCTGGTGTGGATTAAATTTTATCTTTTAGATCTTATCTGATTTGGCCCCACCACTCGCCACAACGAGACAATTGGGCACAATCGCTTTGTACAAAACAACATTAATGGTTATTTTATAATGAAAATATTTACTGCTATAGCAACTAGTTTTATTTTATCATTTGGTATTAAAAATATTTCTGAACCTTTGCTTATGTTTTTATTTTTTAATTATTTAATATTATTTGTTTGATTCAGAAGTCTGAAAGAATATGATTTAGAAGATTTTGATTCATCATTTCTGTCAGAAAAATGTAAAAAACATGTTAAATCTAACGATGTTACATTTATACCTAGTAAGTTTCCTTAAATGAAAGCTAACTTAACTTATATATATCTTACCTAATTATATTTATTTATTAAATTATTTAATGCCTGCGTTAACATCTATTAACTATGCTTTTTAGGTAGCTGTTGGCTGCATCTTTTCATAGAAAATGACGTAGTTGATACGTTTGTTCATTTAATAAATAAGAAATCAAAAAAAGCCAAATTTACTGGAAACTACTGTACATTATTTAATGGAATCACAGAATCATTAAGAAATTTACTTCAAAATATTAGTTTAAATAAAGCAGATAGTGAGACAACTTACGTTATTATTTGTTTGAAAATCCTAGGTGCTAAATGGAAAAATTTGCCTCCTGGCAAAGATATAAGTTTCGTTGAGGCTTTATTGTATCATTCAAATCCTGAAATAAAAAAATTGTCATTATATGCAACTCTAAATCTATATCCAATAAATGATACAGCTAAAAATATGTTTGAAAATTTTTTGCAAAAAAAACAGTATAGTGTGAGCAGACTTTTTATTCCTTTATTGATCTTTATATTTTTAGTTATTTTTTCGTGTAGTTAATTTTATTATTATTATTGTAGGCTAAAGAGAATAGTATCTTTTGTCTTCTACCATCACAGTTTTTAGCTAAACACAGGGAAGAAAATATAGAAATATTATTTGATGGTGCTTATGCTGGATTATGCAATCAAGATTCAATTGGTAAATCTGATTATTCTATCTTAGAAATTAAATTTTCATTTAATACTTAATGTTAATACTTAAAATAAAGTTTTAATACTTAAACATTGTACTTTTAGCCTATTTAACTATCAAACAGCTGATGCGAAAGGTTGTGTTTCCACCTCAGTTCTCAGAATTTGCTTGTTTGTCAGTAGAATCTCTGAGATTATTCATTCAAAACAGGTCAAGGATACATAAGAACAACTGATATTTACAGTTATAAATTACAATTTTTTTTTTACTTTTCTTTTATTTTCTTTACCTAAAACCTATATTACCTACACACTTCCTAGAATCCACTACTATCATAATCAAAACCTTCTCCTTTCTGATTAAACTTGCATCAGCATATTGCCCTCCTAACCGATCCATATCCTATCCCCAGTTCAGTTCTCTTCGACTCCTTAGGACTTCACTTCATCTTGAGGGCAGACTTAAATGCCAAATACCAACAATGAGGTTCAAGAACCACTAATTCTCATGGCCGAACATTGCTGTCTGCACTCAATCCCCAACGTTTCCTCCTCCTTTCCCTCAACTCTCCTACCTACTGGCCTACGGATCCTATCCATAATCCTGATATTCTCGATTTTCACCATCATTCATAAGAGGCCCCATTAACTGTAATATTTTCCTCCAAGTCCTCCCCGACAAAATAGGTATCAATATATCCCTCAAAACTCCTGAGGACCTTGACTATCCTGTCAATTCCTTTACTACCTCAATCCAACAAGCTGCCTGGACTGCCTCCCCAGCAGCATCTGACGAAGATGAAACCCAGGAGTTTCCCCATCCTACCCACACCGTAACAATAGAAGAATTCCTACACTCTCACCCCCCCCCCTAAAACGATTCATCCTTCTAAAGTGAAATTTCAATTACAAAAATGTAATCTCCCGTAAATCTCCTAGATATGATCTTACCGTTCAGATCCTTCAACAACTTCCATCCAAAGCAGTCATATTCCTTACATATATCTACAATCACATCCTATGTACCACCCACTTCTGTCTATTATGGAAACATTCCACTATTATCCTTTTCCCAAAACCAGGCAAATCTCCCAACAGCTTGACATCCTATAGACCAATTAGCCTATTCCCAATTCTTAAAACGAATCCTACCATATCATCAAACTCTGATCCCAAAATAGCATCCTTAAATCTTCAAATTCACCTCTCCCTGATTGAGCACTGGTATAATAAATTAAAGTAAATGAATCCAAATGTCAACATATTACCTTTACACTCCGATGCAATTCCTGTCCACCAGTGCACTTTAGCTCTATCCAGCTTCCTTTCTCAGGTACAGTTTGGTATCTTAGCCTCCTTTTAGACCAAAGACTAACATGGAACCCACATACTAAACTCAAAAGATAAGAACTCAACCGACGATACAGCCAACTATACATACTACTGAACAGAAAATCTAAACTTTCTATTGATAATAAGTTGCTCATCTACAAGACAATACTGAAACCTATATGGACCTATGGAATAGAACTGTGGAGGAGAGCAAAATTTTCGAACATCAAACGTATTAAATCCTTTCAGTTTAATCCTTCGAACAATAGTTGATGCTCCATTCTATATAACCAACAAATCCCTACACCATAACCTTAATATCCCATTTGTCCTAGATCCTTATCCTTGAAATTTTGTCCAAATTCCATCAAAATCTTACATATCATCCAAATCCATTTTTACAATCCCTACTAGCTATCTTACATATCTACCCATCCATACAATCCTACTCGAAGATTTGAAGTGGCAGTGACACAGAGACCTGTTATAAGCATATATTGGAGTTTTGGCAATGGCCAGAGTGCCACTGCTCAGCCTTCACTGGTCCTTAATACCTGTAATGCAGCTAAGTGAAAGGCGTTGGGATCTCTTAGAGTCCTGCCTTTCCTTCCACTAGTGGGGGGAAAGGCTTGGTTCTGGGATCTTTAGCGAATGAATGTTTTATAGTTATTGTATAGAAGCATGTGTGTATTTGGGTAGTTATCATGATTAGTTTAGTTTATATACATTTACTTTTAGTGTTATTTTGATGTTTATTTATTGTACATATAGTGTGAATGAGCCACTCTTCTATCACTATTTCTATTGTCCTTAGATGTGACAGATTGTAATATATCGTAATAATATAAGAATTGAAAAAAATGAAATCTGGTGCACCCATCTCACAACTTTCACTTACTGGTTTACTTCAAAAAGCAATTCTTGTCTGGCAAATTTGGGCTATTACAAGAAGTTTTTAAGTGCATTTTTAATGCAGCTAAACCTTAACATATTTTTAAATTTTAGTCATTAAACAGTCGGGATTTAAAGGTGGGAAGGAAGGGTTTTGGATTAATGGATGTGGAGAGGGATGGAGTTCCATAGGGAAGAGGATCGAATAATAAAAGATTTATCGGAAGCAACGGTTCGGTGGGCTATTATATATAAATCTGAAGACTGGGAACGGGTATTACGGGAGTGGGCAGAGGATTTAAATTGAAGAAGCTCGGCGATGTATGAAGGACGGCAGGACTGAATTACTTGGAAGAGGAAGGATGCCACGAAATACTTACGGCAGTAGGAAGGATAAAGCCACTTCAACTCTTCATAGAAACAGGAAACAGGGGCGTCTCTTGGGATCCCGAAGATGGATCGTACAAAGCAATTTATCAAACGTTTTAGTTTCGCCTCGAGATCCCCAGAGATGCTTCCATATACCCTGCAGCAATAGTCGAAGTGGGGAAATATTAAGGAGGTGACCAGGAGTCTACGGATTTTAAAGGAAAATTTTTTAAATTTCAAAAGGATTGTGTGATTTCATGAAGGGAAATTTTTTTGTAATGAATCGACAATATGTACCTAATTATTTAAGTATAATATGAGATCTAGAGTTATTAAATTACAGTAAATGTATTTAAGGTTTTAAACATCCATGAAATATTATTATATTTCACTTCTTCTTTCACACAAGCACAATGAAATCGTTTTTTAAACTATGTCATTGCCTTGATTTTTTTGATTTTATACACTTTTTTAAAACTTAAAAATAACTTTAATAGTTTACATTTAGTTAGGAAATTTCATTTTATTTCCTTGGAAACATGTGATTTTCGTTAAACTATATTAGTTTTCACATATTATTATTTATAATTATTTTGTCACTCTCTAATACCTTCTAGGACTTTCTATATTAGATATTGTTTTTTCTAAAATTCTCCACTTTCCAGCGATATATTATACATATACCTTCTGACTATTATTTCCAGGGTTTCATTTTCAACCTAAATAAACATTTTTCCTTTTTTCTGCTTTATTAAATGGTCAAATTCTTTCAAAAGTTTTATTTAGCCTATTTTCATAACTCTAAACAATGAGAGATTGTTAATTATTTCAATAAATTTCAAATAAACCAAATTAGAGGTTCTTTAGAGAAAGACATTTTGAACATTGGGCATTAAGTCCTGCTTAGTGACATCAATGGTGATAAGATCTACATGATATTAAAGAACACTTCATCATACATTCGAATACTGAGTTTAATCAAAATCATTAGAGCCGTTTTTGAGAAAATCTTAAAAATGTGTTTAACTGATTCTATAATGTGCCACTTCTGGTTAGCTAATTTTAACAAGAAAGTTGCTGTAACATCCCAGGCATATTAAAACCTTAAATACGCAATTTCAGTTTTGTACAACTTTTCGTTTTTGAGCTAGGCTGTTCACATACACACACACACAAACAGACACACACACACACAAACACACACACACACACACACACAGATCATTTTGTGTAACTTGGTTATTTGGACTCAGGGAACCTCAAAACGTGTATTTCCATTGGGAACTAAGATTCAAAAATTTTCACCATCCCAATACTTATGTTTACTATATATTACATATATAGGTAAGTGAAAGTAAAAAAAAAAAATTGGTTTGACTATAAGTAATGTTATACAGTAAAACTTTCCAAAGGACACTTCCCTATTGTGGATAAATTTATAATTCCCATCTGACTTTAATTATTTTATAGTATAAATGACTTCTGCGTAGCAGACATTCTCTATAACATACCTGGACAGGTTGATGTGTGGATTTTGATTCTTAAGTTTCTTGATAATCACGATATCAGGAAGGTTCATATTTTAAGGAAATGTATCCAATTTATAGTAGCTTAGTTCAATTATGTATACTGGGAACTCTTTTGAAAGGTTTTGAAGTAAGGGTTTCGGATTTAGTTTCTTAGATTTGATTGTCAACAAGTCAGCTTTCTTCCAGTTAACTTTAAAATAAAAATTGTCATTATTAATGAGGGTATGTAGAAAACAGTGTTCACAATTTAGGTGCTTAATTCAAAATTGGAAAAACACAGATACCTATATGACATTTCAAAGAAAAAAAAATGAATTGTGTGAACAATGGGTCCCGTAATAGAAATTTTAATACAAACAAATAATTTCCTAAAACTTCAGGTTTTCCTATAGATCAAGTAACATATGAATGATTTTTCTGAGCTTGTCCCTTAACCTTCCATTTCGAACAATTATACATGTGCTGCATCTATGAGATGAAAATACATTTTTGTGATCTCTCAGTCTTCAGAGGGAGCTTAGTTTTTTTACTAGATATCATTAAAATATTACAAAATAATTCATCAAATATCAATAATAATTAATTTTTTTCATATATTACAATTCAGAAGCATATGACCCATAACATAATGAATCCCGTATGAGAAGGAAGAAGTTCTATCATCAATCAATAGGCTGAAAAAAAATTCTGTTCAAAGGAAGGGTGTGAAGGAGAGTTACTGATTTTATCTATCCAAACCAATTTGGAAAACATAATAGTTATAAACCAATATAAAAATTTCTAACAAAAATTATAGTTTACTATTCTAGGTAATATGAAATTTTATTTATTTATTTTTTTTAATGTATTTATTTATATGTGCACATTTATTATAAAAAATATATTATTTTTCAAACAAATTTATTTAAATCGTAAATTTAAAAATACTTTTTTCTGCTGAAAAAAGAGTGGTAAGTGAAAGTTGTGTGATGTTCACACCACACCAGATTTTTTATCATGCGTTATTTCTAGTTTCTCTAAAACTGATAACGTTCTATAGTGGACAAAATTTGATTCACCATTGGTGTCCACTAGTGAGAAGTTTTACTTTATTCATTTCTTTATCATAGTTTTGGTTTGTTAATCCATTTTTTGCTCTTTAAATTTAACAATTTTATTTGTGTTATTTTTTGTTTAATGAACTTTTAGATATTTAATTGTTTGCATTACTTTTTAAAAAAAATAATAATTCAATTATACTGTGTATTATTTAATTTTTTATTATAACCTTTTGAATTTTATAAGTTTGTATCATAAATAATAATATTTTAATTAGTAATCTCCCTAAGACATGCAATGCATCCCTCATTAGCCAGTGATAAACAACTTTTTAGGTTATCTTAAGAATATAGGAAAGGGAAATAACTTATGTGTATTCTTATAAACTTTTATTACCTTAAATAGAACATGGTTCTTTTCCTAGTCTAGTACTTATCATCAATTACAGTATCCAGCACCATTAATATCTTCATGAAAAATGTTGATCTAAGTATTAAACATTTTTAGGTCAATTTTTTAATTTTCAATTAGTATTTTCATTTTATAACTTTTTTTTTTAGGTGAATCATTACATTTAAATATCTTAGAAGTATTTAGAACATGTGCTGAGGATACTTCTTGTTCACGCATTTGCTCCCGAATAATTATGATTATAATGGTGAAGCTGTGGCTAAAAGTTCCTTTTAATAATCTTGTAAATATGGTTTCTATATACATATATATCTTTTCTATATTATTAATATTTTATCTAAGAGAATTGATTAATTTATTACTGGAAAGTTTCAAGGTTCATTTAATTTTTTCAGATATTTCCTTCAATAAATAAATTCCTAGCAGAAGTTTATGGCAATCCTTTGGTAAAATCTATGCCTCTTGATTCATCATCACACGAAATATGCACAAAGTTTGTTTATCTTAGTACAGAGGTAACTTTAAGCATCAAATCACTCTATGGTTTTGATGTGGCTGTTAAAATGGGTTTAAATGATCATAGGTATAGTCATTTTTCTAATCTAATAACTCATTTTTTTAATTTTTATGTATAAAGTTTTATTCACCTATATTACAATTAGTCCTCTAGCTCCCTTCCAACTGTCGATATTTTAAAAATATTTATCCAGGTTATCTGTCTGTGTGTGTGTTTGCATAAGGACAACTCTATATTCAAACTATTAAGCTTATCTAACTTACCTAGATGGTATGATATTAATTAAAATATACTTAATTATTTTTGGAATCTTTAAAAAATATCATTATTATCCTTTGTCACTTTTTAAAAATTTTACTCTCATTATTTAAAACAAACTTAATAACTTTGTGTGAATATTTAGTAGTTAATCACATATAGAATTTAAATAAACAGTTATAATTACGCACTACCTCTACGTTCTAAAGAAAGATATGAATGATAGTTGAAGTTCTTCTGCAAGGTAGAAGTTCGGCTTTGAATCCCACGAATACCACATTTATAGATGTATAAGTTCAAGCCTGTTTAGTAAAATGTAGATTATACCATTATATTACACCTTACATTCAATATCGGAACATACAAATATTTAAAAAAGGTCAGTAAACTGTTTTACTTTTAAGTAAAAAAATTAAATCTTACTTACCAGTTGCAGTTATATTAGTAATTATGATAAACCAATAAAAACAAAATAAAACAAACCCAATAAAAGCAGATCACTTACTCTTATAATTGTATCTTAGCATACCAAATAATGTCTCACTTTTTTAGAATATTTTCAACTTAATCTTAAATAAGCATTCTTATTATTCAGAACATCTACCTTCATCTTTATATTTTGTTCACTCCTTTTGCATTTGTTTTAGAGTTATAAACTCAAAACAAGTTCTTTTTGAAAAGATGGTTTGAAGTTACTACTTTCTTAAAATGGTTTGACTTATAATAGACTTCTAAAATAATATTTACTGTTGATGTTTCAACTATAGCTATTTATGTATTTCAGGACTCGAGGTCTGATTCTTCAATGCCTCATAAAGGTTTTAAATGGTATTGGTACAGAAAAAAGAGAGCGAAACATTAAGTGGCTAGTAAGACTATTGTGTACTATATCCATGGTAAGACTAGTTATTTAGAGTAGTTTTATTATCATTAACCATATTGAAAACTTTATACATTTTTGTGAATGTGTGAATACGTATATATATTATTATTGCAAACATATTTAATTTTGGTTATTACCAAATGTATCATATTAAACAAGATGAAATTCTTTTAAATGCCAAAAAAAAATTGTGAATAATTCAGGATTTTATGAAAAACAGAACTTAGCATAGTTGCATAGTTCAGCTGCTTAAAATTCCCCTAAAAAATGGTTTTAGTTTAGACAAATTTCTCTTACATTTAAAGGAATTTTGTCTTGTTTACTGGAATGATATACTGAAACCTTGATTATCAGTCTCTAAATTTATCTTTCCCCAACAATCAAGCTCATAAAAAAAACAAAAAAAAAAACTGCAAATTATTATACAATGATTTATTATTTCCTAACAGTTATAAATCCAAAATACCTGGCATGATTACTCACACAACATCCCTAACTGCTTTGGATGCAAAGACTAATAAAAAAATCACATCACACAACTTTCACTTATCAACCTTAAGAGTAGATAGGTATTATCATAAACAGGGAAGTCGCAGTGAAAAATACGGTATAACTTCATTTAAAACAATTAATTACCATGTAACTAATTACCATATAATTAATTAACAATTAATCACCCCCATCGAATCTGTTAAATGTATACATTTTCATCACTTTTCATTTCCTTTTACGACTGTGTATAGTATCAAAAGATATGAATGATTGTGGATAAAAATATATCTTTTGGAAAATTCTTAGTTTTATCGGAAACATTTATCACAAAACTCTTCAAAAAAATAACTTAATGTTTAGTAAATATTGTATATTTTAGTCAGGAAGGAGAGGGTCCAGGGTAGCAGTCATAAAAAAACCAAAAATAGTGGAAAATTATTTTATTTTAAGCCTAAAATAAAATAGTTTTTTTATGACGTCCACCCCAGATCATATCCTTCCTGAATGTTATGCAACAGTCAAAATTTAGTAATGTGTTTTATTAGGTTTATATTCGTAGATTCTTAACATTTTGTGCAAAAACTTTTTTAAAAAATTATGGATAAGTCATTTATAAAAATTAATCTAACAATATGAAAGCTCTGTACAGAGGGGTAAAGATAAAGGGTGAGGATCAGCAAAGGTCAGGCACTCCCGGCTGTTTCCTGTACATATAGCTTCCATTCCTTATTAGATTCCAACCCTGATTTCTCCTTTGGTTACTTGTCAATTTTCTACATTAATTTTATTTAACCATTTTTTATATCAATTACCAATGTTAAATGGTTAATTAAATAAAAAAAATTAAAGGTACTTTACTGGATGAAACTTTAAAAATTAGGTATTTAAACCCTGTTATATTACATTATATTAAAAGCGGCTTACTTTTACGCTGATATAGAGAATTAAATCAAAATTCTAAGAGCCATTTTCGAGAAAATTGTAACAATGTAAAATTGATCATATAAAGTGGCGCTTTCGGTTAGCCAATTTTTACAAGGAAGTTACTGTAATATCCCAAGCATGTACAATTTCAGTTGCATAAGACTTTTCGTTTTTGAGCTATACTGTTCACTTAGATTTGGTTATTTGGACTTTTTATATATTATATATATTGGTAGGTAAATGTAAAACTTTTTTTGATATCTTCAGTAATATTGTTCAGGTTTATTTTTAAAGGCAATTTAACCATCTTTCATGGATATATATCCATATTTTTCCTAATTAGTTATTACTTAAATTAAACAGTTTTTTTATTTCTTGCTTCCTATTCAACAATAAACATGACTTGCTTAAAAAATGAGAAAACTTTAATTTACTGCTTTTCTGTGTGGAATCTAGACCATGGTCTATATGAACTTTTTTGTTTCTCTTAAGGTCTACGACCACTTTTTCTATATTGACCATTATTTAAGGGACACCCTTTATATATGTTATTTAACATACAAAGTTCTTTTATTCTGTTGTCAATTTTTTTTTTTTTTTTGTAATATTTAAATAAACCAGATAAAATTTTTTTTAAAAATTATTTGGCAGCTTAATACAAGCACTTATGTATATATGTATGTATGTAATTTCAAAGTATTTTACAAAATATGAGAAGTTAAGTATAACAATTTTTTTTCTTTTCTTTTTCTGTTGACATTACAGACCTTATTGATCTTTTGCCACCTTAACAAGCCTGCTCCATTTCTGCCTGTCTTTCGCTATTTCTTTCCAGTTATCTGCACATAGTTCTATTACGTCTTTGCTGATTCTATCTATCCATCTGCTTTTTGGCCTTTCACATATCTTTTATGATTTAATTCATTAAAAAATTATTTATTTAACTTTTTTTTCTTTTTTTTTTTTTTTTTGGCATTACAGACCATATAGATCTTTTGCCGCCTTAACAAGCCTGCTCCATCTCTGCCTGTCTTGGGCTATTTCTTTCCATTTATCTGCACGCAGCTCTGTTGCATCTTTATTGATTCTATCTATCCATCTGCTTTTTGCCCTTTCACATGGTCTTTTACCTTCTGTTGAGTTCCAGGAGCCTTCCTACATGCCCCGCCCATCGTAACCTCTGTGCCTTCTTATCATGGGATATTGATTGACCAGTTTCTGTAAGCAGTTCTTTATTAGTCTTTCTTCTCCACAGGTTAGTACTCTGATCCCAGATCTCTCCGGTTATCGTGTGGAGGTTTTTGCTCTCAAATATTTCAATACTTTTTTCTACGGTATCGGTTAGTGTCCAGGTCTCACAGCCATATATTAGAACTGGTTTTATCACAGCATTGTAAACCCTTAATTGGAGATTTCTCGGGATTTCAATACCTTTGAAAGGGAGGAGAAAGCTCTGTTTGCCCTAGTTATACACTTGTATATTTCTGACCGTTGTTCATTCATTGAGGTTATTATAGAGCCGAGGTATTGAATTTTTCTACTCTCGAAATGATTTCTTTTCTATGCAGATCCTGTTATTGGGGTGAAATTTTTGGCTTATTATCATATATTTTGTTTTGTCTTCATTTATTTGTAGGCTGGTCTGCTCTGCCTCCCCTATCAGAGACTTAGCATGTTTCTCAATGTCCTCTTGATTACTACCTAGGGCAGCTATATCATCTGTGTATCCAAGGATTTTATGATTGATTCCGACGTGGACCCCTCTATTTTCGCGTGATATTGTTCTTATCACCTCTAGGGCTAAATTGAATAACATCGGTGATAGTCCATCTTCCTCTCATAAGCCTGTTTGAACTTTGAATGCTTAGGATACTTCTCCTTGTATTAGGACTCGACATTTAAGATCATTTGTACACGCCCTTGTCAATCTGACCAACTTACCGGGAAATCCCAGTTCAGTCATGATTTTCCAAAGACAGTTCCTGTCCACAGAATCATAGGCTGCTTTGAAATTGACAAATAGGATGTGTACGTGCTGAGCTTCTTCCAATTGTTTTTCGAGTACTTGTTTTAGGAAGAAGTTTCTAGTCTAGCGTGCTCTTCCTTTTCTGAATACAGCTGTGTGGTTGCCTATTATATTTTTGTATTACAAATATATCCGGCTTATTAGGATATTGGTCATTATCTTGTTGTCAACTGGAAGGTTATAATAATAATATTTGTAAAGGTTATAATAATATTCTACATAATTATGTTATTAATGGAAAAATCCAAACATCCAAGCCACGAGTCTCTTAACATACAGGCCAATAGTTAACTTGCCAATGTTTCACCAATTTAGGCATCATCAGGGAAGAAAAATCAAAACCGCTAATATGCAAAAAGAACAAAAAATAAGAAGAAAAGGAAAAAAAAAATACTAATGCTGTAGATATCTCATGAATCCATCCAAATACATACCGAAGGATAGAGAAGGTTCTATTAACAGCTAAGGAAGGTTATATTGAACAGCTGATAAGAACGAATACAAGGAAGAAAGAAAAAAAAAGATATATAACCAAAATATAATAATACAAAATGTGTTAAATTAAATAAAATAACAAATTAATAAATAATTAAAAAAAAATAAAACTCTCGAAGGTATATTAACATAGATTTCCAACAAAACTCATTGGATACATAGCCATTCCACAAGTAATATTACTTAAATAAGCGTAAAGGTAGAAAGGAGACTTAAGGTAATTATGTTCTTAATAGAAAAATTGAAATTACCAAGCCATGAATCTCTAAACATATAGGTGAATAGTTAAATTGCCAAAGTTTTGCCAATTCAGGCATCATTAAGGGCATAAAAACCAAGATCACTTAAATGGAAAAAGAACAAAGGATAAGAAGATAGAAGAATAAGCAAGTTAACTATTCACCTGTATGTTTAGAGACACATGGTAGTTTCAATTTTTCCATTAATAATATAGTTACCTTATGTCTCTTTTCTATCTTTATACTTATTTTAGCAATTCTAGATAATATTATATGTATATTATTTGATTGCTAAAGGTAGTTGGTCTGTATTGTATTCTCTTGTGTTCTACAAATTTATATAAACATTGAGAGTCATGGTCATGTTATATTTTTTTTTAGAATCTTGACACAAAACATTTAAGTAGCTTGGGAACTTGAGCAAAAAAAAAATAATATTTAGCAATTTTATTATGAAAATAAAGTACAGTGGTGTGAAAAAGTCCTTGAACAAACCATATTGTTATAAAAGTGATAAATGTTTCAATTAAAAATTGTTTTTCTCTTCTTAATTGTAAACTGATTTAACTTTGCAGACATTTTTGATGCAATATATATTTAAATTAGCATTATTTTCAATTATAAACAAGCCAAGGGACCAATCTGTATTAATTCTAGGAAGCTTAGTATATCTGTAAAAATTGTTCTAATATTAAAATTCTCCACTTTTTTCAGAAATCAAATTAACATATATTTGATTAATTATTTTTATTTTATATTTAATGTTACTTTTATTACAAAAAAAATAGCAAATAATCACATTTTTTTATCTTTATCTTCCTGAAAGATAAAGTTCTAACCAATTAGTTTGATTCCGGTTTCAGCTTAGTTAAAATTTAAAAGGAGGCAGTATGTTAGAGAAGATCTAGAGTAGAATTTTTGAATGAATGTATGCAACCAACATTAAAACATTGAGGTAGCTTATTAATGGTGTAGGGGTGTGTTTCTAGATATAGAGTTGGATACCTCTGGTGAATATATCGATAACTGGATGCAAAATGGTACCATAGCATTCTTAGACACCATGCAATACCATCTGGAATTGAGCTGATTGCTCAGAACTTTATTTTTCAGAAAGATAATAATACAAAATGTGATCATTTGCTATTTTTTGTAATGTAAGTAACATTAAATAGAAAACAAAAATAATTTATGAAATATGGGTATGTTAATTTGATTTCTGATAAAAAGTGGAGAATTCTAATATTTTTGTTTTTTATTTTTTAATGATAATTACAACTGTATTAAAGAAAGACATTTATTAAATTTGAACATATGAATATAATTACGTGAAAACACTTGTTGAAAAATGGTAGCACTCTAATAATATGTCTAAATTAGGAGATCACGGGACCATCTTCTTTTTAGACGCCTCGGAGGGTTATCAGGCATTGAAGATGTAGCAAAGTTAGAAACTAAAGGGTTGGGATGATTCTGAAGTTTACTATGGAAGGATAAGTATCTGGATTGGGCCAGATCTGAAACATAAGAAACATTAAGGTCATTACGGATGGTTATATTTGTAACAAAGTATGGAGCTTTGAGGATTTTACTAAGGATTTTGGATTGTAAGAATTGGATACGAGAGGAATTCGATTGTTTAGTCGAGCCCCATAGCTCAACTCCGTAAGTCAAAATAAGCCTTATTATAGTCATGTATATGAGTCTTTTGTGATTAATTGGATTTTTAGAGCGTTTGTCTAGTAAGTAATGAAGTAATCGGAAATGTCGAGCGGTTTCTTGTCGTTTCAGTCTGGTATTTATTCTAATATTAGAACAATTTTTACAGATATACTAAGCTTCCTAGAATTTGTACAACAACTCTTAATGTTAACAGAAAAATAATAAAGACTGAAGTGGTTAACAAAGTAGGTTAGTAAATTAAAGAGTTAACAATAAGGTAGCAATATTCAAGGGATAAAAAATGTCAACACAACGGATTAGTCCCTTGGCTTGTTACTAATTGAAAATAATGCTAATTTAAATATATATTACATCTACAATGTCTGCAAGGCTCAATCAGTTTACAATTAAGAAGATAAAAATTCTTTTAAGTTGAAATATTTATCATTTTTATAAAAATTTAATTCGTTTAAATACTTTTTCATTGAATGTGCATGTGCTTCTTATGTATGAAAAGCTGACAATATATAATCTAGATATTCTTTATAGTCAATCATTTATCACTTTTCTTTTGTACATTGTAGTCATAAAGAATTGATGTAATATTTACTTTTAAGTAATAAACATTATTTGTTAAATTTAATATTATAATTGGTTATGGATGTCAAAAGTTATAAAAATAAAGAAAGTTGTTCAAAAGACTAGATCTTTTGAAAGCCATCTAGATAGCTCTGAATGGAGGTTATATAACATGGGCTGATCTGGAATTATCTAGACCCTCCACAATCACTAAATAAATGTTTTTCATTGATCAGGTTTTAGTGTATAAATGTAGTTTAGGCAGTTAGTTGAGCTCAGTTTCCCTCAGTCGGTTTGAAGTTAGCATGGGAGTGAGTTCTTTTGAAGAATTATTAGTGTTGCTTACATTGTTTGTGTTGATAATGCTGTACCAATAAGGATCAAATTTTAATAATAATTTAAAATGTTAATGGTTGATTATTACCTATTGTGTGAGTACTATGATATTAGTGAGTATGATGAGTATTGGTGTTATTCCCAATAAGATTACTATTGTGAATAACAATAATCAATAAATTGGTAAATTTAGTTATTGTTTTTGTTAACTAAGACAGCCTGAATAACTGATATAATGAATTGGATAAATTGTAGCTTATTCATTGTTATTATGTTTCTTTTTAGCATCCTGATGATTTCCTTTGTCAAATTCTAGTTCATTGTGCTAGTTTTCTGTCTGATAGCAATGTATTCTTTGTCCAAGAATCACTTATGACTAGTATAGATCTCTTTCCTTTGGCTATTGTAAAAATAAGCAAACTACGAAAAATTGCCAAAAACGTAAGTATTCTTTTAGCTATATAATTTTTAATAATCTCATTTCTGTTTATAAACTCATACTATAAGTTATGCATTTTTGTAAACTAATGTTAAGTTCATGGGTGGTAAATAGTCAGAACGTAGTCAGTTTTAAGGTTTTTATTGTTGCCAACAATAAAAATCTTAAAGCTAACTGAGTCCTGACTATTTATCATCCATGATATGTAGAATAGTTGACCAACTTCCTTCAATAATGTTGAGTTCATTAACTCTGCATCTGTCCAAAACATTTTATAGAGGAATAATTAGTAATTTTATTCTGAGACGTTTTAGATCTGTTTCAGTTTACAACTAGGCGATTCCCTTTCCGCAGTTTTGTTGTATTTGCACCTACAATAAATCATTAAATAAAATACTCTTGCTTGGTAGTGGTTATATGTTACTGTTTGGTGGAAGCATAGAAGCTATTAAATTACAGCTTTTATGAAAGCCAATAAAGAATTATGTTCATGAAATAAATATGGACAAATAGAATTCTGAGATAATTATAGAAATAGAAATTATAGATATATGGATGATTACTTTATACTTAGATCATGGATTTATAATATCTAAAATCAGCAAAATTTATGAAGTAATAAAAGCTTAAACTGTTTGTTATTTCTTTGTTAAAACTATTCAGTTCATGCCTGCTGTCAAGGAACCTGAAAGTTCAAGGGTCCCTACACGGTCAGTTGGAATGACATTCTGAGGCACTAAATTAAATCAAGTGGGCGATAAATTGAACAAAATAAGTGGAAAACTACACAATTCACTTATAGAAAAAATAATCTTTAACTTTTGTGTCTATTTTTCTTTTTCATTTTTTCTCAGAAAATTTATTTTCATAATGTTTTTCCTTAATGTTTGTATTTTATTGACTAATATTTTTCTAACTTTTGTCAAAATAATTTCCAGGCACTAGGAAGTAATTATTATATCTTCACTTTCTCTTCATGTCCAATGCATTAAGGATAATGGCCAAACAAACTTTTTTAATGAAACACATTATTATAAATGGACAATGCACCACATCCACACTGTCTGTTGTCTCAATGTCAACTGAGCTAAAATTGTGTCAGTCTTATTGATACTTATTGAGTTCATCATAATTAAAACAATCCTAGTCAATTTTTTGACTGTCATTCATGACTGATCGTGTAGGGTCCGCATTAGAATCCCACGACCATTACCTTTCCATATTCCATGTGACCATCATGTATTCTGTAAAAGTAGCCATTGTGATTAAAAGAACCACACCTTTAGTTCTTCAAAAATAAGAAAAATAAACTCACTGGAGTATATAGAAGGCAACATAATTTGGATTAGCAGGATATGCACCCATAAAGTATAATTGAAGTACAGTCGCACTAGAATTAAACATTTTCACAGAATTGACTAGTTTCAGCATTTAAGTTATTATTAAAATTAAACTATTCAAAATATAAGATCACTAACATCAATACTGAATTGAAACTTTATTATCTAAGAGGTAATCTGATACGTAATAAGTGGGAGGATTTGGATAAATCTTAATTATTTCTTGCGTTGAAAAAATGGGATATCAAAATTATTAGGTTACTAATAACCAATGTTACTATCAGCAAGCTAATGAATACTGTTGCTATTTTATCATTAAATTTGCATTAATCTGCTTTCTAATTGATAATAATAGTTTAAAATTATAGACATTAAAATGTATTATGCTGTTCATGCTGTATCATTTCCTTTTTAGGTCATATTGACGCTAAATGAAATCATTAAACAAAGGCAAGTTCATTCTACTTTCATTGAAGTATTTAAACTTAGTATCATGGCTCTCAGAGATGATCCAAATATTTCTTTCGATTCTGTTGTAAAAAAAGTAATGGAATCATGAAATTAATTTTTAATTTTCTTGCATGTCAAATCATCTTTGTTATTAAACTTTTTTAATGTAAATAATTTAATGGTTTATTGTTACTACCGATATTATTGTATTAATTATGTGATTCATCAGATTGTACGAATGAAACAAACATAATGAAATTTATTGATAGAAAGTCTTTAATTTTTAAAAATATATTTATTCTGTGATACTTTTATGGACAATATTTTACTGTACTGATTCTGTTTTTATTAATCATTGTCCATTGTTTTTAAAAAACTAAAAATATGGATTTTTAATAGATTAAAAAATGATAGGTTCAATATGAAATATTTTTATAATTTATAGTTTGTTTAAATCTTTCCACCTTTTTAAAAATATTTTATAAAGTCATTTTTACAGGTGTCTTTAGATACAATATACTTACTTAATAAAGTTTTAAGTTATAACAACGTTTTTACTGTTGTTTTAAATAGTAAGTTTATTATTTTTTACTATTACCATTAAGGGCTTTGGTTGTTTTAAACTACTTTGTAAATTTTATCTTTGTATTTCTGCAAACTAGTAGTTGCTCAAGACTGTAATGTTTAACTAAAATATTTTGTTATTATATGAGTATATCTTTTTACAAGATTCAAAAAGTATGCTAAGGTGTAATTTATTTTTGGCAATGAAATTTACCCTTAACCTAAATCATTATTTTATATGTATATCAAAATCTTTTATGGTTGTTTGTTGCTTTAGATATTTGATGTTATGTTCGTATTTTTTACTGATGCTTAAAATGCAGTTGATAAATTTTAAATAAACATATTTTGTTTTAGATATTTTATTTATATGGCATCCTTTTAAAAATTGTAAATAACATGTAGATTTTTTATAAAACTTTTATTTTATTTATTTTTTTCATATTGGTGCTGTATGAAATATGCTTTCAGTATATTAGTGTCCTCTCACCTTTAACAGTTGTTAATCTTGGGAAATTCTCTAGGGACCTTTTAATCATTAAAGAAAAATCTGATTGTTAATGTTAATATTATTTCTTTTCATTCTTATTTTGATCATTCATGTTTTTTTTTAATTGAAAATCCTCTCAAAATTGATGTAGTAATAATAAACTAAACTAGGTACACATGAGAAGATAAACATATTCTACTTAGATAATTATATCATTAAAGAAGAACTTGAAATTTAAAAGGTATAAAATGTATTAAATAAAGTCTTCTGAAGAAAGCTTTTTTTTTTTTTTTTTTTGAACATTCGAATTATCATATTTGGATAAGGTAACTATCAATCTCTTTGTCTATATATTCAATATGATTTAATATTAATAATTTTTTTTTTTAATTTATTTATGATGATAGTGTTCAGAGAACGCATTCACACTCTATTTACAATAAATAATACATACAAATAATAATACTAAAAGTAAACTAATCATAATAACTACCCAAATACACACAGGCTTCTATACAATAACTAAAAAACATTTATTCACTCAAGATCTCCGAGACAAGACTTTCTCCCCATCGTGGAAAGAAAGGCAGGACTCTAGAAGATCCCAGCGCCTCTTACTCAGTCATATTACTGGTATACTGGTATTAAGGAGCAGTAGAGGCTGCACAGAGACGCAATAATCACACAAACATGACTTGAGTGGAGAATCTGGCCATTGCCAAAACTCCAATATATGCTTATTCACAAAAGGTCTCTGGGCCACTGCTGCTTCAACCTTTCGAGGAGGATTGTAGGGATGGGTGGTGCTGGATAGAGATTCTGCAATATAAAAGCTTGCTGTCCAACTATATTGGGTTGCTAGACACACAGCATACTGGTTAATCCATAGGACAATAAATAAAACATATATGAATATACAGAAGTGGTTAGTATACATGAGAATTATAAATATATATATATTTTTTTTTTCTTTCCTTGTTCATGCTTTTTTTTCTTTTTTTTTACATTTAATTACCCTTTCTGTCTCTTTATCTCTCTTATATAAAGTATTAAATAGCTTACAATTATTCAATAGAACAATAACAAAAAACAAAAGTTTATATACATCTATAATTAAATACAATTTAATATAAAACAAATACAATACACATTTTTCAATAAATTATTGCATCATTTTAAATAAATTTATTGCAGTCATGTTTGCCATGACAACTGTCATGAAAACTTTTAAGGTGATAGGATATCAGAACACATAATTTTTTTACATAGCTCGAGGTGGATTTCAACTTATTTTGTTATATCACCTTAAATTAATTAATACGGACTTAAAGCTTACTAAACAAAAAAGTTTTTCTAAATGTGGTGTGTCTGTAGGATAGTTGGAGCGTGAAAAATAAAAATTACAAGTAATTCGTATCTTCTTAAAAAAAGAATTTAGTTAAATTTATCCGCTTAAAAGTCCTCTTCAAATGGTTTTAACAATTACAAACTCAACTTTCGTTTGAAGTAAATTATATAAAAATTCAAAGCTTAAATTTCCTACTGTTCTGCCGAAAACCGGACAATTGTGAATATCAACTTTTTTTTTTATCTCTCTTAAAGTGTACTTGTTTAAATATTTCCCTCTACTTATGGGACGCCCTTCATATTAAAATACCCTAGGATTTTATTATTTAATCACCACTCAAGTTTCACTTGATATTCACATTTTCCATGACGAACTATTATGATTGTGTTGTATTTTTATTTGAGCGTGTATACAAATATGTTTTCCATCATTTATTTTTAGCTAGAAATGTACTAATGCTATGAAGGCTGTTTCTTCTCCTCCATGTGTTTAATCTAAACAGATACGTTATATGTTCAATGTAGTTTTTAGATATTTTCAAGCATATAAAAAAACAGTAAAACAAAAAAAAAATTAAATAAAAATCCTTACAACTATTCAAACAAATAAATTTTAAATATTCAATATTATATCTGTTCGTCTCACAATAATTAGGCTGAATTTTTACACATAAAAATTCCCGCCATTTTTTTCTAGTCCGTAGCTCCCCCAATCAAAATCGGAAGTCTACGTCTATGCCCTTTGGAATCCTTTATCTCTTTCCCTACTTACTATTAAATAAGTAGGAGCACAGGCGGATCTACGGGGGGAGGGATAGGGGGCTTTCGCGCTGAAGCCTCCCCCCCCCCCCAAAAAATGGTAATATATAACCAAGTATTACAGAAAAAATATTAAAAACTATGTCTTAAAGTATTCTTATTCGTGTAATTACATTTAATAGGACTTCAAGAACCACTTCAACACCATTTTTTTTTTTTTTCGAATTAATTATTGTTTTATATATATATATATATATATATATATATATATATATATATATGAAAAAACACTTTTGGGCTGAAGCCCTCTCCCCAAAATTAAATGCTGGATCCGATAGTGAGTAGGAGTATGTTTAATAGCATCATTTACTCTGGTGAGGTTTTTATCTGCCCTATTTTTCGACGTTTTTATGAGCTAAAAAGTATACCACCCATTATAATAATATGGTTCAATTAAAGAACTGTAATTTAAAATAAAACAAATATAAATTAAAAGGAAGATAATAATCTATATAAGTAAACTAAATAAAATGTAAAGAATAGAATATATTCTTAGCTGAACAGTTGACAAACAGCTAGGAGTTAATACCACGGAGCAATGTAAACACATCCGAACTCAATGATGTCAACTAAATGTGAATTGCAGTTGGATTACTCTTAATAATATTTAATAAGAAATCGTAAGGAGTATCATTAAAATAAATATATACATATAGTAACAGACAACTTTATTATTTCTGAAAATAATGAAACATATTTCTACGAAAAGTCAAAAACAGCAAGTGTAATGAATGAACCATAATCCAATCTTGATAGGATTAACGCCTTATAAAAGAGAAGGGATATACTATAATGGGACCCATAGCGAACTTTTGAGACACATCTAATTATATTAAACACTTTTTCACTTGACTTTCATAAGAGATTAATATGGTCACGCCACAGCAGTTTCCGATCCAGCAGAACACCCAGTAATTTGAATTTTTCTGTGATATTAAAAGTAAATGAACCTAATTGTATGTTACCTGTTATTAAACTATGCTTGCAGGAGAAAATCGTGATGGCACTTTTTTCGGATATGATACAACCATGATTAATCCACCGATAATTAAACCTTTCCATATTTTCTGTCATATACATAATAGCTTGATCTAGTCTTTTGTGGGAAGTATAGATAGTAATGCCATCCTCACATTTTAACGTTTTGGTGTAAAGTGAGAACAAACAACTAGTGGAGGATATATAGATAGAAAATAATATTGGACTTAGGACTGCCCCTTGTGGTAAGCCTACATGAACACTTTTTGTACCTATAGAAATGTCGAAGCGCACAATTAATCTCCTATTGAGCAACAGATTTCTAACCGCCATAACAATTCTGGTAGGAACCATAAGTTCTTGCACAAGGTTGATCAAAAGCTTAATATTAACGCAGTTAAAAGCGCTTGATAAATCCATGAATACGGGAAAGAGATACTTGCTAGAAGTAAAGCTAGGTAGCCGTCAGAAGTAGGTGAAGCAAGAACTATTGTGCTATTACCTCTTCTGAAGCCGTTTGCGAGATGGATAGTTTCTGGGTTTTTTTCAACCACTACTCAAGGCGGTCCTTAACTATTCTTTTATTAGTTTTAGCCACTACAGAAGAAAGAGCTATGGGCCTTTAAAACTCAGCCTTGTCAGGTTTAAGAATGGGGTAAATAATCTGAAGTCCCCAATCGGTTACTTTCAAATCATTAATCCAAACATGATTGATCAATTCAAGAAGATAACGCTTATCTAAATCTATCAGAGAGTTCTTTAAGAATTACATATTGTAAACTATCATGAGCTGGTGCGACATTTCTGCTTGATTTGATTGCGGATGAATGTTCTTTAAAAGTAAACGGTTGATTTAGTTCTGACCATGCAGAATGGTGATGGCAAGGTGGTATCGATTCAGGAGCTGAAGGAGGAGCTAGACCCATAGCAAAATCCTCAACCCAATCAGTGTTGGTGGGAGGACTAAATCAAAGATGAAAACTATTTGACGTATTTCCATATCAAGGGAATAGCTTATCTTTATTGAGTGAGTCGCAAAAACGGAACCAACTCTATTTCTTTTTTGTTTAAATAGCCTAGTACATTCGGCTGATATCTTTTTAACATCTAAATAATTAGTCCAATTAGCTTGACGTTTGTAGGAAACAAATTTAACTTTGCTATCCTCCCATGCAATCTTACATTCATCGTCCCACCAATACTTGGGTACCTTGCGTTTACTTTTATTTATTTTCTTTCTTGTGTTTGCCAATTTTTTATAAGGGATAGCTTTAGATGCAGCCTGATTTATCAAGGAAATGTAATCTGAATAATGCTCAGGATGATTAATTAAACTTAAATTATTAATAGCTTCTTTATAAAGAGACCAGTTAGCGTTGGAGGTGATCCAAACTTTCCGCGCAGGAGGAATCCATCCCTCCGCGACCACATCTAAGTGATAGACCATTAATATACAAAGATGGTCAGAACAAAGAACATGATCCGGTACCTCCCATGAAAACCTTGGTGTAAGATTGGGAGAGCAAATAGAGATAGATGTGATGTCTGGGGCAGTAGGTTTACGATTTGGTCTAGGTACAAGAGTTAAAGAACTATCGTTCAGGTAACAAAGGTGCTCGTCATCGATGAATTCTATGAGATTTGTTCCTCCAGAATCACTAAAATGGGATCTAAATGAAACATTATGGATATTGAAGTCACCGCCTACCAAAAAAAGAGATGGGACTTGAAAAAATCATGAGGACCAGACAGCAGCTTGAAGATTATTTTTAGGTTTAGCATATAATGATACAAATGATTTAATAGTATTGTTAATGGAGAAAGCTATAGCAAAAATTTGTATTTCACGTTTTAAGGCATGATGGATATTTAAAATTTGAAAGTTAATAGATTTTTTAATTAAAATACAGCCACCGCAACCGTCTGCACGATCATCGTGGACAAAGGCATATTCTGAGAAAGATAACTGCGATGAGGGATTGCACCAAGTCTCGGCCAATAGTGACATATCACAATATTACTTTTTAGCAAAAATACTTCTAGATACTGTTTTTTAGAATGAATAGATGTTATGTTCCATTAAAGAACGTGATTTTTTTTTTTTTATTATTCATACTAAAATACAAAACAAAAACAGAGTAATTAACAAAACAATAATGATGATATTATATCGTTATCGTATATTATATGTACTTTTTAATTTTGTATCTTTAAAATCACTAATTAGATTTTGTTTCCATAACTTTAAGGTAACGTTCCAACCCGAGATTCACAGGTAGTTGATCGACTCTTGTGCCTTACACTATAGCTCCTGGTTCTCCAGGTCGGGGGTTGGGTATAGGGCTGATAATCCTCTATCCCATAAAAAAACTGAGTGAACATTGCCAACCATCCTTCAGGAAAGTTCCTGATGATGAAGGAGTGAATTGTGATCGCGTCCGGTTAGTAAACCAAGTGCTCCCTGGATATCTCGAAGAATAGAACCAAGCAATCACTGCTGTTGCCTATAACAATCCCAAAAAAACTGCTGGAAGACTAATGGCAAAAAGTCAAATTCAAAAGGCATAAGAAAAAAAAACTTTTAGAGCTAATTTTTTTCATAAGACATGGTTATATTTAATCCCTCGTAGATCCGCCTGTGTGTTAGACATAGGCGGGTACAAGTTTGCTCGAAGGGGAGGGTGACCTTAAGCGGGCATGGTGGTGCCCGCTTGCTCTAAGTTGGGAACTCCGGCTATAAAGGATAATGGCCAAATAAATTTTTTAATGAAACTTATTATTATTAATGGTATTATGACAATCATACATCATTGATGGTGCAGGGTCCAATCGTAGGATATTTCTGTCTCAGTTGCTTTCTTTCACACTTTCAGTAAGTCATTTGAAACCCCAAACAGCCGATTTTCAAAATAGCTACCTCTAAAGTACGATCAGGTTCATAAACTCAGCGCTGGCTTTATCGATGGTATAGGATCCGTCTCTAAACTGGACCAACCTATGAACTCAGCGCTGAGTTCAGGAATTGGCCCTACCTCTAATATTGTTTATTTGAAATAATAATGCGCCTCACATTCTTAGAAGTAATAAATAGTAGATAAATATAAATTTGTTAATAATTAAAGTAGAAAAACAAAAAATATGTTCCAAGATTGAAACGAATTTCCGAAAATTAATTTAGTAATATGAAGTAGTAATACGTATAATATAGTATAAGCAGAATTCCATGTGGTATAATTTAAAAAGATAATGCGAGTACATTGCAATTAATTCAGTATTTGACCCAGATCACCCATAGAAACAAGAATGGATCAAAGAAAAAATAATAATAATTTCCTATTTTGGGAGGAGTTTTCAGCCCGAGAGTCTCGCCGCTTGAAGCCGCTAGTGGATTTTAGACGTGATTAATAATAATTTCGATTATTAAGATTAATTTTATCAAGAATCAGATTAGATCTATATTTTTTGTCTGTGTCGTAATGTTTGCTAAGGATAGTATGTCTAACTTAATTTAACAATACTGGAATCCTATACACGAACGTAAATCTAATGCTATTTCTGTTTCTTCTTTATGCCGTTGGCGGACCCAGAGGGGTCAAGCAGGAGTGCTCAAACACTAGAGATATGTAACAATCTAATTTTTGGAAAAAAATTATATTATATTTTATTCTATAATATGATTGTGGTTTGGACCCCACTTAAAAATGTACGATTTCTGTCTTTATTGGTATTAGTAATCAGAATATAACAAAGCATTAAAGTCCTTCCCCCTTATTGACAATTTCTTGATCCGCCCCTACTTGATGCTTATGAACTTTAATCAAAAATAAGGATTTGTTATTTGTGCATGCATTATCAATTTAATACATCAAATTAATTGCTCTCATTTGATTTTAAATTGTGCGGGTGCTTATAGAATCTAAGATAAAACACATCTTTTAATACCCTATAATTTAAAAGAGACAAATTACGCTATTGTACCGACATTTATGTTTGTTTGATGTCTGATAAGAAGGTAGCCTTGCAGTGTTTACAGTAATTTCAAACGAGCTAGCAGCTTCGCATTAAGGTCACACATTAATGAAGAATTATGGACTGTTGAGTTGAAGCTCAACGTTCACTTTTAAATTGGCTCTTGAAGTCAGCGTTCTATTGCATTGCGGCATTTTTAAAAGAAATTTCGGGTTGGGTCATTGTGAAATGGAGAATTCGATCTTTGTTTTATTAGTTGGACTAATTGGAGGATGCTGGGCGATGTAAGTAAAAACATTTGCTATTTATGGCTCAATATGATTTCCTTCGCAAATCCCGCAATTTATTATTTATCTGGTTTCAAATATAGTGTGGAAATATATAATTGAATTATTTAAAATATTATTTCATCGTTGAATGGTTACATATAAAATAATGAATTTAATTTTTTAAACTAATATAATCTTAAATAATGAAGAAAGAAAGTTTTCTTCATTGCATTAATTTTTCAAATCATATTTGGGACCGAATAACATGATTCTAAGACGTATGATAAAAAAAATTGAATCAGTCGCGAGTTTAACAGGGGAATAATACATTTCGGATCTAAGATCATTCAATTTATCGTTTATGCCTATACCAGCCTCTTCGTCTCATTTAATTAAAAGTCAAAAAATAATTTCTTGGATGAGTCTTAAAAAAATTCGAAAAATCAAGGTTACAATAGCTGTGAACATTTTCATTCCAGTACAAAAAATAAATAAAAATAATATACTTTTTTTTAAATTAGCTTGGTGAAAGTAAGCATAATTTAACCAATTCATAAAATCAATAACTTTCATTCAATAACTAATTCATAAAAATTATTAGCGAAATGAAAATGAAGTAGGCTTAGTTGGGCGTGGAAATAAACACTCAATATTCTCATCTGGAATGAGTTTATGGCCTACTCCAATTATTACTATTATAGTCAGGGATCAGCAAATTTTCCTCGTGCAATCTGATTAACAAATATCAGCATTCTTACTTGGTTTTGTACATCAAAATTTTGGGAGAAAAGAAATTATAAACTAAAAATATCATTTAAATTAACTACTCGATAACTTATTTTTCTCGGTTTATAATTGAAAAGACTTTGAAACAGTTAAGACAGTTAAAAACAGTTAATTTTTAGGTGGTGAACCCAAATATTTTGGGAAAACAATAGGTTAATCTTATTAAATGGCTCGTTGATAAAAATAATAAGCAAATATTTGTACATTTTCAATGAATCATCCCAAACTGAAAGAAATATATACATTTTTTTTGTTTTCATTTTTTGAAGCTAGTTTGTTCTGTCCAGATTAACTTAAGTGAAGCCTAAACCAAATATAAATTGTTAGTTTTTAAGTATGATTTATTCATAATAAGTGTAATTTATATTTTGGAAACGTTATGAAACTAGGCCGCCTTAGAAAGGGCCCATGAGAAAAGGATTTATCCTCAGTAAAAACCCTAGTTCTGTGATCATTTTACAGTACCTAATGGCATCAAGCGTGACTTGGGAGAAATAGTGTCGTATTTTTGCCTATTACTTTGTACTATTTTCAATTGTATATTTTATTTTTAATCCCGATAGCTTGGGTTGGGTATATTTTTTTTCATCGTCTCATTCTGTAAAGAAATATTGTCCGCAAGGGGAAGAAAAGCTGTGCCACTTGGAGGCGAGGGTAGGGTAAACCTAAAAACAAAATTTCTTTCAGCACTTGGTTAGATCCAGTGATGTTGGTTTAAGGAAATGTTTATTAACAATTTTCAGGCCATCATTGTTTCCGGCGGATTGTCCCTCTTCACTCCTTTGCATCGATACGGATAGATTTTAGGATTACTATACAAGTTCAGTAAATACCTTGGTAAATGTTTCTAAAACAATTTACCCATATATTTAGAGCATAGAGATAAAGTTCAGTAAGATGGCGATTTTATAAAAATTAGTGGCGGATTTATACATAGGCAGTCCAAATAGTAGCCTGAAGCGCCGGAATTCGACTGAAATTTTTTTTTTTTTTTTTTTTTTTTTTGTTCTTCCCTACCTCGCCTTTTAAGCTATACGGGATTTTCCCGGCCCGGGGGGTGAGGGCGGGGAAATTTAAAATTCCCTCCGGCACCGGGACGCGAACTCGTACTTTTTATATCATCTCAAATCTCTGGTATCCGGTCGCCAGGCAACTAGCGGTGCTGTTACACACGCTTTAGCCTATTCGGCCACCCCGCCCCCATATTTTTCTATTTAAAAACGTTTCCACTTACTTTTTGATATAATTAATAAGGCTTATATGTTGATAAGTCATGTATGTCTGGTTATAGCTCAAATCTCCTAATGTCCTGCCTTTCTTTCCACGAGTGGGGGGAAAGGCTTGACTCGGAGATCATGATTGAATGGATTTTGAAAATATTGTAAAATAGGCCTGTCAAACTAGCTTAAAAAAAGGAGTCTACCTTGCAAATGGTCGGGTAATTCAAATTTCTTTTTTATATTGTCAAGTTTCAGCTATTGAAAGCCTTATGGATTTGCTGCTGTGCACCAAAAACTATTGAAATTTCGAACATTTTTTGTTTTATGCAAAATATCTCCTTCTTACAGCGATAAAAAATAGTTATATTCAATCAAAAACACTTACAATTACCTAACATTTTTGTACATCATATTTTTTTCTAAACCCTACAGGAAGTGAACTATCGAGCTTTCAAAATGTGTAAAGTTTTGAGAACTGGCAAAAAAGCATGCATAATGTTTTTGTTTTTAAAAAATAATTATGTGTTTTTATAGGTGAGGTAGCTCAATTTTTTAAATTAAATATTAAAGCATACAAAATTTACTATAGCTTTTATACGAAATATATTTCTCTAAACTCAACAACTTTAATACAAATCGCTAAAAAGTAATTGATGTTTTGAAATTCGAATAAACATTTTAAATTTCATTTTTACTGTTCTCCACTTATTTTAATGAAATTAATCACCAAAAATTGGTGTTTTTCTTGTTACTTTTAAATGAACTATTTTCTAACTATTCAGCATCCATAAAAGGCCAATTATGGCGAAATTAAGCCAATTGCTGAATCTCAGTGACCGAAAAACTAACTCAAGTCAAAGACGTCAATCCTGATTGTTTGGGCGCCATTTTGGGACAATGCGGCCACTTTTTTGTGAGGACATTGGCTTCTTATTAATAAATAGTTACAAGGAACACAATTGTATGACATTTTTTGGGATGTGGGGGCACTAGCGGATCCAGCGGGTGGCGTGCCCCCTCCCCCCCTCTGGAAAATAAAAAAATATTCCAAAAAAGTTCCAAAAATACCTATTTCAAGAAAAGAGAAATTCATCCTCATAAACGAATCATAGGAAAAATTCATCCTCATAGCCGACTTTCCTAATGGAATAGAAAAAAAATTATTATCGTGATCAGCACTAGAGAATTCTGCCAGGGGGCGTGCCCTCCCTTGGATGAAGGAAAAATTCCAAAAAAAACACCTATTTAAAGAAAAGAGAAATATACGAAAAATTCATCCTCATAGCCGACTTTCCTAATGGAATAGAAAAAAAATTATTATCGTGATCAGCAGTAGCGAATTCTGCCAGGGGGCGTGCCCTCCCTTGGATGAAGGAAAAATTCCAAAAAAAACATCTATTTAAAGAAAAGAGAAATATACGAAAAATTCATCCTCATAGCCGACTTTCCTAATGGAATAGAAAAAAAATTATTATCGTGATCAGCAACTAGCGAATTCTGCCAGAGGGCGTGCCCTCCCTTGGCTGATTGAAAACATTTCCAAAAACATCTATTTAAAGAAAAGAGAAATATAAGAAAAATTCATCCTCATAGCCGACTTTCCTAATGGAATAGAAAAAAAATTATTATCGTGATCAGCAGTAGCGAATTCTGCCAGGGGGCGTGCCCTCCCTTGGATGAAGGAAAAATTAAAAAAAAAACACCTATTTAAAGAAAAGAGAAATATACGAAAAATTCATCCTCATAGCCGACTTTCCTAATGGAATAGAAAAAAAATTATTATCGTGATCAGCAGTAGCGAATTCTGCCAGGGGGCGTGCCCTCCCTTGGATGAAGGAAAAATTCCAAAAAAAAACACCTATTTAAAGAAAAGAGAAATATACGAAAAATTCATCCTCATAGGCGAACTTTCTAATGTACTATTAAAAAAAAATATTAGCATGACTGTTTTTATTAATCTTACAGTTTGTCATATTACGTCACCTCACATGGCTGTGGCGCACGGCGAGATTTTGTGATATCCAGAATAGAATGTAAGAGCAAAGCTTGGCTCGTAGGTTGAAGTGATATAGTTTTTGGGCCACCGTGAAATGCGAAGGCTTGTGCTCCAGTCGTACTTTGTTCTTACTGACTCCGAACTGAGGTCCCGCAGGTGAAATACATGATGGAGAAAAATTAATTTAAAAAACATTACGTTATTTATTCTTTTGAACCACTTTTTATTCGAGCACAAGAATATACAGTTTTACTCCCGGACCCCGTTTTTATTCAGTTCCAATAGATTTGGACGCATTAAAACATCCAGCAACTACAGCCTCCTTGAAGGCTACTAGCTTCCTACTGGCCCACAATAATAATTTTTATATTTCTATATTTCTATTGTTGTTTTCTTAAAATAGCTGCTGATGGAAACGTTTTCGTGAAGGAAGGTACTAATTATTTGATCCCCGATTTGATCGGAATCAGATTATGATCAAAATGGGAAATTATTCTGTGTTTTCTTTTTCAGAGAACTCATTTCCAAACTTAAGGGCCATATATAGTAATCTGTCTCAGATTTTGACAATGATGGTAAAAATTAGCGTTTATTGACCATATTACTTAATAAAATTATTAAGTTTAAGTACTCGTTCAACCACTAGCGGATCCAGGATTTATTTTTGGGGGAGGCTTAAGCCCGAAAGTTGTTTTTTTCATAAAAATAACGATAATTACTTTGGAAAAAAAGAAAGAAACTAACTACCTATATGAAATGGTGTTTAAGTGATCCCTAAAGCCCTTTTAAATGTAATTAAACGAACAATAATACTATAAGAGATACTTTTTAAATATTTTTTTCGATAAAACATGGTTATATTTTACCATTTTGGGGAGGGCTTCAGCCCGAAAGTCCCCCCCCCCCGTAGATCCGCCCGTGCGTTCAACGAACAATTTGACGTTCTTTCATTTCTTAAATAATACGTTTTTCGCTTAGACGCATGATTAGTAGTAATACATGAAAAAAAAATCAAATAAATTGGGATTTTTGGCTGTAAATAGTTTTTTCTCCCAAAAATAGGATATCGCTCAAGTAGAGGTAAATATTTAAAGGAGTGATAGCAGAACTCAAGAAATACAAAAACGTTTACCTAAACAAAGGTTCGATTTCCAGCAGGGATGTAGGAAATTAAAGTTTTGTGAATTTTTAAGTAAGTCACGTTTTTTGGTGAATAGGAGGTGATAAGTAAAAAACATTTTATTTGAGTAATTAACGATTGCTTCACTGTACACTAGATAAAATTTACTTTAAATGAAAAAAGAGTTAGCTTTTGTTAAAACCATTTAAAGAGGTCTTTTGAGCGGGAAACTCAACTAACGAGTGGGGGAAGATGGGTAGTGGTGGGGGAAGGTGCGCCCTCCCCCTGATAAAATTCCTGGATCTACCACAGTGTTGGGGGGAAGGGTATATCGCAGGGGAGTCTGACCCATTGTGTAAAATACTTTTCAAAACACCTCCCGACTACCGTCTACTGGTCCAGTCAATAGCTCATTATCTTCAAGGAAAGCCTCCAAATTCTCCGAACAAGGTCCAGAATGGAGTTGCGAAATTCTTCCATCCAAAACTGAAAGAGCACTATTGTGAATAAATCGAAACGGGTAAATTGTCAAAGCTCGATAATTCGCTTCCTGTTGGGTTCAGAAAAAAAATGTTGTTTACAAAAATGTCAGATAATTTTAAGAATGAAGATTCTGCATTGGGGCGCAAAATGTACTATATGGGAGTCTTTCTCGAAGTTGAACAGACCTTTGATAGAGTCTGGCACCCGCTACTGCTGTACGAATTCCGTAAATTCCTTCCTCATTATCCGTTCATACCTTACTGGCCTATACGTCAAAGTAAATCCCAATAATGCATGTTCATCCCTCTTTTCCCGTTCAGCTAGTGTTTCTTAAGGGAGCATCCTCGGCAGCATTTATACAGTTTATACAGCTGATATCCCAACCCATCCTAACACGGTCATCACCACCTATGCCTTGTATCCTATCAGTTAATAATGACCCTTTAATTGCATCCCAAACTCTCCAATCACATATCACAAACCTTGAAGAATGGTTTCATAACTGGAGAATAAAAATAAATTCAAATAAATCCCATCAAATTACCTTTACCCTCCGTCGTAAACCTACAACTTATTGTCCTACAATATCCTTCAATGATACTCCACTTGTCCCTGTTGAAAAAATGCACTTGGATAAACGTCTCACTTGGAACGCGCATACTCGACTGAAACGACAAGATAAGACTGATCTGCTCAACGTTTCCGACTGCTCCAACACTTACTAGACAAACGCTCTAAACTTCCAATTAATTACAAAATACTCATATAAATAACCATAATAAGACCTATATGGCCATAAGGAGTTGAGCGTTAGTGCTCTACCAAACCATCGAATTACTATCGTATCCAATCCTTACAATCCAAAATCCTTAATGCCCCATATTATGTCACAAATAAAACCATTCATAAAGACCTTAATGTTCCATATGTCGCTGATTTAGCCCGAGCCAGATACCTGTTCTTTCATGATAAACACCAGTCCCATCCGAATCCGCTTGCTTACAGCCTAGCTTCTTCGATTCCTGATAATCCCCCAAGGTGTCTGAAAATAAGATGGCCTCGCGATCTTCTTAGCTAGATTTAAATAGGGAGTACTGCCACTGGGTAGTATCTCTTCGAGTCCGTTCATGTCATTATTTCTAATGTGTGCATATTTACTGGTTGTATTTGTATTCAGTTGTTAATTTCATTAAATAAAAAAAAGGATTGAATATAAACCTTTTTTTTTACATATGTCGCTCGAAAAAAAAAATATATATAATAGTAAACCAAAAAAAGTTTGAAATTTCAATATTTGTTTAGCACTGCAACTAACCCTTAAGCCTTTCAAGGGCGGAAACTTGGATTTTTTATTTTCACTACATACCAAAAAAAATTTTTAAAAATTGAATTTCTCGACCTTTTGCTAGGTAACATTTCTAATTTGACTGGGCTATAAAAGCATTTGTGTATTGCAGTAGTTATTTTGATTAGTTCAGTTTCTTTTTGTTTACTTTAGTTTCTTTTAGCTTATATAAATTTACAATTTTTCAACGGTTATTATTATTCATCTCTTAGTTCTTAGTCATTATTCTAACAATTTCATTTTACTTTATATTTATTTATTTATTTTTTTATGACCATCACTACTTATGTTTCTCATACCTTGTCATCTGGTCATTTTCTTAGCCCTGATGAAGGCCTGAACTTCAGGTCAAAACGTCGGCATATGTAAAAATAAATATTATCATTTATTTTTGCCTTCTTTTTTGACTAACCACCCCAACTATTCTTCTCTTCATTATCCACGACAGTCAACCATTTACCAATTATTTATAGAAATTTACTTTTAGCATTATTATTTTGCTTTTTACTTATTGTACATATTGTGAATGAGCTACTTTTTTATTACTATTACTATTGTCCTAAGATATGACAGATTGTAATATATCTCAATAAAGAATTTTCGAAAAAATTAGGCTATAATTATTTTTGGAAATAAGAGCGGGTGGAAAGATTCGTATTATCATCCATACCGGTGGGCGGCAGTAAAACATAACCTTTCTTGCCTTAAATGTTATTTTCATGCAAAAACACTCTTTTATGGTTTTCAAATAAATAAAACCTGGAAATGTGCAGAATCACACAATTATAACATTTTGCATTAATCACTATATTCGACCAATGGATATCGCTGTACATTGAGAATAGTTTTATGGAAAATGAATTAATTTTATTTAATATTTTATATTATATTAAATAATTATTTAAGAGGTAAATAAAATGAATATGTTATAAACGGTAAATGTAAATAAACGGTATGTTATAAAATGAATATTGAATAAGAACGAAACCAGATTAGCAGGATACTTATTGAAAACTGACTGACAGAGAAAGCAGACAACCAGAAACGTAGCAGTATTCTATTTATATCAGATATAATTAATAGATTTGAATATTTAATAGTTGACCGTTGCATTATAAAGGAAGGAGATGGTCCGGGGTTGCGGTCATAAATAGGCCAAATAGTGGTAAAACTATTTAATTATGTCAGTTCTAAGTGAAACTCCTAAATGAACACACCTCCCTGATGAAGACCTGCAAAGTCGGGTCGAAACGTCGGCTTTCAATAAAATAGTTTTACCACTATTTAGCCTATTTATGACCGCAACCTCGGACCATCTTTTCCCTACATAATTAATAGATATTTCAGAATATCTCGTTTTTATTTATTATGTAAGGGAATATCCATCCTGTTCACGATTGGGAAGATATAGTTATCTGTTTTAGGAATGAACATTGCAATAATACAGATTTGTCGGCAAGTGACTTCATCGACTCCCTTTGCTATGATAAATGGACAAGACCTAGCAATGGTTCGTATCCACTTACAGTACACGTCCGGATGTACATTTATTTTGTGGGTGCGATAGAAGCTCAATACTTGGTGGGTGAGTGTTCAAACTGAATAAGTGTAATGACTATATAGATATAATAAAAATCAAATTAGTTTATAATATTTTCAGCAATTCACAACCAACGTTCTCATAAGTTACAAGTGGAAAGACAACAGGCTGGCTAGGGAAGGAGGTGTGATAGAAGGTGAGAAGTCTTTGTTAGGGAAGCTTTGGAACCCACATTTATATGTTGTCAATGAACTAGACAGCAAGATTATGGGGTCAGGAGAAGATGTTTTACTCACTATACATAGCGACGGCACTGTTCGTCAGTCTACCAGGTAACTCTAATTTATTATCATTCCATATGTTAACCTTAACCTTAAAGGAAATAGAAAATTAATGTTTTCCTACATTTTCTTCTGTATAATTGATAGTACGTGGATTTTGAAACGAAGTTTAGCATAAATTATCAATTCCAGCTTCTGGACTTGAATTGCCTTTGATGATGTTAAAAGGAAATAGTGCAGAACGAATACAGAATATCGTGAAGATAGTTGACGATTATAGTAAAATTTCGATATAATTTTTAATTTTTCTTACATTTAATTTGGGTAGGATTAAACTGAAAGGTTTCCTATGTGTGACTTAAACTATGATTGAAGAACATATAAATCATTTACTGGGCTACAGTTTTTAAAATTGGAGACAATAGATCGGAAATGTTATAAATAGTATAACATTGAACTTTTCTTTCTTGATAATTAATTAATTCTTTTACAATTATTATCACTATTGTAATTCGGTGATTATAATCCATGATCTCCCAAAACATACCTGAATTAACTAAGTAAAGTATATTATAATATTTTTACTTTCACTTACCTATATATGAAATACACTAGCGGATCCAGGATTTAATTTTGGGGGGGGGGGCTTCAGCCCGAAAGCTTATTTTTTCATAAAAATAACAATAATTACTTTGGTAAATAAGAAAGAAACTAACTACCTATATGAACTGGTGTTTAAGTGATTCCTAAAGCCCTTTTAAATGTAATTAAAAATTTTCGAATCTGAGTTTTCAACGAAAATACATGTTTTGAGGTCTCCTGAGCCCAAATAACCAAGTCCCGCAAAATGGTCTGTGTGTATGTATGTGAACAGACTAGCTCAAAAACGAAACTGATATTACGTATTTAAGATAGGTATATGGCTGGGATGTTACAAAAACTTTATCCTTAAAATCGGCTAACCGGAAGTTCCACATTATATCAACGGTTATACACATTTTTAAAATTTTCTCAAAAACAGCCTTAACGATTTTAATTAAACTCTGTGTATAGTTGAATAATTAATCGTGTTAATAATGAATCGTCATGTGTTCATCTAAAGTACCTTTAATTTGATTTATTTTAAATAATTAACTATCTCTCATTATTAGGAGTTACGAAAAAATGCTCAATATAACTTTTGAAAGAATTTGATAATTGAATAAAGGAGAAAAAAATAAAAATGCTTATCCAGGCCGAAAATGAATTTCCGGAAATACTAGTCAGAAGCTATTCGTATAATATATCGTTGGAAAGCGGAGAATTTTAAAAAACAACATCTAATATATAAAGTAATGGATAGTGACGAAAAGTTATAAATAATGATTTGTGAAAGCTAATATTATTTAACGAAAATCACACATTTCCAAAGAAATAAAATTTAATTTACTAACTAACGTAAACTTTTTTTAAAAAAATTTAAATTTGAAGAAAAAGTATTTAAAATCCAGTTAATCAAGAAGAAGTGAAATATAAGGATATTTCATGGATACTTTATATGGATATTATACTTAAATAAATTGGTATCTATTGTCTGTTTATTCCGAAAAATCATCATGTAACCTTTTCGAAAATTAAATTAGTGAATAATTTGATGAATTTTCCCTTTGTGAAATCCCAAAATTATCCAGTTACAATTAGTATGACAACTTTTAAACTATTTATGGCAGGCAATGATAATCTCTTAATTTTATTTTAGTAAACTTTACAATGAAAAATGACAGTTTAATAACAGATAGTCGTATAATCCGTAATCATTAATAGGTTAAATGTATAGATGTACTTTCAAATCTCTCTAGGCATATACGAGCTTTCCAGTTGTCATAGTGACTAACTTCAATTTCAACATTTTTTATTTATTTATTTATTTATTTATTAACACGTCCACTGTACTTTATGTATTTTATGAATTAGGTTAAGAAGAGAGAGGAGAAAATATGAGGAGTAGGAAAAAGGTATAAGGGGAGAGAAGGAAGAGAAAGGGTATAGAATGATAATAAATGAACGAAAGAAATATAAAAAAAAAAATAAAAAATAAATAGATTAAAAAAAATGAAAACAATATATAAAAAAATAGATTAAAAAAAGAAAAATAATAATAAATAACACACACACACACACACACACACATATATATATATATATATATATATATATATATATATATATATATATATATATATATAATATTGTATACTTTGCGCTCAACATATTGTTAATCCTATTTAATTGTATATTAGTTTTAAAAATTGTCTGTAGTGATTAATAAGTATGCTGTGTTTTTAGCAACCCAATGTAATGGAGCAGCACCATTTTATGATAATAAAGTGATTCTCTCTCTCTAGTAATATTTCTAGTGGGAAAATGTATATCTTTATTCGCAGTTCTATATTTCAACACCGCCATCACCAACTGTGGAATCAACTGACGCACAGTTTGTACAGATATTATAAATTTTCCAACTAGAAATATCACTAACATGACATTACTCAAAAATATTGAAATTGGAGTTAGCCATTCTTTCAACTGAAAGGCACATTTAGCTAAGAGACTGGAGTTTATGGTTTAAAAAAAAAACAGATGGAGTAACGAGGTTTTTATTGCCTTCCACCGTTATAATAAACGGGGTTTTTGTTATTTTAATGGTCTTGATGATTTGTTCACACCTAACAAATTTTAAAGTTTTAGCTCCGTTTAAAATGAACTACAACAATTTTATAATAGCCCATCACTGCCAGAAAATAATTTCAATTCATAGTACAGCGGTAAGTGAAAGTTGTGTATTGCGTGCTCCAGATTTTTTTTTAAATCAATAGAAAAATAAATTTGATTCGTTTTGAATTTATAGAAAAATAAATTTAAATTGTTAAGTAAATTTTTTCAAATTACTAGTTCTTATTAATTTTCTATTTCTTTGTTACGATTTATTTTTCAGGGTTTCTTATCATCAGTTCCTATCTTACTGATAGACACTTCAAAGTAAATCACAATAATACCTATTCATCCCTCTTTTCTCAATCTGCCGGAGTTCCTCAAGGTAGTATCCTTGGTCCTATCCTTTACAAAGTTTATACAGCTGATATCCCAACCCATCCTAATACTGTCATCACTACGTATGCTGATGACACATGTATCCTGTCAGTTAATAATGAGCCAACAATTGCATCCCAAACTCTTCAATCACACATCACAAACCTTGAAGAATGGTGTCAAAACTGGAGGATTAAAATAAATTCCAATAAATCCCATCAAATCATCTTTACCCTTTGTCGTAAACCAATGACTTGCTGTCCTATAGTATCCTTTAATAACACCCCACTTATCCCTGTAGAACAAATCCGATACCTAGGACTCCAGCCGGACAAACGTCTCACTTGGAATCCTCATACAAGACGACAAGAAACTGCTCGACGTTTCCGCTTACTCCAACACTTACTGGACAAACGCTCTAAACTGCCAATGAATTACAAACGACTCATATACATGACTATAATAAGACCTATTTGGACTTATATAAGTTAGCTATGGGGCTCCACTAAACCATCAAATTCCTCTCGTATCCAATCATTACAATCCAAAATCCTTCGTAAAATCCTCAATGCTCCTTACTTTGTCACAAATAAAATAATCCATAAAGACCTCAATGTTCGGTATGTTTCCGATTTGGCCAAATCCAGATACCTATCCTTCCATAATAAACTTCATAACCATCCGAATCCTCTTGTTTCTAACCTTGCTTCCTCTTCGATTCCTGATAACCCTCCGAGGCGTCTGAAAAGAAGATGGCCTTGTGATCTCCTCATGTAGACAAATTATTAGAGTGCTACCAATGGGTAGTTTCTCAACAAGCGTGTTTCATGTGATAATATTCCTCTGTACACATTTACTTGATATATTCATACTAATACAGTTGTAAATATCATAATAAAAGTTTTAAAAAATTTTTCAGGATGAAAATGTCATTGTTGTGCCTTATGAACCTCCAAAAATTTCCATTTGATTCTCAAAACTGCCCTATAGTTCTTGAGAGCTGTAAGTACCCAATATTATATGTAAACCTAAGCTTTTTATATTTTTATTAAATAATTATTTATATTTATCGATCAGTTTTTATTTTCACTTACCTATATATAAAATATATAATTAAGGAAAGTATTGCGTGAATATTTTCGAATCTCAGTTTTCAACGGAAATACATGTTTTGAGGTCCCCTGAGTCCAAATAATCAAGTCCCGCAAAATGGTCTGTTGTGTGTGTGTGTGTGTGTGTGGTGTGTGTGTGTGTGTGTGTGTGTGTGTGTGTGTGTGTGTGTGTGTGTGTGTATTTAACAGTCTAGCTCAAAAATGAAAAGTCGTACGAAAGTGAAATTGCATATTCAAGGTTTTTATATGGTAGGGATGTTACAGCAACTCAAAATCTTTATATCTTGAACTAAACACTTTTTTACGATTTTCTCGAAAACGGCTCTAACGATTTTGATTCAATTCCTTATTTCAGTGTAAAATTTTTGAATAAAATGTAGTTTTTATTCTGATTGATGTTCTCTAACAGGGCTCAACTGGCTAATTTATAATATTAGCTTCCTCTAAAGTACCTTTAATTTTTTTATATTTGAAACAATTGACCATTTCACATTAATCTGTAATATAAAAGATAGTTAAATATAATATATGAAAGAATTTGATAATTAACTAAAGGAGAAATAAGAGATCGTAACGGAGAATAGTTGAAACTGGGTAACCAAAGGAATACGAGCGCATCCGAACTCGCCCGAAAGATTAGAAACTTCCATACATAACATGAGGTTAATATAATACGAACTCTAAACTTGGCACAGACAAGGATCCGGCGTGCGAAAGCTACCTACTTCCATGAAACCCTTTCCTCAGCTCCTGATATCAAATCGAAATGGCTACTGTTTCGTAAACTTTCCATTTGTAATCCTTCCTGATCCCCTACCGCAGCCTTTACTGTATCCTCCGATGATTTAAACTCTTATTTTATATCTATCACTAATACCTCTTCTCTATCTTCCTCTTCCGGCTTTTATACTTTAACGACAATAACTTTTATTTTTTCCGACATTTCTCACACAGACCTGTTAACCGCGGTAACGAAATCCCACATCAATTCCATAGGACCAGACGGCATCCTTGTCGAATTAATAAAAATATGTCTCCCTGAAATCCTCCAAACTCTCCTTTTTATCTACAATTTCTCCCTTCAGAATTCAGTATTTCCTACCTTTTGGAAAAAAAAGCCATTGTTCTTCCTTTAAGTAAAAAGCCTAATCCATCCTCGTCCGAAGATTTCCGTCCAATTTCAATTCTTTCTAACCTCTCAAAGACTCTTGAAAGACTGATGCAATCCCAAGTCTCCAAGTTCCTCGAAAAGTCTAACCAATTTGATCCTCTCCAATCTGGTTTCCGTTCCTGCTATTCAACACAATCTGCCTTAATTAAAATTACCAACGACATTCAATCTGCAATAGATGATAGAAAATTAATTGTCCTTATACTTCTCGACTTCTCCAAAGCCTTCGATACCATTAACCATTCCATCCTCTTCAACAAACTAAAATCATTATCTTGTTTAACTAATATTTTCTTTACTTTCTATTTTTTTATTATTATTTTATTTTGGCCAGGTGTAGTCTTTTAATTATATTCTTTTTGTTATTCTAAAGTGACTTTGTCCCAGAATAAAGTTATTTTCTATTTCTATTTCAACTCTGACAATATTATATAAATATATATATGCGGTTTTCAAACACTTCCCCTTTGTCTAAAAATAATTATTTCTGCTAAGAAAAGGGTAGTAAGTGAAAGTTTTGTGATGCGCACCAGATTTTTTTATTAATATAATCATAAATTAATATCTAAAACAATAAGCAATTGTATATGGGAAAATCTCGTATTTATAACTTTAATTCATATTGCACATACATTTTCATGAACATTCGGTACATGGATTGTTTTTTACATATCGTGAAGCGTGTGCAATTAATAAAAGAAGAGTAATTCCCTAGGATTCCATTATGTTAATAGTTTTAATTCAGATGAACTATATGTCTTTTTACGATAAGAGGGGGGACTGGACTGGGGTTGCAGCCTCGTGGCCCTTTCTGGCCAACAGGTTTTTATTTTTAACTTATAAATTTAAATTTAAATAAAGTGTAGTAGCCCGCGCTACAGGCCCCTTTTTGTCAAATTGTTAACATCCACCGAAAACTCCGTGAATGGCTTCATTTTCGTAACCTATACTTTTTATATCCACGAAAATTCTCAGAAAAAGGTGACGATTTCTCAATAAATTAATTAATTTAAATACTAAAAAGTCATAAATACACACTTGCTTTCCACTTGAATCGTAAGATAATTTGATCACAAAATTGAGAAAAAAGGCGGCCTACAAAAATATTGGGGCGTACACAATACCTCGTTATTTTGAAATGGGGTCACGCTAAACGGCTCAATATTTTTGTAGACCACCTTTTTTTCTCAAATTTTTGATCGAATTATCTTACAATGCAAGTGGAAAACAGAAAGGTAAGTAGACAAAGTTTGTGAGTGAAAAAATTGCCTTGTTAGAAAATTACATTTTTGTTTTTAAAAAATTGGTTCATGAACAATGTGTAATGTCAGTAAAAATAAAAAAATGAATAAGTATAAACTATGAAATAATGTGATGATTTAAAATTATTATTATATTATCTAATTATAGTTACTAACAAACTTTTGATGCATGTGAACTATTGTAAATATCTATTTTGCTAATATGTATTATTTTTATTAATAATTCGTGTTGTTAAAATCCTGACATTTTTCAGGGGGCTATAACAAGAGCCAAATTAACCTGGAATGGGAGGAAGATTCACCTGTCACTGTTAACTCTAATCTGGAACTTACTGAGTACAATCTAGCCTACACTTGGACAACTAAAAGTACCAATTCTTACCTCATGTCGAAATTGGAAAAGCCAAAAGCAACTTACAGTAAATTTTGTAAGTTACAAAACTGAGGAATAGTATACAGTAGTGATTTTCTTTTAAAGGTTAATACAACTATTTCTCTAGTCCTGGAGTCGCACCAAGGCTTTATCAGAAAACAAAAATTAATTTATCCAATAATACTTAAAAAGATAAATTTCTTTCTTTTGGGTGTTTTCTCATACAAACTGGCGATGGGGTAAAGAAATTCACCTAGAAGGATGGCAACACATTTACTGAATTAATCCGTATTGGCCCAAAAGTATGTTCGCTAGATTTGACAAATGTTTGCAATATGTGTCGCTGTACAATCAGGAGAAAAATTGTAATTTTTATTTGAACGAAACTCGCACCTTTTTTTTTAATGAAAAAACAAATTAAATTGTCAGCTTTTACCTGTATTGCTCCAAAGCTGGTTAAGTAGCAGTTGGTGGTATTATAGATGATTTACTGACTATACAACAGGAAATATAAATATTGAAACGGAGTCTTATAATAATAATAATAATAATAAAAGGCATAGCGAACCCGGAGGTTCGATGCCGACACCACCAATCGCTTATTACATACCTCCCTCCAGCGTTCGACGTCCAACCCCAGATCGCCTTTAACGCAATCTTCCCACCTTTGCTTCGGTCTATCTCTCGGACGTTTACCATTCGGTACAGCAAATATCAACCTTTTAGGAGGTCTTAAGATAAGGGGTTCTTAAGATATAAACCAAAATCACTTTAATTCAGAGAACCACTACAACTAAAAATTTATTGTTACAGATAATTTGTCACATTAAATATTTAAAAAAATACTTATCACATTACAAAAACATTTAAATCACACACTTTAACCAATATTTACAATAAAAGCTGAAAAATACAATAAACACAAAATACAAACAAAAATTCTGTCTATCGTCTATGCTAAAGCTCTATAAAACTACCAGGTTCGCTCACTCATAGGGAAAATGGATGAAAGGAATCGAGCTCTGACATAACCACTAGACCGATATTACCCCTCCGGCCCTTGTTTCTGGACGTTTTAAGGTTGTTATTTATCTTTCTACATGAAATCAATACTTTAACATACAATGGTTTATTAATTTATTAATATTAATACATTTAAAAAGTGAGAGAAGGGTTCATTTGCTATTTTGTTTATTCTTAAACAAATAAAAATGTAATTAAGGAAGTTTATGTTGTAGATTTGTTTTCATAAATGTAAAATACCACAACATTTTTTTAAATATTTGAAATAAATATAAAACATGATGTGAAATAATAAAACTATTTAAAAAAAAGTATTTAATCTAAAATTAAAGAAACGTTTTATTTCTACGAATGTTTATAAATCTGACATTTTTTTGTCATAAGTAATCCTACGTAGTAGTTTTTAATTTTTTTTTTTTTGTCTAGGAGCTCTTTCAGTGGGAATATCTGCAGTTCCTGACGAATACTTTCATTGCGAACTCGGTCCCTCCTTGTTTTTCCAACCGTCCTTTGCAGAAATTTCATTTTGGCAGCGGTGATTTTCCTCTCCTGTCGGTGTGTTAATATCTAACTCTCCGCTCCATACAAAAGTATGGGTACATATACTGTATTGAAAATGTGTAGCTTGACATCTATGCCTACTTCTCTCTTCCCTACCGCAGTGTTACATATCTGGTTGTAAACTGCATTTGCATTGTTAATCCTGTATGATATTTCTGCGCCTACCTTCACAGATCCGTCTATTACTGTACCCTAGTATGTGAAGTTCTTCTCCATTACAGTATATGTGGATATCTTTCAATGAATAAATAAATCGGAATTGCAGCCCCGGGCCCCGGGTTCCAAGATTTAATTTTTCAACTTCTGACATCTGACATTTGTAATGCACCGCCTTTGAAGCTCTCAGAGCCAAACTAATAAGGAGAACTCACCTGTTCGTATTGTTTGAGAATGTTTTCCAACAGTTGGTGACCCTACTACAAATTGTTTGTTTGCCTACCACATTTGCCTACCTTCCCAGATCCGTCTATTACTGTACCCTGGTATGTGAAGTTCTTCTCCATTACATTATATGTTGATATCTTCCTTCTTTCCTCCAACTTGTAGGATCTTACTTTTTTTGGTATTTATAAACATCCCTTTTCGTTGCAGCTCTTCAAACCATTCCATAACTGCCAATTGAAACTTTTCCACTGAGTCCGAGACATGAAGAGTGAAGAAGGAAAAATAGTCACGGAAGACAGAGCTATCGAATCTATAGAAGTCTGGATACATCACTACATGAATCAGTTTGGTATTGATGATCACCATTCAACCGATGGAAATGGAAACTGGAATGAGGAAGAGTACGACGAGGTGATTGAGGAAGAGGAAGTACAGAGAGCCGTATACAACATGGTGACAGGATAAGCGCCAGGACGGGATGGTGTAGTACCTGAATTAATAAAGAATGGTGGCCCTAAGCGGGTAGTAACATTGCAAGTCCTTTTCTAGGAAGCCTGGGACGAAAAAAGGATTCCAACGGATTGAATCAGAATTAAAAGTATAGAAGAATTAGATGTGGTAACAGACTTCACATACTAGGGTACAGTAATAGACGGATCTGTGAAGGTAGGCGCAGAAATATCATACAGGATTAACAATGCAAATGCAGTTTACTACCAGATATGTAACACTGCGGTAGGAAAGAGAGAAGTAGGCATAGATGTCAAGCTACACATTTTCAATACAGTATATGTACCCATACTTTTGTATGGAGCGGAGAGTTAGATATTAACATACAGACAGGAGAGGAAAATCACCGCTGCCAAAATGAAATTTCTGCAAAGGACGGTTGGAAAAACAAGGAGGGACCGAATTCGCAATGAAAGTATTCGTCAGGAACTGCAGATATCCCCACTGAAAGAACTCCTAGACAAAAAAAAAAATTTAAAAACTACTACGTAGGATTACTTATGACATAAAATGTCATATTTATAAACATTCGTAGAAATAAAACGCTTTTTTAATTTTAGATTAAATACTTTTTTTTTAAATAGTTTTATTATTTCACATTATGTTTCATATTTATTTCAAATATTAAAAAAAATATTGTGGTATTTTACATTTATGAAAAAAAAATCTACAACATAAACTTCCTTAATTACATTTTTATTAGTTTGAGAATAAACAAAATAGCAAATGAACCTTTCTCTCACTTTTTAAATGTATTAATATTAATAAATTAATAAACCATTGTATGTTAAAGTATTGATTTTATGTAGGAAGATAAATAACAATCTTAAAACGTCCAGAAACAAGGGCAGGAGGGGTAATATCGGTCAAGTGGTTATGTCAGAGTTCGATTCCTCTCATCCATTTTCCCTATGAGTGAGCGAACCTGGTAGTTTTATAGAGCTGTAGCAAAGACGATAGACAGAATTTTTGTTTGTATATAGTGTTTCTTTTATTATAAGTCTGCTTTTATTGTAAACATTGGTTAAAGAGTGTGATTTAAGTGTTTTTGTAATGTGATAAGTATTTTTTAAATATTTAATGTGATAAATTTTCTGTAACAATAAATTCTTAGTTGTAGTGGTTCTCTGAATCAAAGTGATTTTGATTTATATCCTAAGACCTCTTCATCTTCATCTTCATCCCTCTGCAGTTTTCAGTACGTATGATCCTCTGGCCTGGACGACGGTTTTAATCAAATTTATAAGAAAATTAAAATAAATAAAATTACCAATTGAAATGATTATATAGCTTACTCCCTACATTTTAGTACTTCACAGCTTCGATATTTCGGCCGTTCGTTACTCTGGCACTTTCATCAATTTTAAAAAAGAACAAAAAACTTAATGTTCTTTTAACAATCGATGGACACGTAGTTACAGGTGTTCCAACATTATCGTTTTTGCAAACATCTAAGGGCTCCGTATGTTTGAGAAAAAAACTGATGTACGTAGTAATCAGAACCGTCGATTATACAAAAAAACTTGTCTTTGTTCTTTTTAAAATCGATGTTCACAATTAGCCCATGGCTTTCTATTTTTGGATTACCTTTAATTTATAGGCGCCGCATGTCTGTAAGCTGTTATGCTAAATTGTTTTAAAAGATGTTTAGAACCATTACATCAACTTGATTGATGTCATCAAGTCATCGGGACGGTCAGGCCCCGCCCAATCCACATTGGTGACCATTTTGGGCTCAATGAGCTCTATATGGTAATAGTCGGCTAAAGAATAATAACTTACTTATTCTAATAATTAATTTATTAAAACATAAATAATTTATTTTATTATCATATTACAGATGGTGATTACAGCTCCCTTACAGTTTTATTCAGATTTGAACGAGAAATCGGTCATTACATTATGGACTACTATGTACCTAGTATACTCCTCGTCGTCGTTTCCTGGGTTTCATTTTGGTTGGATCCTAATGCAGTTCCAGGAAGAATTACATTAGGTTAGAAAGCTTTCTTTTCTTTTTTATCTTTAGCATTAATCAAATCAGAGACTTAATATTCATATTTGAGTGATAGAAGTGTATAATGTACCTTCTATACTGGTAGAAGTGTATATACTAAATACAAATACTCCTATAGGGGAGTGATAGGTTTTTTCTTGACGGAGAGAGTGAGGAGCTCACTCAGGAAATCAGTCAAATGATTTTTATTTTATAAATATTTAAATGATTTCACATTGTTAAAAATATTCATATGTGGAAAATATGAATATTTTTAACAATGTGAAACTAAAAGTCTCAAATTCTAAAACCTCTTTTATAAAGTTCGTGATAAAATAAAAGTGAGTTTATTTCAAATACAGAGTACTAAAATTTATTTTATCTGGAGTTTGGAAAGGAGGATCTTATGATTGATGAAATCAAAAAGCTTTAGAAAAGTCGAAAAGGATTAGAATGGAGATTTTCTGTTTATCTATGGTGGATTGGAGGTCTAGGGTAATCTTTAGCAAAGTAGACTGGGAAGAATAATAGGAACGGAAACCAGATAGTAAAGGACTGAGGAGAATATTTCCTTGATATTGTCCGTCAAGTTATAGTGGAAAGAGCCAAGCTTAATCATTCAGGTAGAATTTTTAATAAAATGTCGCGATTGCTTCGGCTTACGCCGATGGTGAGGCTGAGGCCTGCGAAAGGTTAGATAGAGAAGAAGAAAGAATAGGCCCATCTATGAAGGAAAAACGAAAATTATGGTGATCCGAATGATAACACCTATGAATCAGTTAAAGCACTATGTAGTGGAAAAATATACGTTCCAGTGCGGGTCCAGTTTTAAGTACCTTGGCTCCATAGTATATGATCAGGTAGAGAATGCGGAGAAAATTTAAAATCGTATTATGGGGGCTGACAAAGAATATTTTGCCAATGTGATTGTATAAAACAATAATACGTCCCATGTTGACCTAATCCTGTGCTACCTGGGCCCCCACGTAATGGCTGGGAAAATGCAGTGGAGAGGGCCAAGGGCAGCTTCAGGCGCCTGTAGGGCCGATAAATAAATAAAAATAAATGTATTACTCTTCAATAAGAAAATAATATGTTTCAAGATATAGGTGAAAAAAGTGTTAACATGTTGACATTTAAAAATAAAAGATTCAGAGCCAAATTTCTGTCAGCAAGCCTCAGGTTCACGTTCATCGATCCAAAAACCTGAAGTATACTAAAATTTACGATTTAAATAAAACTTTTCCCTGTTTTCCTATATTGCCTCGACTAAATAATTTACATCAAGTCTTAGTATTAATGTGTGATAAAAGAAACATGTGAGTATACTGACAATACAGAAACACGTATATATACATTAGGCAAAATAAAGTTATTTTATGATTTCAGGTACAAGTACAATGTTGACGTTCATTACTTTGTCTAGAAATATAGGATCCTCTCTACCAAAAGTTTCTTATATTAAAGCTACTGAAATTTGGTTCATCGTTTGTACTGCATTTATTTTTGGTTCTCTAGTAGAATTTGCTTTCGTAAATACAATATGGAGAAGAAGGTGAGATTCAAATTTAGACAAGTAAATGTAAACAATTTCAAATGTTTTCTGTAAAAAATCAATATAATTTATTGCTTGAGATTTTTACAATTTACTTGTGTATTTTATTCATTAATGTAGATTAATTTTTATTGATTTTGATTTTATTTTTGTTCATCGGAATATTATACTCTCCCTCCTCCTCCCCCCTACCCGAGGTCTGCGCCTATGCAGTATGTTTTTGTTTTTTTTATCAGTCATAGTCCAGTCAATGAATGATTATAGAAGGAAATGGAGGGGACACAATTTTTGTATTTGGGATATTGTTTGGACTAGTAAAGAGGTAAACATAGTAAATGTCCCCACTCTTGGGTGGTGAGCCAAATGTGGGGAGGGGCGCCTAGTAGGTATTTTTTTTCTTTCGCTTATATCAGGAAAACTATCCATCGCATCGACAAAGACGTTCTATGCAAAATTAAAGCTGATAAAATTTTCAATATGATTGATAATACACCTTTCTTCGCTATATCGCTTAGTTTCTGAGATATCCGCCCTCAACTATGGCTAATCCTGAAAAAAAAAATTGCCTCGTGTTTGTTGCTGTTAAAGATCACGATTTTCGGTTCCAAACACTTGTGGAGTACAGTTTTTTACGGAGAAAACGTAATATACATGCACCTAACAGTTTAATGATTCTCAATAATTGCTTAGGGATAGGCCTATCATGTATTATGTTTTTATCTTACAGATAACCTTCACACAAAATATATATATATATATATATATATATAATATATATAATATATATCCAGCTATGATTTATAATTATAATCTTTCAGAAAAAATGTGGAGTTGAAGAAAGTGAATAGTAAGTACATATTGAGATCAACCCTGACACCACAGACAAAGAGAAAAGTGATTCCTTCTATAGATAGGAACGAATCATTTACATCTCTAGAAGAATCGAAAAATTCAAACTCTTCTTCAGGTCCTGTAAGTTATCGATAATAAATAATAAATTTCTTTATCAATATTTTTGTAAGTTTATTTTTTGCTATATGTAAAGATTACTTTTATTTATTTTACTGTTATTCCATTTAATTTATTTTTGTTTATTGTAAATAAGGAATTAAAAATCTCTTTTTTCATTATTACTTATGTCCTTGATTGTGACAGATTATAATACAGTACAATATTCCTCTATAGGCATAACAGACGTATATGGCTCTTCGTAGCCTGCTCAACAAGCCTTTCCTACTTTGCTCAATCTTCTGCCATGTTGATACTTATTCCCCGCTTTCGGAGGTCACTGCTTACATTCTTCCGCCATATAGCTTTAGTTCTGTCTATCGAGCGCATCCTATTTGGATCATACATGTATACTATTTTAGCTAGTAAATGTCATATGTCATCATAATGTACTTATGACATCCATCCTGAGGACTGAGCCATTTAAGACTCTGAACTTTTACGAACATGGATGTTGTTAGTTCTTGATTTTTTAGTCTCTCTCTTTATATATAAATAAGTTTATATATTTCCTTGTTCGACGTTATTCTTCATCTTCCTGACTCTTCCACTCGACCGAAGATCTGTATAAGGAGTTTCCATTCAAATCTAACTTTTATTTTTAAATCATCTATAAAGCAGGGGGCCGAGGAGGTATTAAAAAGAACTGTCAGGTACCAAAGTGTAGTTTTAAAAATTCTCCAAAAGGCTAGTAAGTTTAAGAAAATTATATAGGAGTCATTTCTAATGAGACATGATGAAGACCATAAATAAGCAGTTATTGAGAAAAAATTAAATCATTTATAAAAATTGGGGCTGAGGAGATATTGAAGGCAAAAAATAAAATTACGGGTAAGGAATGGTATGATGTGGGATAAGATTGAGCACGCATTTTAAGCGAAAAAGGCTAGATTGAGAACGCTTACTGTGGATACAAGAAGGAGCAGGAAGAAGTATTTTTCCATAAGAAGAATCGGAAAGAAGTATGTATACAGAAAAAGAGAAGTTATAAGCAAGCTCGAAATGCTCCAAAGTGATCATGATAACAAGCTGCCAAAAAATTTTACAAAAACCTGAAGGGATTTAAGAATGGTTTCCAACCCATAACTATAGTATACAAAAATAAAAAGGAGGAACTGGTCAGAACCCACCAAAAATCATGGAGACATGGAGAGAATATTTTATTAATTTAATAAATGTTGAGAAGATGGCCTCGAGATCTCCTTTTGTAAATACATTTTTAGAGTGCTACCAGTGGGTAGTTTCATGTTATTATATTCTTTTGTTCACATTTACTGAATGTATTTTTACTTGTAATACAGTTGTAAATATCATCAACAAAAAAAGAAAATAAAAAAAAAATGTTGAATAATCAATAGCGCTAAACTGTCCCAGATTTGGGAATAAAGAAGTCAATGACAATGATCCGAAGCCGCCAGATTATGAAGATTTTCAGGAAGTAATAGCCGCTCTGAAGAACAGCGGAAGTCCTGGTCTGGATAGTATAGATGCAGAAATGGTGAAGAATTGCGGACACCTAGGCTGAAAGAGATATACTACTTAATGATGGAGGTTTAAATTAAAGAATGGACTACTGCTATCATATACTCTGTTATGATAAAAGGAGGAAAAACAAACTGTGAAAGTTGTAGAGACATATCATTGCTAAATACGTTACACGAAGTTTTGGCAGTTCGGTTGGATAAAAAAGATTGGTTTTGGTCCAAGAAGATTTTAAGTAAATACCAGAGCTGTTTTAGACCAGGTAAATATACTATAAACTACATTTTGTGAATAAAGCATATGTTAGAAAAAACATACAAGGACCAAATCGACTTGAATCGCATTCTTATAGACTTTAAACAGGTATATGATAGTATAAACAGGGAAGAATTACAAAAAGCAATGATAAAATTGATCAAAAAAACCAAAACTGGTCACTTAGACAAGAATGACCCTAAGCGATAGCAGATCCCTAGTTGAGGAGAATAGCCTGTTGTCGAAAGATTTCGAGGTCAGAGATGAGTTTAGGCAAGGTGATTCTTTATCCCCTTGTTTGGGTAATAATCTAAATTTAATTAAAGTAAAGGCAAATAACGTAAAATAAAGTAAAATAACTCAAATGAGTTCAACATAAGCAACATTCGACTTATTTTGGCAGCGGACTGTATTGTGTTTAAGTGGTAGGTTATATGCATTGTGTAAAATAAACTCATCCTTTTATGCTTACATAGACATCTTACTTAACTGAGAGGGCCCTCCAGTCTGCTCTAGTAGATACCTCTGGGAATTGCTGTTCCAAGTACCACGAGCCCGGTTTAAATTTTGTCTTTTAGATTTTATCTGATCTGTTTTCACTACTCGATAAGGCGACGATCGGGTATAATAGCTTTCACACTAAACATATTTTCCTCCTCCCCTCCCATGAAATATCTCATTTCACAAACAAACAAGAGAAAAAAAACAAACTCATAGATTGGTAATTACTAGGCAAGGTAAAAACGAGAGGAAAATTGCTTGGTTTGCAATAAAGAAAAAAATTATTCAAAATATATTTTTGGAAAATTAGAAATAAAAGTGAGCCAGATCAAAGATAGGCTAATAAATTACAATTCATTTAAAATAAAGTGGCTCATTAAACTTAAGCAATGCAAAAAATATACGTAACAATAAAAGGTTTCTTCAGAAGGGAGAGACACTAATTTGTGCACCGGCCGCAACAAAGTGGCTGCAACAGTCCGCAATTTTACCATCTTAACTACACCGTCAGGCCCTGGAAGTGTCTCTATTATCCTGGTAAGCCGCCACTCCTGCAGTGGAACATCTTTTCCATGTAGAATAACAAGGGTTCTCTCTTTTAAATTTTCTCAGTCAGTATACCAATTGTTGCAAGGCACCAGATTGTGGAGGTACTCATTACACCATCTCTTCCAAACCAAAAATTACGAAGAGTCTTGGAAATCATTACCCAACGGCTTGTCAAAGGAACACAAGCGCGTCTTCTTGTTCTGGTCTGGCTAGGAGGGATAGACCTATAATAAAGTGCCCTGGGGTGAGGTAATCAAGGAAATCCGAAGGCTGACTGCTAATATTACAGATTTACACCTCAGTGATGCGGCTGAGAGAGAAGCGCTAGGATTTCTTAAAGTCTTGCCTTATCTTCCCCGCGTTGGTAAGGGCCCGACTTGGAGCTCCCTCGGCTGACTGTAAATAAGCATGAATTTTTTTTTTCTTATTTATTTATTTGTGTTGTATCATATTTTATTTCATCTGTTTTAACGGGTGGTAGTCTAGGATTGTCTTTTTTAGGGCTACGGCGCTCTACAAAATCGATGTCCTCGATGTTTATCTTAACCCCGAGACCAGCACCCACACTGCCAACCAGGACTGAGGGAGTCTCTCCTGCACGTACCGGGATGCCTCAGATCTCTACTGATCTTCAGAGTAGGACCTGCTCGGCTCTGTTTAGTCTTACCTCGAGTTCCCCCACTCTGGATTTCAATGTTTTGTTTTCCGAAGTCAATTCCTTCAGATGTTTAGCTTGGCTTTCTATTTTTAAAAATCTTTCATTTAACTCGAAGCTGAGCTCACCGTATTTTTCTAACGACGACTTGAGATTTTTAATGTCTTCATTGACTTGGGCGCTAAGTCGATTAACCACCCCGAGAATATTAGCTGCTGATGGCTCCTTGATTTCACTTCTAGGTGGACTGGCTGATTTTTCTCTAATTTAGTATATATTTTTGCCTTGGTAACATTTTTTACAAAGCCATACCTTTTTTTGAGATATTAATGTCTCGTTCTCTTTATCGCCCAGATTGCAGCATTTAGAAATAGAAATAGAAAAATAACTTTATTCTGGGACACAGTCCCTTGAGAATAACAAAATAGAACAAAATTAATATGTTACATCTGGCCAAAATAAAATCAATCGAAAAAAAGAAATAATGTAAAAAAAATATAAGGTAAAAATTCTATATACAAAACAAACTAAACTATATACAAAACCATTAATACTATGACAAGACACTTAAAGCTGTTTGCTCTAATAGACCAGTATACACTTTTACGAAAAAAATAAAGAATTAAAAAACAAAAATGTATCAAATTCTCTATTAAAATCCGCTCGAATGGTTAGCAACTATCTGACTGTTTTTGGGATAGGAATTGGAATATTGGAATTTTGATAGGGAGGGAATTCCAGAAATTGACAGAGCGAACAATAAAGGAATTTTGGAATGAGACAGATCTGTGAGAAGGCATGTAAAGGTTAGAAGGTCGAGATCTTGTGGACAGGGAATGGACTGAGGATTTGAACTGGAGAAGGTTGTAGGCGTAAGAAGGACGATGGTTGTTGATGATTTGGTAGAGGAACGTACCTAGGAAATGTTGTCTTCGGAAGGAGGGGAAATGCCACTTTAACTCAGCGTAGTGGTGAGAAACATGGGAGTATCTTGGGGCCCCGATCACAAATCTTACACAGCTGTTCATTAGTCTTTTCAGTCTATCACGGAGCTCTACAGAGAGGCCATCATACACCACACAGCTATAGTCAAAGTGGGGGAAAATGAGAGAGAAAACTAGGAGTCTACGCGAATGTTGAGGTAGGAGATGGCGGAAGCGATGGAATAGTTTGAGGGTGGAAATTGTCCGTCGAGTGATATGAGAAATATGGTGATTCCAAAAGAGGTTTTGATCAATGAAAAATCCTAAATTTTTAACAGAGGAGTAGAAGGAGATTGGCTGATCATTAAGGTGAAGGATGAGAAAGTCTGTATAGGATCTAAGGAGGGGCTTCTAACCAATGACAATGGCCTGAGTTTTGGTAGCATTTAACCTTAATCCATTTACATTTGCCCAGGCACTGGTTCGATCTAGGTCTTCTTGGATCTTGGCAAATGCCCCCAGTAACTCAGGAGGGAAAAATGATAGGTACATCTGTGAATCGTCTGCATAAAGGTGGTGGGAACAATGGAGAATTGATTTAGGTAGGTCGTTAATGTAGGAGCTGAAAAGGAGAGGAGATATGCTTGAACCCTGGGCAACTCCAGAGGATAAAGAAAGGAAAGCAGATAGTGGTTGGTTGGGTATGGAGACTGCTTGGGTACGTTGTGAAAGGAAAGATTGAAACCAAGAGATGGAACTATTAGAGAAGGATAATAATTTCAGTTTGTTGAAAAGGATGGAATGATTGATGGAATCAAAGGCTTTGGAGAAGTCGAGAAGGATAAGGATTGTTAACTTTTTATCATCTATTGCAGTTTGAATGTCGCTGGTGATTTTAATTAAGGCGGATTGTGTGGAGTAGCTGGGACGGAAACCAGATTGGAGAGGATCAAGTTGGTTGGACTTTTCGAGGAAGTTGGAGACTCAGGATTGCACCAATCTTTCTAGGGGTTTTGAGAGGTTGGAAAGAATTGAGATTGGGCGGAAATCTTCGGGTGAGGTCGGATTAGAATTTTTATTCAAAGGAAGGACAATGGCTTTTTTCCAAGATGTAGGGAATACTGAATTCTGAAGGGAGAAATTGTAGATGAAAAGAAGAGCTGGGAGGATTTCAGGAAAACATAATTTTATTAATTTGAGAGGGATGCCATCGGGTCCTATGGAATTGGTGTGGGATTTCATTACAGCGGTTAAAAGGTCTGTGGGAGAAATGTCGGAAAAAATAAAAGTTATTGTCGTCAAATGGTATCTCTATAGGAAAGCCGGAACAGGAGGATAAAGGAGAGGTATTAGCAACAGATATAAAATGCGAGTTTAGATAATCAGGGGATATTGGAAAGGCTGTTGTAGGGGATCTGGAAGGATCACAAAGGGAGAGTTTACGAAGCAGTCGCCATTTTGATTTTATGTCAGGAGTTGAGGAAAGGGCTTCGTGGAAGTAGAGGGATTTCGCACGCCGGATCCTTGTTTGTGTCAAGTTGCGAAGCACCCTGAACGCTTGGTAGTCATCTGCAAGCCTAGTACGTCTGAAGCGTCTACGAGCAGCGTCGCGTCTCTTCTGCAGTTCTTTAATTTCCTGACACATCCAAGGAGCAGGCCGGTGACGAAATGTAGAGGTTTTGAGAGGGGCATGGGTATTGAGGATATTTAGGAGATTGGTAGTAAGAATATCAACCATAGAGTCGATGGAAGTGCAAGAATATATTTTATTCCAATCTAGGATTTCCAGGTCAGGTAATATTTGTTCTCGTGTAAGGGAATCTAGATGGCGGAAGGTGATAGTTCGAGGCTGAATAGGAGGAGTTCGGATATTATATATTATTTGTATTAGATCATGAGATGACAAAAAGGATACTGGCAGTTGGGAAGAGGAGAGGAGGTTTTGTGCAGAGTCTATAATATAGAAATCTAGCCAAGTGTCGGACCTGGTAGTATGGTGAGTGGGAGAAAAAGGAACGATAAAGAGGTGAAGGGAGAAGAATAGGTCTTCTAGATAGGATTTGTCATTGGAGTTAGATAGGAAATTTGTATTGAGGTCACCTGAGATGATTATTCTGGGATAGAGGGGAACGAAATTAAATAGGCTAGATTCAAAGGACGTGTGAAATGGAACAAGAGGAGGACGGTATACCACAGCGTAGAGGAGAGGAGAAGTATTACAAAGGATTTCAACTAATAGGTATTCAATTTGTGGGTGGTTGGAAGATGGGGATAAATCGAGGATTCGGGTCTTCAGGCTATTGTGGACAAATATGGCTACTTCACCGCCAGTCCGGCTTACCCGGCCATGACGGAAGAGGTTGTAATTAGGCAAGGAGACAGAAGAGGAGGGGATATAAGGTTTCAGCCAAGTTTCGGAGATCGCTATAATATGGTAAAAATTTTGAGTGAAATATTGCAGGAATTCGTCATAATGGGCAGAAAAGGGATTGAGAGTTAACATGGCAGGTGATTAGGGTACTAGACATGAGAAGGATTTGGAAGGAAACAGTCAGAGTTCGCTAGAGAAACACTAAAACAAACAAAAAATACAGAAAAGCAATTACAATTAATGAAAATGAGAAAAAAGAGAGTGTTTAAAGAAACAAAAAATAGAAAGCATATAGTTAATAATACATAGGCTAATATGTGAAAATGAAGAAATACAACTGAAAGCGAAAATCTTTCTTTGAAGGAAATTTTGTCAATAGTTATTTTGATAAGGATGAAGGGTAGATGAATTCTGTGTAGTCAGGTGAATATATCGAGGTCCGAGGCCTGTTCGATCAAGATAACCTTATGTCCGTCTTCTTTTCAACATCGCACCTTTCCAGCGGCAAACCAGCAATATTTGATTTTCCCCGCTGCTTTCTTCTGTCGCGCAAGCCAGTATAAGTGCCTGTTCGTGTGAGTCATCTCCTCCCCCAGATATATCCGGTGACAGTCATTTACATTGCAGATTGCAGCTCTTCCCTCCACAACTAGTAATACACGATCTTTTTCTTCAATAATTTAATAAGCAGTAAAAAAAAAAAAAAAAAAAACATATGAAGGACGCAAATAAACTTGGTTAACCGTGAAAATAGATGAAAGAATATATATAAAAAATAAACAGAAATAACCAAGGATAAGAATGTTAGAGAGAAAAAACTATAGGAACGAAGTGAACTGTTTGCCGTCTGAGGCCAGAAATATAGTTCATTTTACTATTAATTTTCAATTACATCTGTAGGGTAAAGCAGCACACTTCAAACATAACTAGGGATAGTCTATAGTACAGATTTCATACCATTGGTAGAGAATCTGTGCCCTCCAGTCTCAAATCTTGAAGAGATTAACTTTATATTTCTTGGTCGATTTTAAAGGTCCCCAAAACCATGTTGTGAACCCTCACAAAAGAATTAGTAAATCACTAAACATTTTATAGTTTCTGAGTAATTCGGAAATAAAATTATGCATTAATCGTAACTTATTTTCCAGATTCGTTTCGGATATATATATATGTCCGTCATGTAACGGTAATTACGTTAAGCCACCTGATGATAGCCAACACAGTGCGGGAGTATTATTTATGCCGCTGCAATTTATAACACAGCCCATGCCAACTTGTAATTTTTTTTTTTAACAACAGCAAGTAAAAGTAAGGTTGGGAATATAATACAACTTCTTGACAACTGGTCGTGTATGAAGGCCTAAACAGAGATGAGGAGGACTTAGAAAGTGAAATAAAACTGTTGTCTTGAAAATTAAACATTATTTTTACTTCCCTTATTAGTGGTGCCCTTTGGCCGCGGAGTCCTGGGTCGAGCGCTAGGTCATCGCACCCGTGCGAACGTCCTGATAATTTTGTAGAACAGTACACTAATTTTCCTGTATTGCTGTTTGTATATTTCTTAGTTATATCATTAAAATTAAAATTTTAATTTTGTAATTCAACATCTTAAATACTTACATTTCAACATCTTAGATATACCATTGATTTCATAAGTATTTTAAGAATTATCAAAGTACTAATGTGTAAAAAAATCAACATAATTATTGTGAAAATAACAAATATAATATTGATTAGTTAAAATTAATGTGTTTATATGTTGGTATAATTGTAAGGATTATCCTAAAATCTATTGCTACCCTAAAACAGTTCCTGTGATTCCATACCCATCAAAAACCCGTCAGCTCCTAGTTTCCTTTCTCATTTTTCCTCACTTCGATAACGGTTGCCTTGTATTCGGTGGACTGTCTGATGGGCTTGAGATCAGATTGCAGAAACTAATGAATGTTGGGATACTGAGTTAAACGGCTATACTTCCTACGCGTTTTCCTTTTCCGAAAATTTAAAACCAAAAAATCCTCTTACCTTTTTGATTTATTTACTCCTTGCTCCTCTATCCATTCGTTTAACACGAGATCACAGCCCACAAATCTGTTTATTCATTTTTATATAACTGTTACCTTTAAAGATTCCTTTCTCATACGTGCTTCCTTGTTTTGGAATTCCCAACCTATTTCCATACGCAAATTTATTTGAATATAAATGACAATTTAAATAAAAATAAAATTTTGATATCGATAAAATAGATACAAACCTACCTACTACTAGACTCTTAATTGATTTTAGTTTGCACATTTTATCCATTCATGTAGTTTATTTATTATTGATTATATTCTTTTTTACCTCAAATAATTGGGGAGAATTATTGTGGCGAAATTATATTCTCGCCCATTCAACATTTTTATTGTTACATTATAGTATGCGCCTATGCTCATAAGTCAAAATCGCCTTAAAAAGTAAACTAAACATCTGTTAAATTATATTAATATGAAATATCACTATAACACCACTGAAATATAGTAATATTAATTTCATCAGTTGTTCATACATAGGGAATACTTTTTTGTTTCAGAAATACAACAGCCAATTAACAGTAATGTCTCTAGGATCGATAAGCAGAGATCCTTTCCCCTTTACTTCATCAGAATCTGATGTTAATGAGGGAAAAGATAATTCTACACCTCAAAAGGGTTTCTTCACTATGACACCTCAGGAAATAGCACAATGGATTGATCGCAGAAGTCGGCTAGTTTTCCCTTGCAGTTTTATTGTTTTCAATTGTTTGTATTGGACTTTTGTATATATTGAATTTTAAGAAAGTGAAATTTTATTGTTAAATAAATGCGTGTATGATACATAATATTAATAAAAAGGAAACTCAAGATTTCCAAAATAATTCTTAATCTGTTTAAATGATATGATGAAAATTTAACACTAAGTATTTTTTACTCTTTAATCTTTGTACTTTTAAAACTTTATGATGTAAGAAATTATTATAAAACAATCTTTGTTGACAATGATGAATATTCTGTTAAACCACATATATCCTTATTACGAAAATACAACAAGCTGGATTCAGAAGAGAAAGGAAAACACTAGACCAGATCTTCATTCTAAATTAGATTCTCGAACATTAAGTTCCAACTGATTTGCGGCAGATAGCCGACTCTCTTCGATGCTTTTCAACATAGCATCGAAGAAGACAAGATTATATAGAAATGGATATCATATTATAATACTGGACATTATAAACTACAACAACTAAAAGTCATTAGCTTTTCGTCACTTCTCACTATGGCCATGGAGAGGAACCCATGGCCCCTGTGATATTTATTGAAATATTAAGTAAAATGTTTAATTTACCACTAAAAACTAACAAATGCCTTTCATAAAGTATGAAAGAAAAATATTACATAAAAATATTATATAATATATGCAATGCTATCTATTTTTCATTTTAATTTAAGTTTATAAATTAAAAAATAAAACCATATAGTCCAAGCTGGGCCCCAGAGTAACACCGACTACCTCTATCGTCAGGCCAGCTATCAACCCAACCGCCTTCAACGACTTTATATATGCAAGATATTAATTTGTTTGTCAACAGAAGTTGACTTTATGGCTTACAAAGTTACCAATGATCGAGAACTGTTAGCAGCACACCACTTCACATCATTCAGACCACAAGCCATTTACTTCTACCTTTCAACAACGTTATTACCACAGACATATGCTGTTGACCAGGAAAGCCCAATATTCCAGCTGATGTGTACTTCAGGATCATCAATGCAATGCTAGTTCTTCCATCCTGTTTGAACTTATAACTGAAGTTCAGAAAGTAACTTCATTATCTTCAAAATTCTTAACTGATCAAAAATGAATAGATATTGTTAGTTATGTGTGATTTGTTTTCTATAGCATTTTTATTATAAATACATTGAAAAGTAATGCAGATAAGATTATGTTTGATCTCGGGATATTTTATAAAAGTTGTTTTTAAAAAAATAATAAAATTAAAAGTTTTGTGATCTTGTTTTTATGATTGCTAATTGTAAGAATTTTATAAAATTTAATAATTTGTTTAATGTCTTATGTTACACATTACCCCTCTGCACTTATTGTGCATACTGTTTATAATATAATCACTTATTTCACAAGGAATTTTATGCCATACACATGGTAATACTGCTCTCAGTTGCTGAAGGTTAAGAACCGGCAGATAGTGGTCAAAAATCCTTCTTTACAGTGCATACCACATGTGTTCAATGGGATTGAGATATGGTGACAATATGGCAAGGGGAATCTGTGAAATGTCCAGATTGGACACCCCTGTACTGGATTAAACTATAATTTATTAAAAATGAAGAATACTTTTTATGTTAACCAACGAATCGGAAAGTCCCTAACAAACAAAAAAATAATAGGTTAATTTAATTAACGGATCAAATAGAAATAGCCCTACAAGGGTACCCATCCTTCCCCCAAGGTCGATGTAGGCAAAAATCTTCACCCACCCCTTTCAAAAAATAGTAGGTTATATCTAATTATACATCCTGTAGACAGTCCCATGCTTGCCCTTGTCTTTTGATTTGAAACTTTTCATTTCGAATGTTTATAATCCCCTCGAAAATTCCAAACCACGTCAAAATGTGCCCCTCTCAAAAATTCCAAAATCCCGTCGAAATATGCGCCCCTCAAAAATTCTGAAGGCGCAAATTGTGCCATGAAACACACTTCTGGGCACCCCTATTCATTTTGAGCAATATTCGGAACTAGTTTTTGACTATTCATCTGGTAATCTACGACCATTTTGACGAGGGATATTTGAATCGTTGAATAACCAGGCTGGCACATCCTGGGGTGAAAGGGTCAGTAGAACTGGCCAATTCTCGACATGAGTGGTAATCACTGAATAAAGGTGTTAATCTATTGACCAAGCCAAGCATCTGCTGCCAAAATTGGGAAGCACGCCTTATCACCAATTGTTCATAACAGCCTAGCGGAATCACAATTTTCAGATATTAATGTAGACATAGTTCGACCTTCCACCTTCAACCGAAACGGTATCATTTGCAATAATATTCCATTGCATAGCGCGTTATAGAGTCACCAAGACAATAACAGATGAAGGCGCCCAATTTGAAAGTAAACTATTTTCAGAGCTTTATCCTTGCTCTTGGAGCTCTTCACCAAAAGACAACAGCATATTATCACCAAGCTAATGGGATAATTTAGCATTGACACCGAAACTTGAAGACATTTCTTAGAGGCAGAATGAATTAGCTCACATTCGGAGGTGTTACTAGGATTTGGAAAACCCAACCTTCGTACTGTGACCTTTAGCGTCATTTTCTTTGTTACGAGTTGCTTAGGTCTGTTTACCTGATACATTGTAACCTGTATTTGATTGTGTTACTAACTACATATATCCTATAGTAATTTGTGTATTACATTTAATTATAAAAGAATGTGTTCTTAACAGAGAATTCGCCTTGACTGACGATGTATCAGGTAGCGTTCTGAAAACTGGTGTCATCAAAGTGATCAAATCAGTCCAGTCAAATGCTGGTTGTTTGTAAAAACAAAATTCAAATAGCCTTTTTTTTATAAAACGATAAACCGTGGGTCCTGCACATCTGCTGTATCACATGTAGCGTAACCTTAAGAGAAGGTTGAACAAGAAAGATCGTTCAATGCGTTTTGCTGTTCCCATGGAGTGGAGGCAGCCTACTAATCACACTGACAACTGCTACTTTCACATAACTTTTCTTCTTCATCATGGAATGTCTCGATGAAAGAAATCTGAAGTGAAGTACCCTGATTCCTTCTGCTATACGGTCAATACCACATGGGGACGAATTACCTGATCCCAGGCCTCCTGAACACTATGACTTGAATGAGGACGAGGATAACGAAGAGGAAAATCCCCTTGGTGGAACCCCATCAGATGATTCTGATTTTTCTTTCGAACAAGAACAAAAACCCCACTTGCTTACTCAAGCTGAACTCAGTGACTTGATTCAGGACTTGTGTCTGCCCAAAGAGAAAGCAGAACTTTTGAATTCAAGATTGAAGCAATGGAACTTCTTAAAACCTGCTGTAAAGATTACAATGTACAGAAATCGTCAGAAAGACTTGATCCCCTTTTTCAAAAAGTATGAGAACCTTGTTGCCTGTTGTGATGTCCCAGATCTGATGACCATATTCAATCTCAATCACAACCCTTCTGAATGAAGGCTGTTCATAGATTCATCAGAGCTATCCCTCAAGGCAGTTCTGTTGCACAATAGCAATTTAGTTCACTCTATAGCTATTGGCCATGGGCCATGGGCTGTTCGCCTGAATGAAACTTACAAAAACATGGAAACCCTTCTAAAATCATCAAATACCAGGATTAGCAATGGCAAATCTGTGGTGACCTGAAAAATAACTTTATTCTGGGATTACAATCTCCTGAGAATAATAACAGTGTTACAAACTTATGAGTATTAGTCTGGCTAAAAAAATAATAAAAAATACAAGCTAATATACTGCTTTTTGTCATTGCAGTTGTGCAATAGTTGACATTACACAATATACAGATACAAGTAATTTTACATATTGGCGGAAGTTTGAACGTGGAATAGGTGGTGGAACAGGAATTCTTCTAAAAGTAGTGGCAATTCTTATAGGCCTGCGACAGGGATATACTAAGTACTGTTGTTTCTAATGTGAGTGGGACATTCGGGGCAAAGCAACTCGTTACATCAGAAAAGAATGGTCTCAAATAGAAGTCCTGAACCCTGGATAAAAAAATGTTCTCTACAACCCTTTTGTGGATCCTGAAAAAATCATTTTGCCTCCACCACATATAAAATTAGGGCTCATGAAAAATTATGTCAAAGGAATGGACCAATCAGGAGAGGCGTTCAAGAACTTGAGAGGAAAATTTCTTCTCTTAAGGGAAGCTAAGGTTAAAGAGGGGGTGTGTTGGTCCACAAATCCATGAGCTTCTGAATGACGAGGAATTTTTTTATGTTCTTCAGGGTTAAGGAAAAGCAGCGGAGGGAGCATTTACAGCTTTAGTTAATGGTTAGTTGGGTAACAAAAGAGGAAAATTATGCTGTCTAGACAGCATTGGACTTAGGTCCAAACCCTCCTAGACAAGTACAGAGATCTCGGTTGTAACATGTCACTCAAGATTCACTTTCTTCACTCTCATTTGGACTTCTTTCCCAAAAATTGTGGATCTGTAAATGACGAACATGATGAGCGATTTCACCAAGATACATCCTCGATGGAACGTTGTGAGAGATTTGCCAGACCATCAGTACAATCGTCAAGCAAAGAAGAAACGTTCAAAATAAACTGCATAACAGCGCTGTTCTTGTCAAGAGAAGTTGTAATTTAATGTTATATAGGTTGTAAAAGTATTTCACAAATAATAAAGCATAAAAAATGATCGTGTAACTTCCAATAACTTAATTTTTTTATATTCGTTACTGGGTATACGTATCTGAAGAACGACAGCTAATATAAGGATTAGTCTAGGCAAACTCCTGCTGTGTGCGCACTATGCCACCAAAACCACCCAGTAAACTACAAGGGATGCCAAACGTATAAAATACTGAAATCAAGACAGACAACACTCAGACAGGAAGAGACCTCCAGGACTCCCAGACCACCGAGGCAACCCTTTAGACGTGTGAACAAAGAAGTGTCTTTTGCCGAAATGCTAGGAGAAACTGAACAGACAAATCAACCTCAGGCCCTGCCGCATGCTCATCAAAGACCTCATGATCCATCACCCCAATATAATAACACCCAAAAGTCCAG